CGAAATTACAATGTGCAAATCGGGAAGGAGAACGCCGGGTTTAGGAGGATTTACCGAACGTAAGCGAACTCGAAGTTCGGAATTATACGGCGAGACCGATTGGCCGCGGCTCTTTTCTGCCTCGGCGAGGTCTTTTTCTTTCCGTTTTCCAGGATTCCAACGCCCGACAACAAACACTATTCGAGCCGCTCTTTCGGCTTCGTATCGAGACCGACGAGCTTTTCCAGGCAAATATTTCTTTTGGGAATTTCGTAATTTCCCCGACAACGGCGCAATTTAAGGAAAATCGGAAATTCGGTAGAAACGTACAACGCTTAAATTTCAGACGCTTTTCCGCATCCGCGCTAAAGAATCGCTCGTCACTTATTGCAACGCAAATTAAGCCGGGGGTACGTCTCCGATGAAACGACAAACGAGAACTTAATTAATTTCCCCCCCTTTTACGGTCGTATCGCCACGTTACGGTCTTCCGCCATTTGCCGAGCGGATCACAGCTTGTAAGCTCCGGGAAAGAAAACGGAAACCTGAAGAGGACAAGCACTACCGGTGCCCTGGGACGAGCGTTCTCTTTCCATGGTATTATACCTCGATCTGTCTCGAGTCCTTCCGATTGCTTTAAACTCGAGGCCCGGCATTAGATCAAAAATGCCACCCATAATTCCGTCTAAATTGATAAATCATAAATTAATGTTCCTCTTGAATCGCACCTGAACCTCATGGCCGATGAAGATCTAGGAGTCAGAGGGAAAGGCATCGGTTTCCTGTCGAACCATTTCCCCGTGTTTTTCTTGAAATCTATTCCATTTGCAGGAGAAACTTTTCTAACCGGCGCTTTTGTTGACGTTTCCCTCTGGTTCGATCCGCGGGCTAATATAAATACTAGAAGCTGCACCAACTTTGCCCCACTTTTCCAATGCACGTCGTTGGACTTTCTTTAATTAATTACTCGCAATGAAAATGATGGCTCGAGAGACTCCTTTTTATTTTTCATTTATTCGTAGCTGTTACCCTTATTTTTAGTTTATCCGACAATGAGTGTTAGAGATGCTGATGCGTATGCACGAGGGTATTTTCTGCGACCAAAGTTCTAATCGATGAAGAACTTTTAACCGGGAAATTCGGATGTTAAAATGACGGGTAAGAGTGCTGAATTCGGATTACTCCTCGTTTGCAAAATAGCGTCGCCGACGTAATGAGTTCCCGATATTATCGGTGGTTCGGCAAACCCCCGATACCTACAAATCACCGCTCCACTCCAGAATCGGCGTTTCTTTCTTGGCAATGTGTAAACCATGCAGCATGGTCATCGGCTTCGTAATGGGCCAGCAACCCTTGTAACGTTAAATCACGAGACCGTGCCATTATTGACACAAAAATCGTTCGCTCGGTCCTCGCCAGCGGTCGATTTCTTCCGAACTCGATAAATTAACCGTGACAATCGCGTGGAAATATCAGCCCTACCATCAATTACCGGCCAGTACCTCGAGTACATTTTTCTTGATCTCATGCGACAATGGTCAGATTAATTCAACAAAATTTCAAACGCTTTAAAATTCTCTTCTCCTTAACAAGCTCACGAGACGAAAGAACTCCCCTTTTTGTCAAGGATCACATTTTCAGTACATTAATATTCAAGGATTATCCGAATCCCTCGACACTCTGGAGATTTTCACTTTTTCGACGGCGAAAGGAAAACTCACGTAAACAAACCCCTGCCGGATGCATCAGCTGACCACTTTCCTCCTCCTCTCGAAAGTACTTGTATGCATTTCGCAAAAGGAAGTAAACATAAGAGAGGAGCACAAAGACCCACCGGAGATTAAACCCGGCCAGTGGCTTTGAAAGCTCTATTGAAAATAAACTTGAAGACGCTTTAAAACTTCAAGTCCGCTCGAGCCGTTCCATTAGATAATGCTTTTGATTTGTGTGTGGGATCACTTTATGCGAAGTTAACTTCGAGCTCCTATTGTCATAAAACGGAAGTTAAGGCGATTTATTACAGTTTACCCGCCCACTCGTGACCACCCAACAAGAATAACGTTGTCCAACATTTTCCATCTCGCACTTCTCCTCCAGAAGCGAGTTCTAATTTTCACCCACGACAGAGCTTAAAAGTTTTTACCTACTTAAGATTTTTCCTTACTCCGAAATTAACCGATTAATCGTAATCAAGACCACGGTTCATTATTCAAGGATCCACCGAAATTCCGGACGTTATCATTGACCCTAAGACGATTTCTACTCGAGTACCCAGCTTGTACTCTATATAACAACGATATTATTGATTACATCGAGAGAGAGAGCTGTTACACGTAGATTAGTTTCAAATTCAAATCAATTTCGGCATCGCTCTGATACCGGGCGCGGGATACCAAATCTAATTAGTAATGCCGATTTGGCAAACCCTAATTGCGCGCCAACATATCGTGGGAAATTTACGAGATGGCCGTGTTATGAATCACCGCGGGCCCCATGTTTTCGAACCGAACATGACCGTTTGAAATTAACATCCCTACTTATACCGCACAGAATTTGCATAATCGGCCTGTGATAATTGTGCCTCCTTCCCGCGCACCGTTCGCGACTGTAAGGTGATAAGTACGGCAATGATTAATTCCCCGGGGTGAAAATCCTCGTGAAAACCGGAAATATGACATTAACACGTGGTGGAAAATTTTCAAACAGCGTTCTGTGCACTTGCGTGATTATCGCTGATAAACACCTACATTGTAGGGGATGCAACGAATTAATTGTTTCCATAGGGCGGATTACCGAAGTTTCGACCGATCGACGTCGGACTAATCGGATGAAATGCTCCGAATTGAGGTAATTAAATAAAAACTTAGGGTAATCCAGTGTCACGACGATAAGCCAATGTTTGAATTAGCGCGATTGATATTCCGAGTAAATTTCGCCCCTCGCGGACCGAAGTCAACGGATCGGGGGATCCATTATAAAAATACGTAGCTTCACGTTCGAACGGTCTCGCGAGGTTTTCTCGCCGAAACTACCGAGGAATTATTGAACTTGTTCGAGAACGGCCGAAATTCCGGATTATCGGAAAGTCCGGGCAAGGGAACTCTCGCGGTCCAACTCCCTCGCGACCCGATTCTTCGACGTCGCAGTCAGGAAAGCGCGGCCCAAAGATAAAGAGACGGAGCGCCAGCCCAAGTAACATTTAGTATATGAAAGACGTAGGAGAATGGTGCCCATATTTTATGGCTTAGCCGAGCCGACTTATACCGAGTTCCCGGGCACACAATGGCCGCGGTGACGGGATTCAAGGACCATTCTGATGTAGATCCACCTTGCGAAGGAGTTGCGCGATTTCGCCGACACGTTTGCGTATTTTCCGAGGGCCAGCGAAACCGCGATAATCGGATAAATCCCGAAAAATGTTATCGACACGGGCAATTCTATCGAAAGAAAAATTATCGGGTCGATGATCGACGATATCATCGATACCGATCATTTTCAGGACTTAATCTCCGTTTAATCATCTCGTCGGAGATGTGGAAATAAAAAGGGCTAGGACCGATTTATTTCGGAAATATCGGCGAGATTCGAGGGGAGTTTAATATTTCGAATGTATGAAATTTCCTTCACGTTCCTATCTTCTTTAATTCGGGCACTTGGTGGGTGATGCAAAGTATAATTGCGGCAATGCGTCATACCCGGTGAACACGTGTCTCGAGTTATCGTACCCCCGGGGCCGGAACTAGTGCAGTATCGACTGTAATTATTTAACGATATTACTTTCTTCCTATATCCCACGGTAATGTCAGACGGTATAGTACGGAAGCGCGACACCATTTGCATTTAAAGCGGATCGTCGTACCGACATTGATATATCCGTGTCTATATCGCAGTTAAGATCAACTTTATTTATGGGCCGAGCAACTCCTAAGCTTACAAAGGCCATTCTAATTTAAACTTCAAACCCCATTTTAATGCAAACCGCGGTAATTCCTCGAACTCTTAATATTTACTCTCGTCCATTTTCATGAAAGTGGCATCCGGAGAGTCAATTGTTCATGACACACATTTCCGAGCTGAATATACCGAATAGTTACAAACTTAACAACATAAATCTGATGGCACTAAGGAAGGTCCTGACGCTCGTGAAATTTCATTATTTTACAACAGATTTTTAAAATATCTATGAATAAATTTTAAAACATTCAAATTTCATGTGGTTCAAGACCTTCTTTATACCCTCCGAATTTTTTTGTGTGGTCTGAATCGATTCGGGGCACTCTAGAGAAAAGTTTCACGAACGACTCTTTCACGTCACCTTAATGCTTCTAATTACGTACTAAGACGTAAGCTGGATGGACTTAAATATCTTAACGTAAGCTTTCGACCAGGACTTTCATTTCTAATGGTACACTGGGGAGGCGTTTACAGGGCAGCGAACCAGGGACGAGTGGCAGTGAAATAAAACTTATGGCTGTGTACCCTGACCTACCGACCTAACGGATGCATATATATTACAGGAAACCGGCCATGTATGTACTGGTCCGCCTACGTAACGCGAATACGAGAACGTGGAGGTCCGTTTTGGTGCATCCTGGTTACCGAGGGCCATCTCTGCGGAAAACTGCGGAATTTCCCTAAATCTAAATGCGAATCCTTCAGAAAAGTATAGCCACCCCGCAGCAGGATCAGTAACTTTAAATTGAAAAAGAAGAGACGTCTCGAACACGTACTAGACTGAAACAGGGAGCACGCGTTTCCCCTACTAAAAACTTGAGATTGGGAATAAAATTGATGGGAAAGCTGGTTCCACCCTCAGTAGTCACTTCTTAAGCGAGATTCAAGAAAATTCTGTACGGTGGAATGGAAAAAAAAAAAACAATTCCTACCCATTTTCCCCATCGAGCGAGGAAGTCCTCAAGGAACGCTTATTTCCGTCGAGTTCATTGTAAAGCGTCGCCATACGTTGCAAATAAATAATTAACTAAATTACTGTAATATAGTTCGTCCGTTTAAGAAACTGCTCATTGATCTTTGTCGTCACTTTTCGATTCCTCTTCCCGAAGACTGGACTTCAGACGCCGTTGCAACCCCATAATGGACTCGTAATGGAGCTTAGCTTGAAGGTTCTTGTAGGTGAACCTCTGCACCAGCGAAGCGCTGTAAATTCGAGTGGGATCCGTGATAGCCTTGTGCATCGCGGCTTCCCGTCTGGTAAGTAAAAGGGAATTCCAAGGAGCCCAGTCGGAGTTCCACCAGAATTTCACCAATCTCAGCTGGTCCAGGTCGCGGCACTCCGAGATGCCGGACTTGCCGTGCCAGACGACGTTCACCAGCTGATGGACCAACTTGGCGTCTATCAGAAAAGCTAGGCTGGTGTAGCACTTCGAGCGAGCCTCGGACCGACGCAAGTCCTGCAGCATCTTCTGATAAGGTGCGTGGATCACCGTCACCGCTTCTCTAGGTCTTGCCGTAGAACGACTTCTACAATCTGGTCCAGGAAAGGAGCGACGACTCGCGTTCTCGTAAAAAATCGGTCGACCACCCTTGTGAGGAAATCTAGAACCGCCTGGAGAAATCGCCTCCGACCGATCGTCTCGAAAATCGGGACTCTCGACCCAGCACCGCAAACCGTGTACGAGATGCAGATAGGCGATTCGCAAGCGATTCCGCATTTGGTCCATGGTAGCGGTGGATACGCCATGAGCTAGTAATAATTTTTCCTGCTCGATAAGGTAACCGAGTTCCCGAGACGTTCGGCAGGAGTGCACCTCGGCAATTCCCTCGATGGACTCCAGGAGACTCAATCTCTCCTCCGATGAAAGGTCCTTTCTTTTGAGCGAGTCGTGAAGCTCCTTGTACTCCTTGGCTCGCAATACTCTCGGCGTGTCCACCAGCAGCACCCTGCCACCGCTGCCCTTCCATCTCTCGGAGGTGGCCAACTGCTCCAGGAACCTCGACCTCTCTGTCTCGTCCTTTTCCCTTTTAAGGCGCGTCTTGATATCGTCCAGTGCTCGTATAACTTTTACCTCCCTGAGGAGGATCAAGCCATGTGCGGCCAGTCTGGCACCTGCGAACAATTCCCGATTCGCCCTCTCCACCTCCGTTATCCTCCAGCGGTCCAGCAGGTTGTGTATCGTCTCGAAGTCCGACCTACTCCTCGGCTCCCTGGTCTTGATAACGTGGAACAGCTTGTCGTAGTAATGCATGGGGAACTTCTTCATGAACAGGGAACTCGGTTGCAGGATCTCGTGGACCGTTCGCAACAATTTCTCGATGGCCATCCTCGCCCGGCGAGATCTGAAGAACCTCTGAATCTTGATCGCGCTCTCCTCCCTTATCAAAAACTCCTCGACGTCCGTACCCGCGAATCTTCGGGGATTCTTCGGAGCCAGAATCTTATCTCCGGCACTCGGGAAATGAGCACTCTCCTCCGATACCTGTACACCCTTCTGTTGGCCGAGATCTTGCGTAAACTTTTCCAGGGTTGTCTGCGTGATCCGAGTTCGAAGACGCTTCAGGGCAGATCTGCTTGCTTTGCGGAGAGTCTGCGTAGAAGCGTTGTGGTATTCGACTTTGGTAACAACATGCCGCCATCCCCCGAGGAACGGCTTCGAGATGCTTTGGTTCTCGATCTCGACCACCACCACCATTGTCGTGTATGCGAGGAATTCACCTGAAAACCATGTGACGACGTTGGCCGTGCCCTGGAGCAACAGAGGACTCTACGAGGCGATCCACCGAAATTCCACCTAACGTCAATAAACTCGGATAGTATTTAAAATGACACATTGTACGGCAAATTGTTAAACCGTGGTAACAATTAAAATCTTCCACATTCCTTGTTTCTACGGATAATACCTGAATAAAATGCAAGAGACGGTTTCCGTACCTATAACTTCCCTATTTCCACCTCGCATCTCGCTTAATTCCTAACAATCGAACCAAACTAGTCCGATCTTCATTACGACTTCGATCCGACAACAATTCGTCGTAAATTACATCAGTACGTTAAGCGATCGTTAAGTCTGAACGGAAAGATCGTTCTTAATTTGCCGTAAAAGGTCGGAAGTAATGATATGAAAAAAGGTAACAATCGAATATAAAGTGGAATTACGGGAGAGACGACGTATCGATTTTAGTGCGACAATGGGAGCATTAATACCTTTACCGTATACTTCGTTGCGATCGCAGTGATAATGAAAAACAATCCTTTTGACAAATGCGACATAATTTGAAGAAAAAAAAAAGTGCTAGATTTTTGACCGAGTCACGAATTTGCCAATTTTTATCCTGGTGACCCCGAGGAGCCTTCAAAGTCGGGAAAAATTAATTAATCAACTTAGTGCCGGGGCGTGTACTTACGTCGCCGATAAAGAGAGATGGATTTTTCGAGAGGCCACGCGAGGAATAGCACGTGTATATTTCTACAAGGTCTTTCCCGTGGTAAAGCAATTGTGATACGCGTAGCATGCGTCGTCGCTCGTGGCAACTGGTCCAATCGATCAATCGCTCCTGTCTTGAAGGAAAACTCAAGAAATAACTCCCGTCTCCAAAGACTTTATTAAATACAAGAAACGGTTAGACTATCCATTGAGGACTTAAAGGAAAAATTTAAGTGAAAGACCGACAATGAAAAATGATCTTACTTTCAACAACCTTCAAGAGTTCCCCGAGGCACGTAATCCTCCCTATCTTGAATCATGTAATAACGGCCAGACTCTCTAAAGATCATTTCCATCCGAATGAGATTCCTGCAAATTATGCCGTAGATTAGGAAACAAATTAATTCAACCTAATCCTGAACAACGAAAACCTGGACGAACAGTAAATCGTACTTAAAGTGATTCTTCGCCACCTGATGCGCCAGACTTATTTTATGCAACAATCGCACAGAATACACCGTCGGAAAATCCTGAACACGTTTGTGAACCTCGGCTTCCTCGTCGGTCAAAAGAATGCAATTCCACGGAGACCATTCCTCATCTTGTCTGAACCTAATCAGCTTGAGCCTGAAGATATCGTCCTTCTCGCTGACAATCGAATGCCCGTGCCAGATATTGTTCACAAGGTGATAAATATCCGGTCCGCGCATAACAAACGCAACGCAAGAGAAGCTATTTCTTTTCCGCTCCTCGGCGCGGATATCGTTCAATAAAATCAGATATGGACCGTAATTAATGCGAGGAACTTTACCCCGACGTAGCCACGTGCAGCCTGAAATTGCAATTTATGTAAATAAAAAAATTACACAAAGTACCGCCAACGTCCCCTCTCAAAGAATAGAAAAAAAATCCCGACAAACTTACTCATACACCGCGCTATTCGCCTCGTTCCAGAATAAACGGAGAATCTGTGATAGGGAATCAATTTCGCGCAAGACCGACACAACAGGAACTTGGTATTTCTGGGTGGTCCGAGTTGATCGCACTGAGAATCATTGAACTCTTCTTCCTCTCTATTTGCGCGTACACGCGTATGTCCGCCTTTGGCGAAGTTCAAATACGCCTCTGCAACAAAGAGTCGGTGTCAATAAGGGTCCAACGAGCTGTTGCGCTAAGTGTGCTCGTGCAAATGTGCTCGACGAGCTTGCAGAGCCCCTCGAGCACAAAAGCTGCAAGAGGGATTCCAAGTAAAGAGCATTAAATTCAGCATAATATAACTTACGAGCAACGCGCTCCCTCAGCTGCTCCAAATGCGAGCTCTTGATGCCAACAGATATCAACGAGATCTCTTGATCCAGTAAATACCCAAGTTCATTCGATGCGCGACAATCCAGTCTCCCGAGGAACGTTTTTAACAGAACCAGCAATTCTATGCGCTCTTCTACCGAGGTGCCTCTTTTGCACAGACCGTCGTAAAGGCTTTTAAGCTCGCGAGCTTTTTGAACCTTCAGAGTAACCATTTCTACCGGCTTCCCTTTGTATCCGTTCCATCTTATAGGCTGACAATTCAGGGTTAAAAACTGAACGCGCTTTTTCGCCTCGAACTCGCGCTTGATAAGCTGTCTGTGCTCTTCGATGGCGTTTATCATTTTTATGCTCTCCGCCAGGGTCATGTAATTTTCGGACAACCGGGAGGCTTGGAAGCGTTGCGATAAGGTCGACTTTCCTCGAGCCAGCTCCCAAGATTCGACCATATTGAACAACGCGTGGAAATCTGCTCTGCTCCGTGGACAGATTTTTCGAAGTCTGTCCTCTTCTCGTCTCCATCTGTAACGATATATTAAGATTTCCCCATTTAATAGAACATCTCACCCTGGAAATTCTTATCCCGAGATAATCGTAAACTCACTCTAACGCGAGGACTCTGTTCTTCTCGTACATTCGGCAATTCTCTTTCAATTGTCTGTACAAGGCGGCGGATTCACGTATGTATTTTAATACTCGATACGCTCTGTAGTATCTCTGGATGGTTCTTACATGACCTTCGGTATTGAGTCTTAATTGCATCTGCTCGTATGTCTCGTACGGCGTAGCCGTCATGTACTTGTCCGAAGCATTAGGGATGTAACAGTCTTCTCTACGGCATGATTTCAATTATTACGCTATTACAAGAAATATATCTTAAATATACACGAGGTGCCTTGTACGGGAGACGGTGAATGTCCATTTATATATGTATATATTATTAACTATCGATATTCCGTACAAGTACGTCCTACGATTTTAAGTTTGTCGAGTATTCAGGTTACCGCCACATTTGTGTGCCTCGGTGGCAAAGAGGTTGAACGCTTTGCTCCTTCGTTTGGACGGTCTGACTTTTTTGACTGCACATCTGGCTCCATGGTATTTCTTTTGGAGGAGGGCCTGTTTGAGATGCTGCATTTAAATACACTGCGCCGGTTTCTTTATTCTTCCAGCCGCCCAGATACGGTTTCTTAATCCGGCGATCCTCTACTACCGCTCGTGGTAATACCATTATCTTCGGTTTTCCGGTTAAATCGGTTTTTAATACATTCTATGCAATCCTTCTACTCATTCTGATAATATTTTTGAAAAGTAATCCGACATTTGGGAACAAAGTAGCAATGGGACTGTGATGATCAATTATTTCAACGCGTCGTCATTACCTTAAATACGATATCAAGTCCATGTTTTAACCGAACATATATTTATTAAGACCTCATCCCTGTGTAACTTGGGTCACAAAATTATACATCATAAATAGAAGAAATAACCAACCGTCGACAGAAAAAATAATTGCAGATGGAAACCTCGAGCTAAATTATTCAATGATTTTTAAACGGTATTATCGTTTTCGAGAACTTATCCGAGATTTATTTTACATCTGGAAAATACACAATGCAACAACTGCGTACATTGTGAGATCTCTTCGCGAGTCTCAGAAAATGTGCCATTTGTAACAACGTATGCTAACACACTAACTTCCACAAATTTTTTAGTATAACATCACGCCCGTCGGGGTTTAATTTACATTATGTTTGGAACGAGATTATCTTTATATATTCTAGGATGTGCAGATTTCGTACGTGTGCTCACATGTTTAGCAAGATAATAAAACGCATAAGCCCATCTATAGAACAAGCTTCGTTGTTAAAATATAGAAACAAAATTTGTTCTTCATATCGCGAAAAAATTCCATAACGGACTCATTTCGAAACTGTACAAAAATTACGACCAACATATTATTTGCGTCTATTTAATAGTCACTTGCTTAAGTAAAAAAAAAAAGAAAACTTTACGAACGCTGGAAATCATATTCTTCTTTTACTATTCCAGAACGTGTACTCTTGAACAATTGAAATTATTTGACGCAAGATTTACACCAAAATAAATAATATACCAATCGCTTTGCAAAAGATAAGCTATTAAAGACTAGAAAGTTTATGTCAATTTTATTAATGGGAAATGTTGATGGCATGAAAAGTCGAACACCGGTGGTTCTTTGGATTCTTTCTTATGTCCGCCAGCTAAGAGCTTTAAAACAATAAAATTAGTCTTTGAAACTTTTAATAAATCGTTAATCTGCAAAAAACAGTAACATAGATTAATAAACTATAACTAACTGTACGAATTCAATTTACCAAAATGTCTTTACCTCATTGACGGTATTTGAATTTGGTGGGTAATGTGACAATGCACGCTCTAACATATTTCTTGCTTGATGAAAATGACGACAACCTGCTAAATATTGCATTTCACTTGCAACTTTCTCCTAAAACAAGAAAATCCCCCGAAATTATTAACTGGTTTAAATATATATTTACTTGGAAGATGTCGTATCGAGCACTACATAATCTCAATTCAACAATAGAATTCTACATAATTCTTCTTCTATACATACATTTCTTTTATGCATTTGATTATTCGTCATGTCCTTAAATTCATGGTACGGAACTGGGGGAGGCGTTGGAAGAGAAAAGAATGGCAATAGCCTGTGTTCGTACCTCACTCGTTCAGAGTCAAATTGAGTTTCAGGGAAGGGTATTTTTTTATCCATACAAAAACCAATTAGAGCCTGAAAAAACGATGAAATAATTGTACACGTGTAAGAAATATTAAATAACCCACGTAATAACAGAATAAAACAAAACTCACTTTATAATAACCGCCACAGATGTTCTGCATAGCTTGATATCGTAATATTTCTGCATTATACGGTCTCGATGCTGATTTCTTTTTCTTATTTTTTGCGCTCTTTTTACCGCCTCTCCCTTTATGCGCATCATTATGAATATCTTGTTCTATCAAAAAGGAATCAGCTCTTGTAATAGCTGATACCAGCCAGCCATACAAGAATTCATACAGATACCAAAATATATAATGATATTCATGAACCGAGTACAACTCCAGTTCAAAACCACTTAACAAATATAGAACCATAACACGTAGAGTGTGATATAATATCCATGTTCCAAAACAAACTAGATGAGATCTCGGTGCATCAGATTTTAAAGATAATGTATGTAAGTATCCGTCCACTCGTTCTGCCTAAGAATATAATGATGGTTGTCAGATCTTTTTAAATACCAGCATAAACAACAAAGTTTAATATAAGGAATAATTTCTGACCTCATCCTGCAATGCAGCAAACTCCTCCAACAAGTGAGCTAATTTGTCTCTTTGCCTTGCTCGGTTATGCCCAGTAAGTTGTAATAAACTGCCAAATATACTGACACAATGACTCAAAAAATTATCAACGTACTCCTTGGCTTGATGATTTTGAAGTAAAGTACTTTTTGGCATCAAAGAAGGTGGTGCAATGAAATTTCTCGCTGCATCCCTTAGAACATCGGCAAAATTTTGTGTACCAAATACGCGGTTAGTTGTCGGCAAGTATACTATTTGCAGCATAGACCTAGATAGTATACAAGGGCTTTGACGAGAGAATTCTAAGAAAAAATCCTAAAAGCAAAGCACTGAAATGAAATTATTTGCACAAAATCAGTTGTCGTTAATGTTCGATTTATCTTACCAGTGCTGCATGAAAACTTGAATATCCAGTAATTTTGATGACTGTTTTAAAACGATTTAGCAACTCTTCCAAATATTCTAAAGCTTCAATCCTTGGCTTTATTTTAGTATACCTTGGAAAGGTTGGTGGTAATAACCTCTGATTCACCATTGGATCAAATCCCATGACATTTGGATGATTAGCTTAAAGATTAAATCAATTATGATAAAAATAATATAAAGTACATACATTTAATACATATTACTTGGTGCTGTGTGTATCACGAGGTACTAACATATTTCATCAGCTTTGGCACCTCGATGAATAGTCTTAATCATGACTTGGATCATGTCGATGCAATTTGAAAGCAGTCTCTGCCAATCCGCCAAATTCTGTTGCACCTGTTCTTTCCTTCCCATTAAAGATAATGTTTGATAAAACATTTTTGTAAATCTTATCCTTGCATATAACGCTAGTCCATCATTGTACTACAAATTAATTATCTCTCATTTAACTTACTCGTACCAATAAAACGTACGAATAACATCGGTTTTGCACAAGAATCGAGTCACACCTATGACAAGGAAATTATTAACTGAAGGACAATGTTACCTCTCTTTCGGTTTCGTCGTCGACCGGTTTTATTCGACTTTTTCTATGTAATTCTTCTTCCACCTCTCTCAACATAGAAACAGTTTTTTGTTCAGTAATATCTTGTTGCAATCGATACCCATAAGTAACACTTTGGAAATCCTCTTCCTCAAAAACTGATGCTTTATTAATACAATCTTTAATAATCTCAATTATTTTGTAAACAGCATAGCAAAACGTTTTTAGAGTTTTGTCTAATATCTGTCCTGGCTGGTGCAGATATAAGTTTGTAAAAACTGTTTGCGCTAAGCTATGCCCTTCCAACCACGATACTATACAGGAATACGTTGAATCTATGATTCCTATTATCTCGGAAGGAGTTAAATTGTCCAACTTGATAGCACCAGAATCTACAGCTTGGGTAAATGTATATGGCTTATTATTTCCCCGATTACAAAGCATCCCTGCATCCATTTTGGGATCCATCATCTCGATCGCAGACATGGCTTCAAATAATCCAAATAGTTCATCGTGTAATAATTCACCCAATTCCAGTCCTAAACACATTTATTTATCTTTACACATCTATCATCCACTAGTTTTATAGAATACTATTTCGTCAAGCAGTAGCGGTTCTTTGAAAATAATGCATTCTTCATGGATCAATTTATATTACATGAAAAATCAATACCTGTGATAGCCTCGAAAAATTCATTTGTAATGTCCACCCAATTACAAGTGACGTGATAAAATCTAAAAATCAGTACAAAGTCATAAGTTAAAAGTTGTATGTAAATATGGTCGATATTAGGTTATTTCACACAAGCACTTAACATAAAATGCTATTTTGGACCATTCAAATTCTTATAACATTTTCCTGATACTTAACAACTACGGTAATGTTTTCTACAAATGTTATAAACTCACTGGGATTCTTCTTCATTGTTTAAATCAAGTAAACTTTCTTCCTCGACCGAACTCGCCATTTTTGTAGGCTGTCAGTTCAGGCATAGAGTAAGAGCAGAGGTCCATGCCTTGAGATTCGTCATAATCGACGAATCGCTGCCGCCTAGAGGTCCCTACTTGAAACTTAACGTTAATTAATACGTCCGTTAGGTAAAAAAGTTTGGTATTGGTAACAAAATAAATGCCAAATTCGGAAACTCCTTTTTAAACGTGGGAGGGACCGCTTCTTCACGGGCCGTTTCACCACCATCACGAAACAGCTACCAATTGTATATTTCATGACATACTATTCCTATTTAACTTTAATATGGAATTTACTTGTGGAGAGAAAACAGAAATAAAACATTATGAATTAATCCATTTTCCGGATTAATTTGTTAATTATGATCTGACTTAATAATCATGTGCCATTTTCATATATCTTTAGTAATATTCTTGTAGATTGACATTTTATCACTTCTTCGTGGATAATAATTTAAAGACACCAAATTCTTAAATATAGAATGACAGAAGTTGGAAGTGGAGATGAAGACGAGGACGTAGTCTTCGAGGTATTTTATATGTGGTCTACAAATTAATTCGCATTGTTGATAAGGTGTACATTTGGAAACTGAATTTTCACATTTACCAAATGTTATCGAAGTATTGGACTTATAATTTACTATGACTATATCAATATTTTTCTTCCAATAGGGCAGCGAGCTTTATGATGCGTTGACAAAAATGGGATATACGGAATTTGAATCTGCAGCGGTTACTAGAACTGAGATTTCTGAATCTTCGGATGTCTTTCTTTCAGAAGTAAGTCGAGACTGGTATATTATCAATATATGTTTATTGCACAAAACATTACTGATATTGTAGGCGTTTTTTAATGTTTTTTAGTCTGTGCCATCTCTCGACCAAAGTAAATCAAAAAGTTCACTTAATGTATTCCTTCATAAGATGCAGGTAATAATTTGTATTCTTGTAAAAATATTTATTTATTTAACTTTCGTTTATAATCTATTTATCAGGACAGTGATATTTCGGAAAAACAATTGAAATTAATTTTGCAAGCAGATATGTTGTTAGACGATCATGCAGCTCTGATTCAAAGTTTTCTTAAGAAAAATTGTCGAACTTTATGGGAGTAAGTATTAGTTAATTTATGCAGAGGTTATTTTTAATTTTATATTATTATTTTACCAATATTTCAGGACTATTGTTCAGTGGCTACCTTCTACATTATCTACAACTGCAAGCATATTGTCGATTAAGTGTAACAATATTATAACTCTGACTCTTGGATTTCCCGTAGCAATTATTTTTGCATACCGCATATATGAAAAATATTGTTCTTCAAAACATTTAAAAAATCTTATTTCTGCACAAAATGAACTGTTTCATTTGTGTAAAAATACTCTTAAGATACTCCGATATCGATACAGGATGAAAATGTTGCCAGCAAAGTTTGGACAAAAATTTCTGTGAGTCACATGCTGTTGGTATTGTACATTCCAATTCTCATCCCAAATAGGATAATCATCCCAGGATAATTATTAAATGCAAGTTTTTATATATTTCCAGAGAAATGGGATCACAAAAATTAAAATATCTCCAGCCTCTTATGGAAACTGTTTTAAAATCTATGCAAGACGCATCACGACTATATTATCGAACTTCATTGATCATTGGCAAATTGCTTCCTACAACCATTCCCATTGAGTCACTAATAACTATATTTGACAACAAAAAATTTATGATAGTAGGGGAGGTTACTTACGATGCACTCAAGGTATGTCTATAATAATTATAAAGTAGCAGCAGAGTGTTGAAACTGTTCTGAGTACCTTATACTGCTGCAGCACTTGTACTATGTTTACATCCTTGCCCAGTCTGATATGCTATATACGTTAGCTACCGCATACTATAAAGACACCTGGCTAGAACATGGCACTCTTCCAGAAGCGGCACTGTCTCAAATAATTTTAAATGTTCATCGACCGTTAAAAGGATATTGTACAAAATTATCCAAAATCATTAGAGCTTATCGATCAAACGAGGTAGATCTCGTACGACGCCCATACAGGTACACTTTTATAAAAACAATTTAATATTTAATAGTGGTTCTCTGTAACATCTAAACATATATTCTGCATATTTCTTTATGTTCCAGGGGTATAGTAGTGCCAAAATGGCAAGATTTATATGTACAGTTGGATTTAACTTTGCAAAAGATACAACTGACATATCAGGGTCTTGCATCAATCCTCGAAAACATTGACATTTATTCCGAGACTAATATAAATGACAAGGAACTTACAGAAATAATAATGAAAAAATTAAATGAAGTTTGTAAGGAAATGGACACTGCAAGGAATTTTACAGAATTCAGTTCTTTATTATTAGCCAAAATGCAACACACCCAGTCTAAGGAGATTCATAACGAAGAAAATTTATTTGATAAATCGATTGCAGTATCTGAATTACCAACATTCTACGATGCCGAGCCTGAAGTTATTGATGAGGTTTTCGAGGAGTATATTAATGAAGAGTACTTAAAACCTCTATACCAAGATAGTGAATTCTCATCGTTAAACTATAAACTAGATAAATTATTAGCGAAAAACCTTATGAGTGAATTGAAAGAAGTATTAGTTGAAAAGCATAGAGAGATGTCCGAAAGAGAGTCCAAAGCATTACAACGTATGTACAACAGTATTTCAAAGAAATCCAGCCTGGAATTACAATGTAATCAAAGTACGAATACTTCAAGCATGGAAGTACCAGTACCTCTTCCCAGAAAAAAACGAATATCTGTTATTCAGGAATCTGAAAATAATTTTAATCAATTCCCTGAAAGTGGGTTAGACATTTGTGGCACACAGAATTCTACAATCTGCCAAGAATTAAAACAGCCTCCCGTTCCACCGCCATTGCCAAGAAAAAATATTTTCAGTACAAGCAATATTCAAGCAGAAGACGATTTAGATATTCATAAGGAAAATATTTCAAAAATGTCTGCTGACCATATAGTGCAATCTTCGCCAAATTTTCCTTCTATGTCAAAAAGTGAAGAATTAGGTAGTTCTGAAAACCTGCAACAGCCCCCTTTGTCATTTTATCCCCCAAAACTAGGTACGACTAAGGACGATATTCCTTGTTCTCCATTTTCAATTCCCGTTGATAGAACAGGTTTGAGACCATTCTTTCAATTATCCGAAGAGACTTTTGTAGGAAGTGGAGAAAACACGGAAAGTGTATCATTAAGTGATATAGAAGAAGATGATATTCATCAATGATAATATTTATGACGTATTGTATCAATACGATTAAAGTCAATGAATAAAAGATGCAAACAATAGATTTTTTTTCTATCAATTACTATTGAAGTAAACACTAGTCCGCTGAAAAATAATAGATGAGAACGTTGGCTTCACGGCTGAGAAGTAAATCAGATTAAATTTCTCCTAAGAGATTTATGTTTAGCGCGTATAGTCGCAGAAACGGATATGTTCAGGAACTGCAAAAACGTAAAATCCCGTTTTCACGTAATTTACGTCGCGTACAAAACTCGTGTCGTAGAATCTAGTAATTTACTAGAAATAACTACATAAATTACCAAGGATATTTTAGGTATTCAACCCTATGGAAATAGTAAATAAGTCAACAAAATATTTCATTTAACCGTTCAGTTAAATGTTGGAAAACATTGTTGTCAGTTGAAAATGCCCCTTCCAGCAACGTTGGTTGCTCGACTAGCAAAACGAGGTCTTATTACAGGATCCGATAAGCAGGGTAAGAATCTAATCTGTGTATTTATCAATGTTTTGAAAATTCTTGTTATTTATATTTATGCAAAAGCAAGTCATATCAGGCAATACACTTTTTTGTATTCGTCTAAGCAGAGTCAAGAAAAGAAGCAAAAAAGAAAGTTCATGAAGAGGTTATAGCCGAAGACTATGACAATACAAAAGAGGAAATCAACCAAATTGATCTTGTACAGAAATTCATGGTATGTATTATTTTCAGATTTTATATGTGGCCAGAAATTTTCTTTTCAGGAACTTAGGAATAAAAGCTTGTTCCTTTTCATATTTTTATCTTATGCAGGGATACAATGGTTGTCCAAACAAATATAATATTTATCATGAGTGTAGCAAGAAATGTAAAGAAATGTGGGGAACTGGACATTCACAACCATCTGATAAATACTTGAAACGGCAGATGAAACTGATTCAAAAGTATCCTTTACCAGAAACATGGAAGGCCATTTATGATCCTGGGTCGTACGTGCTTTATAATTTAATAACAATTCTTGAAAATATCAGTGATTACATTTATTATACTAGATAAGAATTCTGAAATGTTTTGTTATTTTTTATTGTATAGAGGACAGCATTATTATTGGGATTGGTCATCAGATTTGGTGGCATGGTTACCGCCTGGTCACCCAAAGTGTCAAATATCCCAACCAGCTTCACAATTAAGAGAAGAATTGCATCTTAAAGCAGCTGATCAGGATGATATGTCCAGTGACGAAAGTGGTAGCGATCAAGAAGCAATGGAGGTTTGTGGAATTGAGGATTATTCAATCTAAAAGTGATATATAATTTCTTTTAGTCATAACACATTTTAATTTATTATAGGTGGATGATGTAGAACTCAAAAAAGAAAAAAAATTAGAAGTCAAAGAAAGATACAAGGGACCAGATAATCGGAGAGTCCAGAGGTTAGAGAGCGGTAAAGAGAAGAAAGATCGAACTTTAGATCCCATGGATCCAGCCTCTTACAGCGATATTCCAAGGTTTGTATTACCGTATATCTTTATGCTACATAATTCTTTAAATCCTACTTTTAAAAATATAAAAATTATTCTTGGTGATTAATGAGATTATTACAAATGACTATTCTACAGAGGTAAATGGTCCGATGGCCTAGCGAGACATAACGAAGCTAAAACTGGTGCCGATACAACGGCCTCGGGTCCTCTATACCAAATGAGGCCATATCCAAGTCCTGGTGCAGTTTTACGATCCAATAAAGCTAATAAACAAGAATCCGAAAGTTCCAGCAAGCCAAAAGTTTCATTTCCAGAAAAGCCAGAATAAGACTAGGCGGCACTTCATAACGATTTCTTCTAATTATGAACGTCGAACCTGGATTATATTTTAATCACTTATTTAAATCATTGAAACTATGCACAACTCCTGAATAGTAACCTGTAAAAAACATTGTAAATCAATCCATTGCTTAAATTTAATCTGGACACGTCATACAATTTTTTAAGTTCTTGCGAAACAGATACATGTTATTTAGGAACGTATGCTTTGCATACATTGGAATATTCATGTTAATTATTAAAGAGTCAGAAAGTGTACAATACTCGAATCTAAGGTGGAAAGGAATTTTTAAAACCGTTTCTCTTTCCTCCCGCGCCATTCCTCTCCCCCCACCTTTTGCAGTCAATTGCATGCCTGCAGCAGCTGCAAGGTGCTGCAAGTGGCAAGCTCCCGTGCGCGCGCGTGCAAGGCGCACCGTAATAGTGTGTGCACGTTTTTGCACGTAGTGGTTCGTGAAGTGCGTGGCAGGGGAGCGAACTCGAGGACCGATCGCACGATGTCTCGTCTCTTCTAAACGCATTTTCTATAATAATTGTCCGCTCTGCTCGCAATGAAAACATAGATGTACTTCTCTTGATAACAAGCGTCCCCGAAGTAGAGTATTGCGTCGGTGAGCCTATCGCAGATAAAGGTGATTCCAAGCAATTCGAGAACGTGACAGGAGATGTAGCTACTCTGGAATTTGTTTTGGAAAGGGAAAACGTCACTTGAAACTCGAAGAACTCACGCACGGAAGAACTCCGATGCGACATAACCCCCGGACAGCTGTTCTTTAAATCGTGTGGCTGAACCGCGCTTTCGAACATCTTTTGGAGCGCGGCGAAGACATCTCTCATTCCTTAAAGCATGAACGTAGAGCGAGTCTCTTCTGACTGCCAATGGATAAGTCGAGGATAATATGCGTGAAAGTGACCAATCTCTGCTAACAAACCTCCCAAGGTATCGGAGAGTTTGATGAGGATTCCACCCTCGTTTCTATCCTAAGGCTTTAGCTTTTGAGTTTTGAGGCTATGTAGGTCTACTTGAAAGTATGCAAGGTTATAACAAAGAATAATTTAGAACAAAGCAACATCAAAGACGTTAAATGAAATATAAATTGCTGCAGGTGTCGGGAAGGACGTATTATACTGCATCGCTCGCTGTAATTTAGTTAAATTTTAAAATATGCGAATTTGTAATCGGGGCTTCAAATTAAAAAAAGAAAAACTAGAAAATTATACCCATCAAAATTATTAGTTCCCGAAATCAAATATTAGGAGTCCTGCATTTACGATATATTACAATAACCAATTTTTTGGGCCACAATTTTATTAATTCTTGGATATGAACATGTTAAGTCCACATTATATTTAATCAGGCTGTCCCTTAAAATAACATGAGCTGAATCATTATTTTTATGTGGATTTGTTACACTTGCAAACAATCAAGGTTATAACAATGACATCTACATTTCAGATACGTTGCATAAGCATGGAAGATGTCTACCTTTATTTGTGTATCATAAAAAATGAAGGTATATAAAGTACCATGTAACATGTTAGCCAATGCAAATTATTGATTCCACAGATGTCGGGTGAGGAATGCGAAAGCGAGATGGACTACTCAGATTCTGACTGTGGCGATATAGGCTACGAGGATTACTACAGTGTACAGCCATGGGGTGGTGAGGTAGACAATGATGGAGATACGGATCAAAGTCGCAGAGACCCTGAATTTACCGTACACGATTGTCTTCGCGTTGAAGAAGTGGAAAGGCTACTAAATGAAAACGTTGAAATTCTGAGTACCAGCCTTCGTATCACGCCGTCCTTAGCCAAACTTCTCTTACATGCACACAATTGGGCATTACAAGAAATTGTTATAAAGTACCGTACCAATGCCTCCAGTCTTTTAATTAATTCTAAAATTAAGCCTCTGTATCCACCTGATCCAATATCAGGGCCAAAAGGTCAAAGAGGTGGAATTTGTTCAGTGTGTGTTAATGGACTACCCTTGGATAGATTTTCTACCCTTACATGTGGACATTCATTTTGCAAAGATTGTTGGTGTATGCATTTTGAAGTGCAAATAACACAAGGAATCTCTACTGGTGAGTTTGTTCAAGTCCTAATATTTTTTAAATGATCCTTTAGTGTACAAAAAATTTGTAGTACCGAATATGTGTTTAATACCATTGTAGGGATATGTTTGAAACAAATATTTATTTTTGCACTTATGAGGTTGAATTTAATGTAACTTAGGAATAAGTTGTATGGCCCAAGAATGTGATGTCCTGGCACCGGAAGACTTTGTCCTTTCTCTTTTAACGAAGCCAAATATGAGAGAAAGGTATCAACAATTTGCCTTCAGAGATTACGTTAAGTCTCACCCACAGTTGCGATTCTGTCCTGGTCCGAATTGTCAAATAGTTATGCGTTCCAAGGAACACAGGGCCAAGAGAGTAACTTGCTCATCGTGTAAAACTATTTTTTGGTATGTTCTGTAAAACTTTTATTTTTACCCTATCATGTATTTCATTAAAATTACGGTAGTGAATTTAACATTTATATTTCAGCTTCCGATGTGGTATGGATTATCATGCGCCCACTGATTGTGGTACAATTAGAAAGTGGCTGACCAAATGTGCTGATGACTCCGAAACAGCAAATTATATTAGTGCACATACCAAAGATGTAAGTATTTCAAAAACCTTTTTGTACAAATTCATTATTATACAATTAATTTACAGAGACTTCAAGACACCTAGTGAAAAAAGAATACTACAAATTAAGTGCATGAATTTAACGAAGCACGGTAAATTTCGTTGAATCATTATTTTATAACACAGTAGTAAAAATGTAATTATTTTTCAGTGCCCAAAATGTCACATTTGTATAGAGAAGAATGGCGGCTGCAATCACATGCAATGCTACAATTGTAAACACGACTTTTGCTGGATGTGCCTTGGAGATTGGAAAGCGCACGGAAGTGAATATTATGAATGTTCGCGTTACAAAGAAAATCCTAACATTGCCCATGAAAGTGTTCATGCTCAAGCTCGTGAAGCTTTAAAAAAATACCTCCATTATTACGAAAGGGTATGTATCTGTGTATATTAAATGAAGCATTCTCTAATTACAATACAGGCTGAAATTATTAGGCAATTTCCTCGTTGAATTCTACTTTCAGTGGGAAAATCATAGTAAATCATTAAAATTGGAGGAGCAAACGTTAGAAGGTATTAAGTCTCGAATCAACAAGAAAGTGATGAATGCCAAAAGTGGAACTTGGATCGACTGGCAACATTTATTCGCAGCTGCTTCCCTTCTGGCTCGTTGTCGCTATACGTTGCAGTACACGTACCCTTATGCTTATTACATGGAACCTGGGCCACGAAAGGAATTGGTAAGAATAATTAAACTCAGAAAATCAACAATCTATATTTAAAGAAAATTGGAAGTCAATTCGCTTATCGTTTCAGTTCGAGTATCAGCAGGCCCAGTTGGAAGCTGAAATAGAAAATCTTTCGTGGAAAATAGAGCACGCAGAAACAACGGATCGTGGGGCTCTCGAAAATCAAATGGATATTGCCGAGAAACGTCGAGTTATTTTGTTAAAAGATTTCCTGGAGTTTTGAGCAAGAACTGGGTTAACACGACTGCTCCATTAATCTTTTGCAATTTCAATTTCTTTTACTTGTGCATAGGCAAGAAAGAAATTATCTCCTATTAACTAATTATATTAATTTTTCGTTCAACGCTTAAAGATTTATCCGAGGCAAGCGACGCCTATGTCCAAATACTGAAAAGGTATAAATAGTGAAAACAATAGTTCGGTAATTTGTTCCACTTTAATCCCGAAAGATAATGGGAATCAAATGGCAAATTTATAAGTTTTCGACAATTTCGAATTGAATAGGTGGCTCTGTAAAGTAAGTACTTGAAGAGTCTTCGTAATGTTTGTCAAATTTTTCAAATGATGCAGATACATCGTGTGAGCTCGTCTTATCTGAACGCAAAATATTGATTTCGATGACAAACGAATTTTACAAACTTCCTACATTTATTATATTTTTATGGCAGCAAGAATGGGCTATGCAGTTCCCTGCCCATCTCTAAAATTAATGGAAGGCAACTTATGAAAATTCAGGTTTCTCGACTGAAATACTGATAATCGCCTAGTACTTTGATCAATATGAAAATTCGTTCGAAACTGCAAGGCATGGAAATTTGGAATACTGAGGAAGAATATCCAAATTGATTTATCATGATTTTACAGTTGAATACTAGATATTCCTAACTTTTTGATTCCTGTTTCTAAGTCTATTCTTCCCGAATCAGTGGAAAAATGTTGTGGCTTGTACTTATATTTTTTGTTGGATAACACGAATAATCTGTGGTGCAATACGAAGCACGATCTTCCGCATTCACTACATGAAATCTCGGCAGCTTGATTTTTAATAATATCAACGACTGCATTCACAACGGATTCGATAATTCACCAAAACGTCATCTCAGCATTGTATGAATTTTCCCAGCAACAATTCAGTGCGATCAACTCAGGAACAATTTCCGTGATTTTTTTTTTTGTTGTATTTGTTGATGTAGATAAACAATTAATTTATCCTACTTACATCCTTCCTAGTCTGCAGGAACTTTTTTCAACGATTTCTTATAAATGAATGCTCAGTTTCCGAAATCCTCGTAACCGCTCATTATCTCGGTGATGTTAGTACAAGTTGTGACGATAGCGATCAAGGTACTATAAGTATTGTATGCCTGTACACATTCGGAATATGTGCCGATCTGAGAGTACAACTTGTACGAAAAAGCGTGTACTTCGACATCGAGTAAATTCATCCCCATCACATTTCATCCTCGAACGGTACAATTGTTAATATTAAATGCTTTTACGTGCGATTTATCGAGTGATTTCGATGACTGGTCCACCCAGTATTCGAGATAAGATAAAGCAAATTCAAGCATGACCAAAAACGTGATTCAACCGGATGAAATAATATAATTTGACGTTTACCAGGGGATTTACAGGAGTATATGGTTAAATACAATTTAGTATCTCAATTTTTACTTTGTTATCTAATGATACTATTCTTTTTGAAGCCCCCCAATTTTATTTCAAAACATCACTAGAAAGGGGGTTTGAAAAGAAACGAACTTTTTAAAAACTGATATATCGTTGACTTTTGTTATTAGCAAGTAGTATCTCTACATAGTTACTATATAAGATTAGCGTAGTTCTGTGCCAAAAACTCACACCTGTTATTTTCCCAAATTATACATTCTCGTAAATTCCCGAATTGGTTTTCGAATCTCGTTTTTGATCGTGTCTGAAATCGCATGAATTTAAATTAATTCTTGATCGATTACTGGACGAGCAGCAATTTAATATCGGCGCTCATTAGTAATCACTTTGTATATATTATTGTAAAAGTACATTCTATAAAAGCCGTGTGACATTTTCTATGATTAGTACATAAGAGTTCATGCAACGATCGAAGTCATATATAGAACTTGGACATATTTTAGCGTTCGAACCTCTTTCCCATTTTTAAGTATTTAAGTATCGATCGATATGCTAAACCAATCGACGTATTGTAATTAATGGAAACAGCTAGGGTTAATACTTGACACAAGAACCGTTTGTAATGGCGAGGGAACGCCGAATGTAGTAAAAAATGTGTCACTAAAGTAATAAAAATATACTTCGTACGCTAAACATGAGATTCGCATAAATATTTATTTCACTTGTCATACGGATTTAACATAAGTGATCATAATAAGAGGGAGCTAGAGGCATAAATCCACTTAAATCCTTTTATTTCGTTCCAATTCACTTCGAATACTCGAATACTCGTCCACCTGCAAGGTCGAATTCAACCGAATTCCAAATTGCGATGTCCTCGAGATCAATCGGGTGCATGAGGTGCGCACGCACCGGTAAAGAGAAACAAACCATTGCACACAATCGACTATGTTAAAGGATGTTTATCACTGCTTATCACATAGATGAAGAGGATCCCTGAGTTGGGCCCATGGCGGGGGCGGGTATCAGGAGGCAAATTCGCGAGTAGCCCGCATTCTTCACCGAGGGCAGCATAGAACGCGATCTCACGACTCAGCCCGTGAGCAATATCCCAACTCATCTCTGGGTAGGAAAGGGAGGGAGTAGCAGGTGCGCGCAGGTGGCAGAGCGAGCGTCATCAGCATGGACCAATCAGGGTGCGAAATCGGGCGGGCCAACTATCTACCTGTTCCGTGGGAAAGAAGAGGTTAGGGGTGGCCTCGGCGTAGTAAGCGGGAAGTAGCGGGAAGCAGCGCGGAGGATTGGGCTGGATCGGGTGAACCTGTCTTATCTCTGCTCGCGAGTTGCGGTAAAATTCGCTGGCTCGGTTGGCCGACGTTGGCGCGAAACGGTCGTAACTAGTAGCGCTGACCAATGCTGGCCGATGAAACATAGGAGGCAGATGGCACCTTCCTAATCGTTTGCACATACACTTGCAGCGCCGAGAGAGGCGGGGGGTCGACACCACACCGAGCCCTTGGTCACCGACGTGCATTCCCGTGCACGCTCCTATGTGCGCCTCTCCGCATGACATTCGCCCCTTTAGACCTCGAGCCCTTGATTCAATCGGTCGCACATTGTCGGCAAACACTGCTCAACAATGGCGATGGGCAAAGCCTTCCGGGTTTATGAGAAGCTCAAGCCGCCGAGTCCGCATTCCCTGATCTTGGAGCAGCGCAACCGCAAGGAGACGGTCCTCTTCGAGTCTCAGGCCGTCGCCGTTCTCTGTAAGCAGACTCCGAGCATGCATTCTGTTAAAACTCGGCTTTTTTCAATTGACACGAAAACGCAACCACTTTGTTTTCCACTGACCGACTGACTGTACCTAAATACCAATACTTGTTTACATTATGTATGTAAATTAAAATAATCGTTACAATTTTGATAATCTTGGATCTATCGATGTAATTCAATAGGTAACTTTTTTACTATATTCTAATTCCCTTCATTAATTTTTGTTATAGCTGCAAGAGAAACGGAATCACTGAAAGCTCAGTATTCAAAATTGTACGATGCTTATGGCTGCTTGGGCGTGCTTCAACTCAATGCCGGGGAAAACACGTTATTGTATCTGGTGCTGGTTACCGGATGCTTCTCGGTTGGCAAAATCGGGGAGACCGAGATTTTCAGGATCACGCAAACTCATTTTGTGCCGATGCATTACACTCAAGGAAACGAGGACAGAGTTTCTGAAGTGAGGAAGGTTCTGAATTCGGGCACATTTTATTTTTCTTGGTCTGCGGGACAACAGGATGCTCTTGATATCACGCTTGGAGTGCAAAGGCGATATAGGTCGACCACCACCGATAATAGATTCTTTTGGTGAGTGAATCCTAATTTTTTTTGTAGATTTAGATATCAAGCTTGAAAGTATAAAATCGTTTTATTTACAGGAACCGAATGTTACATATTCACCTGCTGAGATATGGGGTAAATACGAGTCAGTGGTTATTAAAAGCCATGTGTGGCAGCGTAGAAATTAGAACTGTATACGTTGGCCATAGACAAGCACGTGCCGTCGTTGTATCCAGATTAAGCTGTGAACGGGCTGGTACCAGGTTAGCCTTCTTAAAAAGAAGATTTAATGGTCGCTCATTTTTTAAGATCTATGGACAAATTGTAATGTATTTTCAGGTTCAATGTAAGGGGCACCAATGACGACGGGCACGTGGCTAATTTTGTTGAGACCGAACAGGCCATCTTTTTGGACAACGAAGTGACATCTTTTCTACAGACAAGAGGATCCGTACCTTTATTCTGGGAACAGCCAGGTATTCAAGTTGGTTCCCATAAAGTAAAAATTTCTCGCGGCTTCGAAGCTTCGGCACCGGCGTTTGATAGACACCTAAGTACGATAAAGAAGAGGTATGGTCAACAAGTCATCGTCAACCTGCTCGGATCCAGTCTCATAGGAAGCAAAGAAGGCGAAGCAATGTTGAGCCAACTATTCCAATCCCATCACACCACTTCTCGCCATAAAGACGTTCCTCACATCCTGTTTGATTACCATCAAGAGTGCAGAGGAGGCAATACCAAGAACCTTTCAAAACTGAAAGCAAAAATGGAAAAATATCTGGAGGCCTTTTCTCTGTTCTATGCACTTGGCAATGCAGTGATTCACGAACAAATAGGTACAATTCGTACGAATTGTCTAGATTGCCTAGACAGAACTAATTGCGTTCAGACTTTCTTTGCACTGGAAATTCTAGCTAAGCAGTTAGCACTGTTGAAGTTGCTAGAGAAGCAACAGATGGTCTCAAGGTTCGAAGAAGTGTTCCGTCAAATGTGGATCAACAACGGTAACGAGGTCAGCAAAATCTACGCTGGTACAGGTGCTATCCAAGGCAGCTCGAAATTAATGGATGGCGCACGTTCAGCTGCCCGAACGATTCAGAACAATCTCCTGGATTCCAACAAACAAGAAGCCATCGACATCCTCCTGCTAGGCTCTACATTGAACACCGAATTAGCTGACAGAGCCCGATTACTTTTGCCGTCCAATATGCTTCACGCCCCTCCGAGTGTTTTGAGAGAGATGTGTAAGAGATACAACGAATACGTCGACACCATGAGACTCAGGGTGAGCGTGGGTACCTACAACGTTAACGGAGGAAAACATTTCCGAAGTGTCGTATATAAAAGTGTTTCCCTCTCCGACTGGTTGCTAGACGCACCTCAAAAATGCCCTGGTAAATAAATTTCCTATCTACAATTATATCAATTTAAGTACTCCGCACATTATTTGCATTTTGATTTTAATTGTAGCCTCGATGACGGCCGAGGTCGACGACGTACCCGTGGATATATTCGCAATTGGATTTGAAGAGATCGTCGACCTGAACGCCAGTAACATAATGGCTGCCAGCTCCGACAATGCCAAGGCTTGGGCCGAGGAGTTGCAGAAGGTATTGTCGAGGGACAACGAATACGTGCTGGTGACTTATCAGCAATTGGTAGGCGTTTGCCTGTACCTCTTCATAAGACCCGAGCATGCACCGTACTTAAGGGACGTTGCTGTAGACTGCGTAAAAACTGGCCTCGGAGGAGCAACCGGTAACAAGGGGGCGGCAGCCATAAGATGCGTCCTCTATTCTACCTCGTTTTGTTTCGTTTGCGCACACTTTGCCGCTGGCCAGTCTCAGGTTAACGAACGAAACGCCGACTATGCCGAAATCACGAGAAAGATCACCTTCCCTATGGGACGAACCCTGAATACTCACGATTACGTCTTCTGGTGCGGGGACTTCAACTACAGAGTCGACATGGACAAAGAAGAGACGAAGGAATTGATCAGGAGGAACGAACTCGATCAAATACTGCAATACGACCAGTTGAGAGTAAGTACGGTGGCAACAATTTAATAATCTATATGCCTCAGCCAATTCCTTCGATCCTTGGGGGTTTAACACATTTTTTCTACAGATTCAACAAGATCAGGGAAACGTCTTTAAGAACTTTTTAGAGGGGCCCGTCACGTTTCCTCCAACGTACAAGTACGACGTCTTTTCCGAAGACTACGACACTAGCGAGAAATGTCGACAGCCAGCATGGACCGATAGAGTTTTGTGGAAGAGGCGCAAACAGATACCAGACATAGGTATCGTTCGCTTGCACGTCATTTAAATGATAATATTGGGTGACCCGGTAATACTTACACGTTCATAATTTTTTCGATTCCTATTAAAACAAGTAATTCCGTTTTCGTAGATTCTTCGACGGATTGGAACCCAGGCCACCTGGTATATTATGGCCGTGCCGAGCTGAAGCAAAGCGATCATCGGCCCGTAATCGCGATAATAGACATAGACGTCCACCGGGTGGACCCTGAAAAGCGAGAACTCGCGTTCAGGGAAGTAATCGAGGACCTGGGGCCTTTGGATGGTACCATCGTCGTGAAGGCTGTGGAAGAAAACGAGGACATCGACAGCATCTTCGACGACAGTTTCATGATAGCTCTGCTTCAGGACCTGGCCCACATCGGAGAAGTGATCCTGGTGAGGTTCGTCGGCGAGACGATTTGGATTACTTTCAGAGACGGCCAATGCGCCCTGGCAGCCGCGAGGAAGGGGTCCACCCAGGTCTGCGGACAGTCGCTGAAATTGACCCTGAAATCTCCAGACTGGGTGCGCCTTATAGAGAAGGAAATCGAGATTTGCAGTAACACCACCGAGAGCACGATCCACTCGGTGGACGCGTCCATGGCGGGTACTCCCGTTCAAGGGATGTCCCAGCTAGACATATCCGATGGGGTTTCCTCTGGAAGGACGAGTCCCAACGGAGGACACCCGCCTCCTAGACCGGCTCCTCCTAGTCGCCCTTCTCAGCCACCCAGGAGTCCGGCGCAGGAGCGTCACCAGGGTCCTCGCGCCGGCGTCTTTAGCGTAATGTCCAATCAATTCGCGGCCGCACCCCTGCCTCTTGAGAACAAGGAGATAGAGCATCCGGAGAGGTCGTCCCCCGAGTCCGCGATTTACGAAGAAATTCAAGACGGCTCACCGAATTATCCTGTGCCTAACAGGCCTCCGCCGCTTCCTCGAGCGGACAATTCCCAGGAGATTAACTTGCCGCCTCCGAATTGCGCTCCCCCGCCGCTTCCTCAGAGACAAGTTCCGCTGGCTCCTCCGCAACATCCGCCGCCGAGCTTGCCTTCCGCACCGCCGAAAGTCCCACCACCTGTTCCGGCCAGGACCACCGGTGGACCTCCGATTCCTGCTAGAAACCCCCACTAAAAATTAATTCCGAAACGCGATCCAATTAGCCAGTCTTAGCCAACCAGATTAGTCGACCGATTGAAGCGCCAATTGCAACCAGCGCGTCGTTTGCCAACAAAGGGAAGACTAATCTGGACCCTTCATGTGCGCCTAGTACTTAGCTAATCGTAATATCTCTGGAAGACTTCCATTTGTTCGTCCCTCGAGGACGTAGGTACCTGTATACTCGCCTCCTGGATTAATTGATCGTTTATCGAATCTAATATATCGTAGATTGCCTTCTGAAAAGCGAGGAAGTACCGGTCGACCGCTGAGTAGACATTCCTATGCAAGTCGTCGCACGTTAAATCAAAGTGGTGGACTACTACTAATTGGCACCAAATCGTGCGCGGTATTCGAGAGAGGGAAAATGTACTATTGTTTATAGTCTATGTTATAAATTTGGAGAATCTCGAGGAAGCTTTTGTCACCCTTTGAATCACCGCGAGCGAAATTTAGCGTCACCGCGTTGCCCAAGCTTTAGCTCGACGAGCTGCACCTCGACGTAAAGCATGCCAGTATTAAAAACTACAAAATGTGTAAACAATTGTTGACCAAGCGTAGGCACACGTGTGCGTGTATGTATGTATACGTATATTCAATACGTCGCTCTGTTTTAGGTTTACGTTTAAAGCTGTACATGGTGGAACGAGACGGAAAGGGGTATAAAAAGATTTACGAGCGTTTCTCGTTAGGACGTCTAGCTAATGTTAAATCCTAATTGAAGCGCGGTTATATTTATTTTTAGATCTAATATTCATTTAGTAAGTGTATATACCATGTATGCATCCGAGGATATAAAACGTAGCCCGGAAGAGCAGCTCAATAGTCAGTATGTTTCCTAGCATGGCTTTAATGTCTGACTTTTTTTTTTCCTCGAATCCCTCTTTGAGGACCAAGGAGGGTATCCCAAGGATTACCTCAAATGTAAGAAATTATTGTAATTACACGGACGCAAGAGCTTAAACGTTTAGAATGAATTTAAGCAACGGCACTGCGCAAGTAGCGATTCGCATAAGCAGAGAAAAGTCACTTTTCTGTTTTCCGGCTGGTAAGAATTGCTTATTATAATATAGATTTCAGATGCTGCCAAAGCATTCCACTAGAATTTCTCTCGCGAACACCCAACTGACTTTTTTCTTTCTTCTTCGATGTTTCCACTTGATAAATTGATCGAACCGATCGATCAAGAATAAAGGAGTGGATATCTGCGAATTCAATACCTTGTAATTATTTGTGTAGTAGTTTAAATATACGATATATTCTATACCAAGTTCGTTTCCAATGTCAATTTTAATTCATATATTACCGCCTTGCAATATTATTTCTAATTTAGTTATACGTGGACTAGTGTAAATTTTTATAGGTTTTCTTTTTTTTAATTTCATACCTTATAACGACATTGCATCTAAATTCAATACAGTATACTTGGTGTTAAAAAACTACAGCGATGCTCTGAAAAACTCTTAGAAAAATATTTATTCTTGTATACAATATCATATATTGAAATAGACCCTCTTGCTATTGCGACATTAGCAGATAATGGTATTATTGTCAAAATCGGCAGAAATGCGAACAGTGTCGTATACTTGAATTTGTCAAAGTATCTGAACCTTAAAAATACCTTATAAAAGTTTTACACCAAGTTAAATTCTAGATTGGAATGTCATATGCACAAAACCATGTCATAGAGTAAGAACATGAGAAAAAGAGAAGCGCAAAGTATAAAATGGAATAATCGTAAATGATAAAAAGTGTCTCCCCTACGCGAAACGCGATATGTTCCTAATAAATTATGTACAGAGAAGACGGTACCGTTTCTAGGCGATAACTAATAATTATTACTAGATGAAAGTATAAAGATTATTGAAACACTTTCTCTAACGCAGAGAGCTAGTTTCCACGATGAAGTTATAGTTTCACTGATTGATCTTTAGGAAAACAGATTTCTGCAACGCTTGATAAAATCAATCGATGAAGCAGCATTATTGCGTCACCTTGATTGGGCTCATAAAAACCTAACACGTACGATCAGTACAGCAGAAGTTAGTCTTATGACTCGAAACCTCTACCGCCCCACGGAACGGTTGTTCACAATACAGATCTAAATCCATCATTTGTACTGAGCTAAAATGTATTCATTCCCGCGTCAGGTGAACGCACGAACACATTCGTGCAAACTTTTTTTTCTGTACTCGCATGTAATTACCCAGCCCTCGGATGAGGCAGTACATCATCGAGTCTAACTCAGCAGTCCACAGTTGCTTAAATTATTCTTGATTATAACGTCCGTCACTGCATCGAAGACAAACTGAATGTTGTTCGTGTCAGTCGCGCATGTGAAATGCGTATAAATTTGTTTCTGTTCTTTCCTTTTGTTCAAAGACTCGAATTTCGATTGGATATACGAAGAGCACTCTTCGTATATATTGGCCCCCTCGTACTCCGGGAAACAAATAGTCAGAGGACTCGTTTTGATTTTTTCTTCAAATAAATCTTTCTTATTCAAGAAAAGTATAATCGAGGTGTCAACGAACCATTTACTGTTGCATATCGAATCAAATAATTTCATTGATTCTATCATCCTGTTCATCTCTTCGTCTTCGGCAAGCACCAGGTCGTATCCACTAAGAGCAACGCAAAATATAATTGCCGTAACTCCCTCGAAACAATGAATCCACTTTTTACGTTCTGACCGTTGACCTCCTACGTCGAACATTCTATAAAAATAAAAATAAATTCCATAACTATGAAATGACTCCGGATGCAAAACGTAAAATCATTGGATCATTCTTTACACTTAAACGAGAATTCTAGCATTTTCATCATAACCTTTTACTGCATATTTAATTATATTCATAATTTCAATCTTACTTGAAATGTAATCCTTTGAATGAAAAATGTGTTTCCACTATGCCAGTGGTTTTGACTCGTGTTCTAAGGACATCCTGCTGAGTAGGAATGTAATGGGGTTGTGAAATGCGATCCAAAGCATTCAGATAGTATGCTGCCGAATCGTTTAATTGGTATTCCCTACTGCGTGTAAAACATAGCTGCACTCCGGCATCTTGCCATAATCTTTTCATCAGCATAACCAACTCCTCGGTTAATTCCCCTTCCTCTACTGCTGACGCTAATGCAAAGAACTGACATGCCATATCCTAAAAATTTGTTTCAAACATTATTAAACGTCAAAGAAATTCCACTGTATAAAGCTATTTCTTTTAAACCGAATACTCACAACTTTGTTAGGATCTGCAAAATTGATCCTAAGACATCCCATAGCTCTGATTATAGCCAGTAAACTTTGTATCGTATTACTGTAAACTACAGGCCTGTATTGTTCACATTCTTCCTTACTGTACCCAGTCTCGTGTATGATCTTCATCTGCTTTACAATAGTGGACTTTCCAGATTCTCCAGCTCCTTCAAGTAAAAGAATGAATTTGTTATTAAATCTGCCACGTTTGTTCATACCCCATATTTCATAATTAATGTTAAAAAAACCAAGTACATATACTAGAATACAATCATTTTATTCCAGGAAAGTCTCCTTATTAGTCGTCTACAATCCTTTAAAGAAAAATGATTCATTTCTGCACGAGAATTGAATATTAGTCAAGGTTTTCTTTTAGTATCTCTTTTTGGCAGTGGTTTAGAAATCATATTTTAATTAATAACTACGATAAATATGCAAAGAAATGGAAAAACATTTTCCTTTGCAGTACTTATAAAAAAAAATATATATGTACACAACTGTACAGGTGGTACAATTCCGTGGATTAAATAGTTAAACGCAGGTTAATTAGGAAAGTAAAGTAGCAAGAAGTATATTAAACATCGTGATTGTATAACATTCTCATGATTGCATCTATCTCCTATGAATCATGTTACAAAGACGATGATTCAATGCTATAGGCACTTGCTCTATTGGTACATTCACACACGTTCATTGATAGCAATTATTCCTACATAGTTAAATGATACCTACTCAATGACTTATTTATTTAATGACGAGATCATTAACATATTTTTTTTCTCATGAGCAATTCAATAATTTTCAGACATAAATCAACAGGTGAGTTCCACTTAATTAAAGTTGACATTCGTGCAGTTTTTAAATTACTAAGAGACTTACCTCTGTCTGGACGGGAAAAAAAAAAGGCGAAAAGAATAATCCATTCCACCGAAACATCCATGACAGTGGAACGTGTCGTTTAACGTCGGTTAAAAAACCGGCTAACTTTAACGACGGCAAGAATTAAGAAAGGAAGGCAACAAGAAAAGAGAAGTCGTAAGCCGAAGGGAAGAGGCATTTTCGGAGAGATAATGACGAAACGAATTACCGAGTAGCAGGAGCTTGACCTCACTAGCGGCTCGCTCGCCGTCGGCCCGGAGGTCCTTGTCGATCTTCTTGGACCTCTCGGCGGCCTCCTTCTCGCCGGTGGAGCTCACCGCGCAGCCCATTATGTCCTCGGAGCCGTTTTACGTGCAAGGAAGTTTCCCGAGGTCCTGTCGATCACCCGAGCGGTCCCGAATCGCGCGTACCACGCCTCGCGGCGTCTCGCGCTGACACACGCCGACACGCGCTGATACTTGTTGCGCGGCCCCAATATGGCGGCGAGCGAGAGCCTCTGATTGGCCGTTGGCGAGTGCCGAAGCGCTCTGATTGGTCGCCGTCGGGCCCGACGTTCCTCGGCAGCCCGAACGGCTCGCAACGGACGCACGCACACACGGACACGCACCGTTGGCCGAGCCCTCGCCAATTCTCGGACCCTTCGCAGCTGCAGACCGCTTTTTCCCCCCGAGTAAATTCAGGTCGGTCGGGCGAACGCCGGGGGAAACTTCTCGCAACTTTCGGTCACGGTTGCCGGACCGATATGCCTCTTCACGCGTGATTCATGCGCGCGTGAGCGTTCACATCGATCCCCTGGATCTGCACATTTGAAACTGCTGGAAACCTCTCACTTTTTGCCGAGAACGGGTGGACAAGTGTGGGAAGTCCGACACGTCCGGAAGGGTGGAGTTTGGGCGACGTCGATCAGGCTAAACGGCCCAGGACGCGATGGAGCCGGCTCGGAAGCGGAGAGCTAATTGATCTCGATTGCCCGCTATCGAACGCTACCCCCCGTCGATCGGATCTTGAATGCGCGTCGTTGCGCCGACGCAATGCTCGTTGCACCGTGCGCGACGTATCGCACCGTACCCACGGTGCAAGACGGGGTCTTATGCTACTAAATTATGACTAGCGAGGGGGCGTCCGTGTGCCCTGCCGTGCCCCGCCGAGCCTTCGCGGCGCCATCTGCCGGCGACCGACTGAAACCGTTAGCGATCTTTTCAAAATGGCGCCCTTATCGAATTCGTTCAAATCGGTCGTTTGGAGAACTGTTGTGTATCGGTTTTTTCCTCAACGATTGGAATGATTATAGGCGCGGATTTTTCAAAATATTCGGGTGCGCTCATCCGATGATATTTTCAAGAGTTAACCGAAACAACGGTAGATAACGATAAGCAGCGAATGAAAGACATTTATTATAATAACACAGGTTTTAAAGGTATTGAGAAATTAATGTATTTTAAATGCTTTTGCAAAACTAAATGTAGATACAGCAAAATGTAATAATTCGAGCTATTAACTAGTTCCTCCTGCAGGTTCTCTTTCGTGACGCGCACGTATTGAGTAGTTTTTGTGTTTCCGATTAGATCTACTTGCTGGTATGACTGTAATGTAAATAGAAATGAGTCTCTTACTCGTGTCAGAAGTCAAAAGACCGTGGCATCACGATGGACGGCTTCCTATTTTCGGTAAATTGTATTTACGTACATTTATAACGGGGGCGATTTTTAAAAATTGCGAATTTATACAACTTTTGTATGCACCAGCTATTTCATTTTATCAATATTTCATTAGTACTACAAATTACATTTCTGGAAACTATTGGACTATATAGGGGTTGTACAATTAATTAGAGACGTAATCACGATACCAACGGTCCTGAATAAACGATTAATGGTTTTGTTACTTTTCTGAGCATCTTTGGATTCACAGATTATCCTGGCTGCCGTTTCTCAGACAATAGCATATAATGTATTTCCAACTGCAACTACTAAGGAATACATAGACGAACGATTAAAGGCAACGAAGGTTCAAATTGCCAAAGCTTACATACAAGAAGCGGAACCAGGTAGTTTCCGATATGCAATCGTTTATAAAACTTTCTAATAAAAAATTAATTGTCCAATGCAATTATTCGAATATCCTCAGTGGTAATCAAAACATACAATATACAATGCGAACGATTATGGAGGGATCCATTAAGCACTAAGCATCCGATGGCGATCAATATGTTCGACAAAACATTTATTTTGGATGATCATCGTATTCTATCTATTGCCTTGGACACTTCTCCACGAAGAAACTCCACGTTAAATGAAATTGCAGTAATTCGTCAAGAAAACGTTGTCAAATTTGTCCGAGTAAGTTGGGCCATAATGGTATCGAAAATTTATAACAATTTCCACATTGTACCGTAACTCCGCAACAAAAGTATATAATTTCAGAGCATTAAATGGAAATCGGTAATGTACTTCTTAATATGTCATGAAATGGGGTCATGCTGCATTTATACCAGTCAAGATGATTTTAACTTGATACATCGACAAAATATCCGACACGTAGGTCTACCTACGGATGCGGCTTTCTTTATTCAATCCAATCGTCTCTACCTTGTCATTGCCGACAATGCCGATCAATTTCCGATACCTTCTACGTAAGTAACATATTTACCCGTTTTACAAGTTATATTTTCTTAGAGTCACGTTACGGAATATGGCAAAATTTTTCAGAATTTACCATTGGACTGGCACTTACATGGACATTACCTGCGATGTACTGACAACCGGTGCAGTATCCGTAACAACGTTGAGACACAAACGTTCCACGATTATTGTTTTTGCACAAAATCTCAGAGGAAATCCAAAAATAGGTTCTGAGGTCTTCGTCTTTAAACACAATTACGCCGAGAGAATACAATACCTCGCTACCGATGGACCTGTTTTTATTGAAAGTTATTCCCACGGGGGTTACAATTTTTTGCTTGTAGTAAATGAAGCGGCCCCGAGTGAAGTGTACTGGTGGGATGGTTCGTTAAATTTCGTATAATCATGGAGTCGTATTGCAAGCCATTATTTATAAGTATATACATTTCAGGAAGAGAATTATTGAATTGGATGAAAGTCCCAGACATCCAATCAGCGAGTCTGGTCAAAATCCTTCACGTCGCCGATGATACATTTTTCTTCGTCTCCCGCGGGGTAAACTTTTACATTCTTCAAAATACATTTTTAGATTTGTCGCATAATGGAGAATTCATTTTTATTATAGACCTGAATTACTCTCTTGTTTGAATTTCAGAACTCTCTACAACTATACAAATTTATGCATGTGGCTTACTCACGTCTAGAACTGTGTGACGTGATATACAGAGAAAGAATCGTCGATATGGGAGTTTGGGCAGAAGGATTGAACATTACTTTGGTGCTGGTCACCATGAATTTTACTATGTACCAGGTTGAGCCATGGAGATTGGAGATCAAAAAGTCTGTTCAAGGTAATAAATATTAATCGTGTAAATACGTATTTATTAATAATGTAGATACCTTTCAAAAATTCCAAGTAACGAATGTAACTTGATAAACATTTCTTTCTTGCAGAAAATGTAACGAAACAAGTCGACGTTGCAGTCACGTGTTTGACAGAACTCTCTGACCTCCTAGAAAACACGACCTCAAAAATCGAAAGCATTCTGCACTTATGGCCTTCCATTTATCCATCTGCCGAAAATGTCAGCATACCTGTACCTTTATCTGTCAATAATTTGATCATAGAGGCTGGGAACATTTCCAACATAATAATGTCCAACCCCGCGGCGATAACACCCGAAGATATAGAACGTCGTTTTACAAATCTCAGCTCCTTTGCGAGTCAGTGTTTAAAGAGTTCCGAAAAAACACTCCAGTATGGAAAATCAAATATTTTAATAGGAAATATTACGGTTGAATCCGATGTTTTTTTCAAGGAACTCTCTATAAATTCGCTACACACTGATTCTCTAAATCATAAAGCAGTGAATGTAACAGACGCCATATCATCCAGAAAACCACAAACCTTTTCAAGCCCGTTACGCGGAAGGCTGTTAACCGTACACGAATTGTCTGTAGACTCGTTGTGTGGAATTCCCTTCAATTGTATGTTTTAACATTAATTTTTGAAACAATTCAAGTTTCAGTCCGTCATATATCAATGCGCGAATGAAACATATAAAATAATGTTTCAGATTGGCAATTGGAAAACGACACGATGAGTACTCTCATTAACGAACAAGGTGCAAACATCGATATCCAAAACGATACGATCTTGGTACAATCAGATCTTTCGTTAGGTAATTTAGGAGTGGAAAAATTGAATCGATTAAACGTAAATGCATTTTTGAATGACTTGTTCATATTTGGATATCAGCAGCACATCAAAGGTACGATAAAACAAAATTGGAGGGAAGGGTATTCAGCTGTAAACAGAAATCATTTTTTTTTATAGGAAACGTTACGTACACGGGATTATTGCAAGTGGTAGATTTCACAACACAGACTTTGAATGAAATTCCGGCAGCTGAACTTATTACTAGAACTACGGTACAAAATTTAAAAAATGTTTTCATCAAATCTCTTAACGTTACTGATCTCATTGCTGATACCGTAAACGGAGTTCCAGTTTCAGAGGCTGCTAGAAAGTCAAAAGAAAATATAGTGAAAGGTAAAACATGACATTTCGAATAGTAAAAGCAATCCTTAAATTGCAGTTTTTATGCTGTTATTAATATTCAATTTCAGGCCAAGTGACAATAGGAAAACTGAGAGTGACAGAGGTCCTCGCTGTTAACAGCGATACTCAATTGCCCATAGCGCCGCCTGTTCAAGTTTATGACGACGTTACAATTTTAGGAGACCTATTTGTCAATAATGTTACCTTTGAACAAAAAGGTTCTCTTATCCTTAATGAATCTAAAATAAGTATCGAATCATTATTTGATTCAAGCTGGACAAAATCAACGGATCAGACGATAAACAACATAGTAGTCTTTGAAAATGGGGTTACTATCGATGATCTAAATGCAACATACTTGAACGGGCATACTGAAAATGAATTTATATACACGACAGCAAAAGAAATTCCGGACCTTCTCAGCCATTTACATTTCGAAAACCTAAGAATTGGTTCACTGTTGGCTTCTGATGCTGGATCAAATGGTTTTGTATTTAATGATGATTCCATCGTTGTTAACGAACCGTTACAACTGGAAGGATTATTCGTTGAAAATTTATATGCTGAGGTATTCAACAGTATATCGATGAATGATCTAATAGAAGCCACCTCACCATTGCATTTGAATAATCGTACCTTCAAACGGATTGTGGTGAACGATACGATTCTTGTACAAGACTTAAGCTTTCAACTTTTTAATGGATTTAATATATCTGATATTATGGAACAAACACTATTCCTAAATGAAAGTTACAAAATGGGTAATCTTACCCTACCACAGCTTCAAGTTGATAAGCTTCATGTCCATGAAATAGACGATATCAGATTCACAGACTTGTCTAATTTGGTCAATACAATAGATATGGGGAAGCTACAACATTTAAGTATCGATGGATCTTTAGAGGTGGAAGATGAAATGGTCGTTAATTACATAAACAACGATAACGTGACACAATATTTGCGGAATCTAGCACGAAATGAAATCGTTGTACCCTCTCAAAACACAATTTTTGACAATATAGTTATTCACGGTAACTTGACGGTCAACCAATTGCAAAGTGTCAACTTAGAGTACTTGGTACAAAATAGTTTCTCTAAGTCTCGGCCTCAAAAAATACCAGGAAGCGTTTCTATTCAGATGCTAAAAACTCACAATCTCAATACGAAACGCATAAATCAACAGGATGTCGCGAAATTGATTTTTGCGGACGGACCACTGATTTTCGAAGGGAATGTTACTTTTTTAAATTTATCTGTCAAGGATGATGTATCTGTAAGACATATAAATAACAATAATATTACACAGGTACTTTAATCAATCACTATTTTACCGATCAAAGATAATATTTTAATATTGTTATATCATTTAAAAAATTGTTTTCAGCTTTATCAGGAGTCTCAGTATCTTCCAATATCAAGAGTGTCGAACTTAACTGTATTTGGAAATATGTCTTGGAAGGAACCATTGAAAAAATCCAATAGTTTAACACATCTTTTTGAAAATGCTGTGACGAAGGATACAAATCAGCACATTGGTGGAGAAGTCACATTTGATGGCAATGTTGCAATTTCTTCGGCCTTTAGTAGTACTGGAGATCTTGGTCATCTTAATATTCTGAAAATAATGTCAGATGCCGTCATTTCTGGAGACGGCCCATTAACAATTGGAGGTCAGAAGATATTTAAGCAAGGTGTCACTGTGAACTCCTTAAATGTAGACAGTAACATCGACATTGCTTTCGTCAACACTTTTAATATGCAGCATTTGAATTCATCTATTGTTCGAAAATTCAGTAATGAAACAGTGGTGGGAAAAACGACGTTCTTACAAGATATCACTGCTAATAAATTTATCGTAAAGGACAGCGTGCACGGATCGCCTGTAAAAGGTCTCATGATATCATCTGACACTTTACCAAACACAACTGTCTTTGAGCACCTCATCGTTCGAGATTCTGTTACCTTAGAAACATTAGATGGAATAAAATTTGATGATTTTATAAATAATAGAGTAACTCTTCGTGGAAACCATGATGTTTTTGGCGATGTGCAGTTCAATGACCAAGTGGACGTTACAAGTAAGAATAACTATTATAAAATTACTTTCCAACGTACTGTTCTCTACTGCTACATATTAGATATATTTATGTATGATATACAAGTGTTAAATATTTTTCAACTTATTCGTAGAGAAAATGACAGCGGTATCCATTAACAAGATCATACCAAGCGAATTGTTCATTAATGGTAGCAAAGAAGAGCAGATAATTTCTGGTTCAACCACGTTTTCTGAAAACCTTATTGTTCAGGGTGATTTATTTGCTGAGATGGTAAATAATGTAAATTTGGCAGAAGAGTTTATCAAGGGAGTTTTTAATGATGAGAACGTTGATATTTATGGAGACATTGTAAGTAGTGAAGCAAAATATATCGTCAATACTCGTCCATGTATATATAATATGTTACATCTAATTGAATTATGTACTTTTTCTTGGTTTTTATTCTCAGGTCTTCGAGACACCCGTAGAAATAACAAACGCAAGTATATCTGGCTTAATCAATGGAATAAATTTGCACAATATAATTGGAAACCAAAGTGTCCAAGTTGAGGAAGCTGTCCAAGTACTGAAAGAAAGGGAAGCGTTAATTGATGCCATGGTGTTGCGGTCGTGGAATATTTCTCAGCACTTGTCTAATCGTTTCTTTTATTTAGACAGTGAAAAGAATTTAGTAATTGAGGTGCCAAATATTCAAAAGGTTGATGTCATTCAAATGGAAACAATTACCAGGCTCAGCATGTTTGGCCAAAAAAATGGAAGTCACTGCGGTTTGCCAGATATTTGTTCTTGTAGAATTCAGTATTTTGCTGAAATTTCGGAAAAGGATTGCAATGTGTGGTCAATGAATAGTCCTCAGATCGTATTCAACTTCTACCAGCCGAACAATGCTTTTGGAATAAATGTTGCAACGAATGCAGTTTCAAGGAGTGTCTACTGTACAGGAAAAAACTTGAAAAATGAAAGTACTACAATTTCGTGGGTCAAATTAGAAGACGACGATTATAATTTAGCAGAAATCATAAAAAGAAGATCCACCACAGTAGAAGGATACTTAAGCGATGTTAAGGTATTTACGTACAATGGTATGTTTTTAAATTGCTACAATATTCATTCTATAAAGTGATACAATAAATAAAATGTCGACAGCTGACGTGATCAATTTTCAGATATTGTATACATCGTGCTTGCTGTGTACTATAATGCAAGACAAGAAAATCAATCACACGTTTTGATATATGCATTAAACTTAATGGAGGACAAAATATCTTTCGTGCAAGAAATTGTAAATGATGGAGTATGGGCTGTTGACCTGTTCAAAATTCCTGATCGCGGAGCTTATCTCTTAATAGGATGTGCTGGATATCTTGCTGAATCTCTTCTTTATAAATACCAGCCTGGCGTAGCTCAGGTATGTCCTTTTATAATTTTTGGAAATAGAACATATTAAAAGCACGTTATGAATTGGATTGAACACGTTGAATTTTTGAATGAAAATACACGTTAGGAATAAAATACGATAAATCTTTAAAAACTTGTTGCTGAATTTAATTTTTCTGAAACTTGATCGTTGTTTTTAGTTTCAGTTACTGAGAACCTTTGCAACCGGCGGCAGTCGTTTTGTGAAGAATGTAGTATATGGTAGAGATTACTTCGTCGTTTTAGACGATCCGTCAACTAACTCTGCTCAAATTTTTCGATACGATATGAAATCTGACAATTTCTACAGCTTTCAAAGTCTTTATCTTGGCAACCCTATTAGCGGCATTGAAGTTTTTTATGCAGGCGGTACGTAGAAATTCATAATCATTTAGGACATAAAAATAAGTAATGATATTTTAACAAATTTGATACATCTCATTTGTGCTTACAGAATTTGGTAACAGTGATGCTTATGTAATTTTGATAACGGGGAACGGGCAAGTCTTCATTTATGAGTACATGCTCTTAGGAGTAAGTCAATTTCTGTCGAAGTGAGTCAAGTCTTAGAAATCATACTCAACTTTAATATGTTCTTTAACTTTCAGAAGTTTCAATTGAAATCACATCACTGGAGAGATGGCATTCAAACAATGGTACCATTTAATTTCAAAGAGCGGCGATACATGTTCGCAGGTACAAAAACGAACAGTAGTATTCTTAGAGTCCTCTATCAGGGGCCACCCTGAATAAATAATTCCTCTACAATGTAGAAATAGATAAATATCGTAAATTATACAATACCAAGTATTTTGTAAATTTCGGTAGATATTACCGTGAATGTGATGTTATATTATTTTATAATCTTCGAGAATCTCTAATGTAATTCGTTCACGTGAACATTGTTAAATTTACACGAGTCTGAATTTTTACTGAAAATGCATGCGATTGTATAACTGTACATATGGAATGTAATATATTTATGTCATGTATTTTACGTGTATTATTCAACTTATTCAAATGTTTAGTCTAACGTAGTTCATTTACAACCAGCACCCCTATCGGCCGCCATTGTTATTAAAGTCTTCACAACGGTCGATAAGTTACCGACAAGAAACGACAACTCACCTAATCTTTGGAGCCGCTAAATAAATTCTCTCTGAAATTCTTTATACTACGTGTAGAAGATCGTAAGAGAGACGGGACATATTCAGTGATATAGCAGCGCGAGTGAGAAAGAATGAGATGACAACGCCGTTAGGATTCCCTGAACTTTACGGAAACTAGAAGTGAATCTGGCCGAACTTCCTCGTGCCTGTGGCCGAACCTCGTTGGGTTGTCTAGAAGAGAGCAGGAAATAAATCGGAGAACTGAAAAATCTCGAATAAATCGGTTTAATTGTAACTCGGAATTTCTGTTGATTGAATACGAACGGAGGATCGTTCGAAGAGGTTAGTCGTTGCCGCATGCAAGTTTCTTAACTCAACGTGTAAAGGAAAACTGTCAAGAACAAACTGCATGAGTACATACACTTGCCGAATTGGCAAATAATTCGAAGTTGAAATAATTCGATTACCAATCGTCTAATTTGTCGTCCAATTTAGGTTAGACTAGTTATTTCTGCCTTTGCACTGTCATTAACATGAATTCTAATTGAGATTAAAACGATTGAGTACATTCCTGATGATTTTAACCATTTTAAGACTTCATTTCAATCCTCCATTTTTGTTCAATTTTAAGTCGAATCAGATGATATTGTAACAATTAAACAAATATTTGTTTTCAATTGTATAAATTAGAAGGATTTTGTTACTTTTCCTTTGGAATATAGGTTAAAAAGTTTACGATGATTATATTTTAATGACTTTAATGAACAAATATTTATTCTTATTTATAGGATCGAGGCAAAATATTGAAGATGGCTGTGAAAGGTTTAATTGCCTCGATTATTCACTTTTTAACACGTCAGTTAGAGGATGGTGATCTAACGGCAGATTCTCGGGAGAGTCTTGAAGTCGCTATTCAGTGTTTAGAAAGTGCATATGAGGTGCAAGCATCGGATGCTGCTCAAAATATCAATTTATTTGATATATATAAAGCAGCAATTGAAAGTTCACAACCAGTCTTTGGTTCAGAACCTACTCCAGAAGCCCATGCTGAAGCAGAACGACTAAAAAATGAAGGAAACGCTTTGATGAAAGCCGAAAGATATTTGGAGGCTTTAGCAAATTATACCAAGTGTGTAAAACCAATTTTTCTATATTTCTAATTAGATTTATCAGAGGAAACATGTTTTCCTTTTCATCACAGATTAATTTCCACTTACATTTTTTTTTAGTATCGTAACTACAGTAAATATATATTAACTAAATATTCAGGGCAATTTATGTTTATGTAGAGCAATTGAACTAGATGGACGAAATGCAGTTTACTACTGTAATCGCGCTGCTGTCCAGCATAAGCTTGGTAAATACGACGATGCAATTAAAGACAGCCGCACAGCTTTAGCCATCGATCCCTCCTACAGCAAAGCTTATGGACGTTTGGGAATAGCTTATGCCAGCTTGGAAAGGTACAGGGAAGCGAAAGAATGTTATCAAAAGGCCTTGGAAATGGAGCCCGATAATGAAGGCTACAAGAATAATATACAACTTGCCGAAGAAAAATTGACTCAACAAGGAGTTGGTAACATGGGTTTAGGAGGTAGCGGAGGTGCAGTTTCGGGTATGGATCTTAGGTCGCTATTGAATAATTCTACTTTAATGAATATGGCACATCAAATGCTGACTGATCCTACAATGCAAAATTTAGTAAGCAACTTTATGAGTAGAGACGTGGAGCAGGGAAGTCGAATGGATGTTTTAATTGAAGTGTGAGTATTCTATGTATAAAATATTTTGATATCTGTATGTCTTCTTAAATAATTTTTTACAACCTTTGTAAACTTTGTTTTAGGGGCCAACAATTAGCACAACAAATGCAAACTGCGAATCCAGAATTAATGGAATCATTGCGGCGTCAAATGGGAAGAAATGCCGATGATTCGCAGCCTCCGCCGCAGAACTGAAGGAAGAAAAAAGAGGGATATTATTTTCTACAGTGCTACCGAAAGATGCCTCTGTTGTCGAGTTGTACTGCACCTTCTGACTCAAGTTTGATACGTATATGCGCCACGTGTAACCTGCAATTGTGTCCTCGGAATTATGATAAACAGTTTACGCGCTAGTGGTCGAACTTTCTTAAAAGACTGCTTGAGACAATTATTCATGAGTAGAAGTTGAAAATCCCGCTAAAAACCAGCGAAGCCTGATGTACAAGTTCTGATCTATGGAGATTCGCGTCGAGGACAACATGCAATTTTACGAAAACGCCAGATGAAATATATAGTTCATATTATTATAATTCTATACGTATAAAGTGATCTTCGGTTGACAATACAAACAATCGTGGGACATCTTAGAATATTACAAAGCTGTCGGGCAAATTATCAAATTCAGTTCTTTATATGGGTTTTGTAGATTGGTGCAGTTTTATTTACAGAAATGTAATCAAACTTTATATCCTGTAATAATGCACACGTAGTAGCATTACAACGTGTAAGATGATGTGAGACCCAGGTGCTGCCTCTAGAAAAAGTAATGAAATCTAAGGTATAAATATTAAAGTTTTTAAAATAAGATATATCATACAAAACCTTGATATGTAATAATTCCATAAAAAGAGTAACGATGATGGATAAAAATTTACTACATATGATATAATTTCTTCAATAAATAAACAATCATGTCCTGCTACTTTTGATATATTTCAACTTCTCATGTTCTTTCCTTTTGAATCGGTAGTTACAAAGACTAATCTGCAATGCTAAAACTCATACTTTTTTTTAAAATCAATGTTACAGGGTTCCTGCAATTTTCATGTACATAGAAATGTATAAAAAGGAAGAATACGACAATTTTGAATGTCATAAAATTAAAAGAATCCTTATAGTATTTCTTTTCAATTAAATCTTCATAAACCATGGCTGTGAAAGACTATGTCATATCTTTCCCCAAAGAAACTTAGATTTCATTGCCTGTTCTTGAAAACAACAGCTGGATTTTGTCAAAACGTTAATTTGTAATAATACTACAAATTGATTGTACATATAAATCATAAAATGAATTAGGGGATAACGAGGTACACGTGCTCTTCCAAGTAACATGTCCTGTACTGCCTGCATGATTTGCAAAGTTGAAATAACGTCAGCGATCTTTCGGCATTTTTGCATAATAAAGTGTCGTACGAGATCTCGTTGACGTATAGTAACATTTAACCGATCTTAGCGATAATTTAACATGGAATTTCATATAATGTATAACAAGTCATGTCCTTTTGGATACAAGGTAAAAACAATAAAGGACAAAAAGCAAAGAAAGACAGAATCAGTGTTCGATAACTAGATATCATGTACGCGTAAGAATACTCAATAATAACAATAAAGAGAAAAATGCAAACGAGTGAGAGAGTATCCATGCTTGGTAAATATTCCGAGTCAGTTAATATGGATACATTAAATTTCTTAAACGTGTATTTAGCTGGGAACTTGAATCGCTAAAAATGTATTCTCTTGCCGAGCAAAATAGGAAGAAGAGCAAAGTATTTGTGCAGGGTGCCGCTATAGATAGGATCGATCCTGACATCGCTACACGAAAGCCAATTCGTCTAACCTGTCCAAACTCGAGGTATGTGCCAGTTGAAAAAATAATTAATTCTTTTCGAAGGCGACAACTATTTTACTTTCCGATTGAAGGTAACCACGAGCTTTCGACTCATGATCGAATTTAAGTCGGGGAAAGGCGACGAGCGAGAGACGTTCTTCGGTAAGTTCGGTTCGAACAGTTCTTTGTTAAGATAACCTCACTAATCGGGCGCGAAATGTAAACTCCGATATTTATCTAACTTTTCCTCGGGATTCAGACGGAGTCATCGGTTTTGAAGATTCAGCTTGCGAGGAAGGGGTCTTAAATTACCTTAAATAAGCAGAGGGTGAAACCTGGGGCCCGCCGGTGCTCTCGTCGGCCCTGACGCCCCCTCCAGACGTCTCGGTGCTTCCAGCGCACTCACCACACTCAACGGATTGAGGTGTGGCCGCGAAGGGCAGCCATTTTCTTGACTATCTGTCGCTTAAGATTTCAGGTAAATAGAGATTTTTGGGCGCAATAACGGTGCCAGGAGTGACTCTCGGGTGTTCCGTGCTCGTGTGTTTCGTGTTCTGTGAGTTGCGGCTTCCGGCTCGGTTTCCCCAGGGCCAGTGGCCGCGTTCTCGCTCGGCGAACCGGGCACGTACTCGAGCGAGCGAGCCATGCGTCGCGAGTCCGCGAGACCGAGGTGCTGCGCCGATTTCGTCTAACTCGCCCCTACTTAGTCCCGGAAGGTCCGCCCGGGCGGTCCGTCGAGCGTCCGAGTGCTCCCCGAGCGACACGCGGCGCCCCTAGTTCAGTAAGTAAACCCTCCCCGAGGCTCTCGACTCCTGCCAAACTCGCCCAGAGTACGCGCACCCTGCCCCCTTCCGAGACAAGCCGAAGCAATGCACTTCCGTCCGGGCGAAATTCCTCTGAACGCGAGCGAGGAATATCGACGCCAGTATCTCTTCTCGTGCTCGCCGACCCTTCCTCTGGTGTGTCGAGGGCCTATCTTCGTCGCGGTGACCCCCAGGAAGCCCCTGACGAGTTCGCTAGCAGTTACTTTGCGTTCTACAGGAATATCGCATCAGGCTAGAGGTTCAATGGCAGGCCAAATCCGATTCTAATATGACGTTCGGTCGTTCTCGTGGTAGAATTCGAGTCACAGGACTGTCACTCGTGGCAGATTTCTTGTCGAGACTTCACGATCTCTCGTTTCTAGGAGGAATTTTTGTAGTTCGTTGTCCCATCTGTGGCGACCGTTGAAGCTCTTCGACGAGAGACTTTTGACTCCGATAATTGTACGAGTAGAAATAGGCACAGTCGAATGCTTTTGTTGGTCGATGCCGTTTGAAAGTTCTTTAGTTACAGAGGTTTTCTGCTGCAACTTAGAAAACAGAAATTTATATGGTTTGGTATCGTCTATGAATTAATGTCTTGCGGTTATCTTTAGGGAAAAATTGTTTAACCTGGCGATCGTTCCATGGAACTTACTTATCCACCGGTGCTCTTTAAGATAGACGACATCTTCTTCGGCACGCCCATAATTCAAAGGCAAACTTCCTCTTTCGTACCTTGTGAAATCTCACTCGAAAAAAATTTGTCGAATCTAACGACCAACCGGTAGGCATTTATTCTTCCTTGTTATTTGACGTTATTAAGATAGCATCGTCTAATTAGTGGTCATTATTTTCTCATTCTACGGTTCGTAGTCATTAGCAAAATTTTTGGATTAACTTTTGGGCAGAGAATAATGGTTTGTGCAGTTAATGGTTATTTTTTTAATTTCTTCTCCGATTTGGAAATTTTTGTATTTTTTATCACCTGTTATTAAGTGGGATACAGGATGGAGAACCATTGGTATAATTCATTTTAAGTTACATCTATCTAAATTTTATACTTCTGTCATAATATGATTATTTTTCTGTCTATACCTTGAATTTTTTACTTTACATTTAATATCTACCTATACATTTTTGTCTGTAAGAAACACGGTATATTTTCTCATTTTTCAGTACCTTTTGATTCCAAACGTTTGAATATTTGTATTATTTTTAGTCCTTATTTGTTTGGCGAAGTACTGTATAAACTTGTTGTATCATTGAGAGCATGCATCGTATATCTTGCTTGTACAATTGCAGAATTATCCCGTTGTCACATATCATTTAAAAATAACTCCTTGATCTGTAAATCGGAAACAATTGCATGACTGGTAATATCTACGATCGATGTAACTTAAACTTGTGCATGTATTTTGAAACAATTTTCTTTGCCGTTATTTGCACTTTCTTCTACACCTTACAGCTGATTCTATTAATTGCTTTTTGGAAGTATTAAAAATAACTGTATGGAACCGTAAATAACTATGATTATTGGTATTCTTGGGAGCAGTATATTGTTTCCTATATTGTTTATTAATTACTGATTTATGGGTCGGTTAAAAAAATATATATTTAATTTTTTTTAATATTTATTTCAGACTCGTACAATTCAATATTTTGCATTTTTTTAGGCACAGAAACTTCGGCTGCGTAAGGGTAATACGTTTGTGCAAATGCTCAGGAGAATTAAAAATGTACTTTCCTTTCACTTGTGCTCCCTGTCTATATCGTACTTTATGATGTTCAATGGAGTAAATAGGTTTAGATAATTGTCAGAAATTTGATTCCTTAAGAGAATTCTTTGTTCTTCAACCACTGCACTAACATTCTTCCACCGAGCAATTGACTCTTATCTTATCTCTGCAGTGTGCAGATATGTATTCCATTAAGTTACTTTTGACTTCAATCTTTATAAAATCTACATTGGTTTCACAAGACGTCATATACCAAAATAAATCTTTTCACAATTAAACGAAGCCTCGGATTGCAGTTGGTGAACCAATCGATAAACTGGCAACAATAACGCTTTCCTATACTGGAGTAATATTACTTGAATATAAATATCTATATAATATAATGCATTGTGTATACATTAATATTGTTGTGTGGTATTTGCATTGATCTCGCAGCTCGCTACCCGTTCTAACATATAAAATGTCCACTTAAAACAGAGACGGAGAAAGAAAGACTAAAAGCATGGGATGCATTGTGGGCCGAAGCCTCGGTCCAGACGATACAGGGTACCCTGGATCAGGTACGAGCCCAGTCTCCATAACCTTAACAGCTTTAGCCCTCGTAGATTGCTTTGAGACGAGTCCTTTCTCGTTAGTTACAGAAATTATTCCCAGAAGCAAAGAGCTATCTACTTTACATCTACTCGTAAGTAGTCGCTATGCCAGGATATAGGTTAGAGATGTTAGCATATTAGCCAATACGGGTGGCACGTCAAATTGGAATTTAAATAGATTTGGTTGTATTCTTAAATGCAAGTTGGGTCTTCGGAATTAACGGGAAATGGCGTTTAATTTATTCACACCTTGCATTTTGGTTAATCGATGTCCTTACTTGCATCTCTCGCTCCTGAGATGTGCAGTCGACACTTTGATCATTTGCTCGTCACATTGTATTGGAAAATCCTTATAGGTATGCGTAGATACGAAAACCTTGGATTATTTATTTAATACTTCTAAACCTGCCGAGACATCAGCTCAGCTGTAATAAAATCACCGATGCCTCCTGCATTTTTGGAAATTTTTCACCAGTTCTTTTCGAGTTGTTTTATATTGCTTATCGACACTGTCCACTATTCCCAGAAGTACTCCGTCACAGCTTAGAAATTTTTGATAGTCTAAAGACATCGATCCTGTCATTGAGCTACCGATGAATCCTTTACATTGACTTCATTACCGTCTTTATCATCGTGGAATCATTCCTCTCTCAGCTAATACTTTCATCTTAGATATAAATGATAACAGTAAACAATTGACAGTTTTACAGATCATTGATACATAAGTAAACAGGATATTAGACTGCGAATTGCAGTGAAAATTGAAAACGGTTCTTAGCGTATGTTAAGTAGAATGCTTATTTATTTAACATTTCTTGCTTTTATTTGTTTCCTATTGTGGTATTTGTGTCCAATGTGCACTACATAAATTCGATTGTCCTTTAAAATTGTGTCGATCAATTTTGTATGATATATATAAATCTGGTGTCGGGTCTGTCTTGGATGGAAATTTGTTTTGTCATATACCAGAAAGAAAGTAAAGAGAGTTCCTATCCAAAATTGTTCTGTCGAAGACGGAATTCCAACCAAATGAATTTTTATTCCACTCTGTTTAAGATTAAAAACTTTGATTAAAAAAGGACACCCTTGCTTTATCGTATCGCTTTCGAATGGTGTGCACATTAACTGTGTTTCATTTGAACATTGTTGTTCGCTTGCAAGCGAGATTTTAAAATGCTTCGTCATACTTAGAACCTTCTTGGGTAAGAGGAAGAGGATGCAATGTAATTTAGGGCGGTTTTAGAACAATTGTAAATTACACTCGTGGGTAAAGTTAGGCGACTAGTGATAAGGTCGTTCCTTTAGAGGAAAGCCCGCGACTCTCGGTAATATTAAATAGTGCCAACTTGTAAATACCAGTACATCAAGAGTCTAATCTTTTTGCGACCCTTGAAGTGTCACCCCTGTGACGCAAGGTCTCATCTCCGAGAGTTCACTCCGCCCGATAACTAATTTATTCCGCATCTTTTTTTAGGATTCATGGCGGCCATCCGGAAGAAGCTGGTGATCGTGGGCGACGGAGCCTGCGGTAAAACTTGCTTACTGATAGTCTTTAGCAAAGACCAATTCCCCGAAGTCTACGTACCCACTGTCTTTGAGAACTATGTGGCCGACATCGAGGTGGATGGTAAACAGGTACGCCATGTTAGTCGTTTAAGCCATTCATCATAGCGTTTTGCGGTTTAAGTTAGAAGGTCCGATGGGTTTTTTAATTTTTCCTTCAATGTGTAAAAGTAACTAAATTCGACATTTTCCCTGTACAGGTGGAGTTAGCCCTTTGGGACACGGCCGGGCAAGAGGATTACGACAGATTGCGCCCGCTGTCCTATCCGGACACGGATGTCATTCTAATGTGTTTCTCGATCGACAGTCCCGATTCCTTGGAGAATATTCCTGAAAAGTGGACGCCCGAGGTGAAACACTTTTGTCCGAACGTCCCCATTATCCTCGTGGGGAACAAGAAGGATTTACGCAATGACCCTCAGACCATGAAGGAACTGGGGAAAATGAAGCAGGAACCGGTCAAGCCAGAAGAGGGTCGCGCCATGGCCGAGAAAATCAATGCCTTCGCTTATTTGGAGTGCTCCGCGAAAAGCAAAGAAGGAGTAAGGGAAGTTTTTGAAACGGCGACCAGAGCCGCTCTACAAGTAAGTCTAACTAAAGGGTCCTACTTTTGGACACTTGAACAATTATCCCCATTTTTCGGCCAGCGTTTATGACATTAATCTCCTCGGTATCCTCGCGTTCTCGATCATTTCCGACACTATAGGATATAAAATTCCTGACTGGTTCTCACGGATTTGCTTTGTCTTCAGGTAAAGAAGAAGAAGAAGGGCAGGTGTAGGCTTCTCTAAGGTGTGACGCCGTGTGCGGGCCGGACGAGAGAGAAAAAAAAACGGAATTGGAAAAAAATAAGTACCGATCGTATTGTCGGGGCATGATAAACATAATATTAATAATCTTACAATATTTTACATAATAAACAGATAGCAACACAACCGCCTCGTTAGGTAACACGAGGTGTTCCGAGTACCATTAAGTTTGCGTTATACCGGTCGCGCTACGTGTGTGTATATGATATAATTGTGTGCGAATGCGATGCGTGAGTGCGTGTCCGCGTACACGCGCGAGAATCGGACGCGCGCGCGTGTATGCGATGTGCGAGTGGGTAATATTCGTAAACTATTGTATTTTTCATTCAAACTTACTGAATCGTGCTTCGATTTTGAGGAATTAAAAGAGAGAGAGAGAGAGAAAGAGGGAGAGCAAAAAGGAAAAAGAGGAACACGAAAGATGAAAAGAACTAAACAATTGTCATACAAACTACATTATACTGCGACACTTAATATTGTCTTTGTCATTATAGCTATTATATATATACATATATATTATGACTCTTGTTACTACTACCACCACACGCATTCTGCGTTATATATATTTTTTTAACGTTATACGGTTTTTCTTCCCGTTCGGACGAGTGAGACCAGCTCGATGCTGAAATACCGGAGTGGAAGTTCGCGATTTTTTCGGGACGTGGGTGACGCGATGACTCCCGTGGTGCACTTTCAAAATGGCCGATACAAGCGCGAAGTAAGAGAGTCTGCGAGAGAGAAAGAGAGCGAAAGGAAGCGCGAGTGGAAGTGAAATACGCAATGCGAGGTCGTAACGCTGAATGACGCACAAACAGAAAGATTTTCTACGCTATGCCGCTGTTTTACGGGGCGGTCGGCACCGGCTAGCCCCTCTTACGTTAAAAATTTATTCCCTCTTGTAGTACGAACATGCATAAATAGACTATATATTGAACTACTCCAATCCGCAACGCATTCCACTACTACTCTTGTCCATTTTTACTCGGTCGTGCACACGATGCGACGTCTGCTTTAACGCCTTATGGTACTTGATGCATGAATTAAGCGTACCGTGGTATTGATTGAAAAAGAAAAAAAATGCACCTACGAGGCCCAAGATTAGCCTCTAAGTCTAAAATTAGGAGGATAAGTCCAGCGTATATTATTATGCTATAGAGACTTCCGATGAAAGGCGGTCTTCTCCGCGGAGGTGATCCGCAAAAGTCGTGTACACGCTTTAACGGGCAAATAGTCTCTAGGATGGGATGAAATCACCGCACGTGACATCAGGTCTGAATTTAGATACCGACCACGGACAGGCTAAACTAATCGATGCACCGGTCTTTAAAGAAAAAGGGAAAAAGTAAAGGGGGACGCGCGGTCGGTTTGGAAAATTCTTCGCATCCTCGTAGTTCGTCTAACCGCCGTCCGAGCGCGGAGCTCTCGAAATGGTCCAGGCGATGTAAAAGTAATGTACAGATATATTTATTCCTTTTAAAAACCCACTCGCATTGGGAATACAACTCTACATGTGTGACGTCGCAGGGTATAACGTGTAAAACTACATGTAACGATACGCGCATACGTGGCACGTACACTCGCGACTTGCGTACCTGTATTACTGTTACTCTGCTACTCGGCTATATACATATATAGCTATGCCTTCGTTATACTAATAGAGAATGCAATTACGACAGTCCCGACCTAAGGTGGCACGAGCAGCGCAGGACCGCGTTCGGAATACTTTTGAGGGGAAAAAAAAAAAAGTGAAGAAATCTATGAGGGGTAAGTAATCGATTAAACGCAAAATCACCTGTGTCTGAAGAAATTAAGAAGGAATCGTCGGCACGGAAATTGAATCTTCGCGAATTGAAAAGAGACAAAACGAAAGATGGGAGTGGCACCTCGGAGTATCGATAGCACTGGACAGGAATAGCAGTTGTCATTTAACCCCCTACGTTTATTACCTTATTATCGAAGATATCCGTTTAACATAACTTATAATTTAAGCTCGCCTCTCGGAGTCACTCGTCTTCGATATGTACAAATATACAGGGCCGCTCTCGCGGTCGCGACTTAATACATAATATACCACTCGAGGGACTACGCGTGTCTGCGTTGTATTGCTCTCTTTTCTTTTAATTATTTAATAATTTATACGTATATATAATATCTACATAGTCGACGACTTTCAAGCGAATACTACTTGTTAGTAGGCAGTGTTTCTCTCCGATCGTCGATAGTACTTTTAAACACCTCAAGTGCGTGTGGGTGTGTATGTGTATCGAGCAATTCTCGCGCGCAGTCTGCTACGTGGTACAAATCGGTGCTCTCCCATTTATCTAGTTAATTAACGTCTCGAAGGGATTTACTCGAGGCCGAGTAAAATACTTGTTTCGACGACTTTCCGTCCCCTGGGCAACAGGACAAAATATCTCAATATATTTTTCCCCTCCGGTGTCTCGCCTAGTTTCGACTTCATCCTTCCGTATGCGATGATATCTTTTGACCGACTGTTTATATTATAAATAAATATCAATATGAATATACCGCGCGTCGTTGAGAAAATCGAATGCGCAAACTTTTCGGGAAGTACGCTGCTAACTCTTTTTCGTTTTTTTTTTTTTTCTTCTCTCGTTTCCCCGCCGTATTTTTCGTATGTAATTATACATACTGGCGTTCGCACGTTTATTCTTCTTCTTTTTAGTCATTTTAATGTCGGGCACAATGGTCGCATGTAAATTCCCACAAGGTACGAATTACCGTACTCGTTCCGTCGATCAGTTAGTTTTTCCTCTCGGATTAGTTCGGTCGTGGAACTTGCCGTTTTACATACTTCAGAAGATCGCATTGTTCTGCAAAATACGTCAGTCGTTACTTCTACGTCCGAGGAGAATAATTGTTCTGGTAATATAATGGCCCATTGCGATTCGCAGTTAAACCGATGCACGATCCGGCGGATTTTTCAAACCCACGCAACAATGGAAATCACCGGGATATCGAAAATTAATTCCAGATATCCTAATATCATCAATATATTCTTTAATAAATATACAATCGAAATGTCCTGACAGTGCACGCGAGATGCGGTGTAAACAATAAGAGTGATTCCGAGCCCAGGTTTAAAGTGTGCTAAGTAACGGAAATTGCAGAAAATAAAACCAAACTGGAAAAATCCCTTCGAAATGAATAGTTCGAATTCGTTTGAAATAAACGATACTACGGAAAATGAAATTTTTTTTCTTCTCGCCTGGGATCCACGGTTCCTTTCGCGTGTACTCGAATAATAATTAAACAATCGGACGATCGAGATCATACCGTAAGTCGGTACTTCGGTGCACCGAGGGCAAGATGAAAAACGGCCAAGAATAATTAAACACGGTTCCGGATTCCCCTAACATTCGCGGACCTCGATCTCCATTTCCTCGATTGGACAAATTTATTGTACTAGGGAGATCCATTGGGCACCGAAAAAGGTCGGCCTGTACAAGTCCACGATTTAATATTTACAGAACGACCTCCATTACCAAAACCAGAGCAGAAGAATACCACGCACTCGGCACGCGTCCGACCCTGACCTATCCCTAACCCTGACCTCGTCAATGGAATTTTTCTCTACACTGCGAAGTCTCCACGGAGGATCCCTAAAGAGAACCCCTAAAACGATTCATTTAACGAGATATCGTCGCGCTCGTTTCCGAATTATTCCCAGCCTCGCTATCTACGGGCAAGGTCGCCTCCGAAAATCATCAATGTCCACCTTGAGTCAGTATTTCCGATAAAAAGACGCTTTGTCCATGTATTACTGCGGATGAACTCGGGTGTGTCTTCCAAGTCTTCCACTACCGGTGAACCCGACCCGAGCCAGGTCTCCTATAGGGCGAACGGACGAGCGGACAAGGCGGTAATAGGCAAAAGCCGAGCGACAAATCTCGAATTCTCTGGTGTTCGCTATTTCGAGCAACGTCGTGTCCGAAGGATCCTTCCGACTTCGCGCGGTTCCACGGGAGACCGCCGAGTCCGCCCGTCGACTGCGCCGCGCCTACTCTAGACTGCTTTACAACGAGTGGTACTTCCTATTCCTACCTACAGATTGTACTATAGGCTTAAACTGAAGCGACGGGTAGAATTCACGTCGCCGTACCACCGGAGCCCTCCGGGACCCCGGCGCTCGCTTGGTCGACCGCGACTCGCGTCGCGCTCTCTTCGTCGTTGCAGACACGCTTCCACTCCCTCGTCGGCTGGCTGGAACTGGACTTCCGTTTCCTCTCGTGGCCCGAGCTCGAGTGGGTCTGCGAGTGCGAGTGCCCGGGACCTTGGGCCTCGTTCACAGGGTGATGGCAACCGTGGGAGTGCGGCGACGCGGAGGAGTGGTCCCGGTGGGACTTGCGATAACTCGACGACTTCTTGTGCCCGTCCGAGACGTGACTCCTGTGGGGCTCCTTGCGCTTGTTGGAGGACGTCTCCGACCTGGAGTGGTCGTGCCCCCTGCTCTCCGAGTGGTCCTGGGTCTTCTCGGGATCGGAGGACGCGGTAGAGCCGACGACGACGGGGCCAGCCGCGACGGTGGTGGTCGTCGTCGCGGTCGTCGTGGCGGCGACCGCGTCGGGCAGAGTCACCGAGTCCGCCGGATCCGAGATCGTCGTCGGTGTACTCGTCGTCGTCGTCAGGGTCGCCGTCGTCGAGCACAGCGTCCTGTCCTCAGGTGTAGCCGGGTCAGGGATCTTCCTGGATGAGTCCGATTTCGTCGCGTCGGACGACGCGTTTTCCGTCCGTGACCTTCCCTCGTGGTGCCTGTGCCTCCTGTGTTCCCGGTCTCTCCTCTCGTGGCGGTCTCTCCGATCTCGGTGTCGCTGATCGCGCCCAGATTTCTCCTTGTCGTCCCTGCTCCTTCGCACCTCCTCGGTCAAGGAAGACCTCCTCTCGGACGACTTCTGCGATTTCTCGGTAGCCCCGTCGCGCTTGTCTTTGTCGACGGTGGGGCAAGGCGGGGCCGACAAGGTCGACGAAGGCGAGGACGAGGACGGCGAGGACGACGTAGAGGAGAAGGAGGAACACGACGAGGACGACGACGCGACGGTGACGAACGGCGCCTGGGCGGGTTGACTGGGCTCGAACGAGTTCAACGACTCCGCCGTCTCGCCGACCCTGGGCTCCTTTTTCGCCCTTTCCTTGGCTTCCTCTTCGGCCATCTCGACGAGAGCCTTCACCGCGTTCTCCGTTGCGCACTCCAGCTTGGCCTTGAACGCCGAGATCACCTCGGTCTCCAGGAGCTCCGAATACCTCTCTAGCTTGGCCCTGTCCTCGGGATACTTGCCCTTGGCGAGGTCGTAGCTCTCCCTCTTGATCTTCTGCAGGGCCTCCTTCGAGGCTTCGGTTACGCCGATCCTTAGGGACCTGCAGACCTCGTCGACGTCCGTCTTCGACTTGTAGATTGCAATTTCCAGAGCCTTGTCGACGACCTCCGTCGCATAGGTCCTACCTACGGCCTGCTTCGACGCGACGACCTCTTCCTCCAAGACGACTTCCAGGTCTGGAAGAGAGCCGCGCATCGAGTCCGGAGCGTCCACTAGTCCGGGCACCTTGTCGTTTGGAGCTTCGGGGAGTTTAGGATTGGAAGAGACTCGGATCTCGGTTATGGAGTGCGAATGCGACTCTTTACCGGAGGCATTCTCGGAGCCCAGGTGACGATGTCTGTGGTGGTCCGACCTGTGGCTGGATTCATGTTTCTTCCTCTCGCTGGAATGGCTGCTGGAAGTTTTCCCGGAAGAGACGGTCGAAGTACTCGTGGGGGTGCTACCGGTTATCGAGCCAGTGGTACCCGGTGTGATGTTCCCGGACACGGTACCGGTACTAGTAATGACGGCCACTCCAGAGGAAGGGGTACCAGAAGACGACGTCCTACTGCTACTACTCCCGTGCGAACGATGGCTCGATTTACCGTGCACATGGGAATGCCGGTCCTCGCGTTTCTTCCCACTCCTCCTGTCGTCCCTTTTCCCATCGACGCTTCGCTTTCTCTCGGTCGTTCCCTTTTTCGAGCGCTTCTCCCCCGAAAGCGAGGTCGAAGAGCCCCCTGTGGTTTCCAGCTCTCTTCTCCCCCCAACGGAAGAGTGCCTGGAGCGATCTCGACTCTTACGCTCGTCCTTGGTGCGTTTCCCATGTTGGTCGGATTTCTTCAAGTTACCCTGATACTCGGCCGCCCTCTCCTTAGCCTTCTTCTCCTCCAAGGTGTCCGCGTTGATTTTCCGCTCCATGTGTTGCCTGTCGGCGTTTTCCTTCTGCTCGTCGACGATGACCCCGTCCAGTGCCTTCTTTTCCTTAAACAGGATCGAGTCCGTATTGGGAACTCGGTTGTGTCTCGTGCTGGACGTACTGGTCGCTTCCGGGTAGTACTGCTTGAGTCTTACGTGCCAAGCAATACTCGACACGGCCGAAACGGTGCGAAACTGATGAATTATGTTGCGAGGCAAGAAATAGATGTCGTTGTCGTAGAGGCTAATCCTGGCGTAACGGATCCCCTGCCTTCTTAACTGATTGAGCTTGGCATCCTCGATCCACTGAACGCACTGGGATATCGGAGGCTCGTGGAGGTCCAGCTGGAGTTTCTCTACGAGTTCTGGAAAGTCACCAGCGTAGAAAGCAACGACGTCTTTGGTGATCCGATTGTACTCCGTATGTTGACCCCCGTGAACAGCCTTGAGGACGCCCACGGCTGCCGTTGTCATCCGGTCGAGACCATGGCCTACGTGATCCGCGTGTGCTCGAGTACGGTCTTCGAACATGTATTCTCGGGCTTCGCTTAACCGCGGTAAATACTGGAGGTTCCGTAACTCGTTAATTCCGGTTCTGCGACGTTTACAAGGACTCTTGTTAATGTCCGCTGTAGGCACCAGTTGTTCGCCAGGCCTGATCCACAATATAGGTCCGTCGTTCGACTCTTGCGGGGTCTCCATCTTCATCACCGACAGAGGACCCCAGGGCATTGTCTAAAATAACGAACAGCCTATTATGTTTCCGAAAGACATAGTTTATATCATGCCACAAGCGGATGTAATTTAACTTTGATTTTTCAATTTATTTACAAGTGTAACTATGCAAGCACTGTATTGTAATTGAAATAATCAATCATTTATGGACACACTTACCAATTTGAGAAAAGGATTCTCTTCCAGCATTCGAAGAAGATCTGGGAAATAACCACCGACCTCTTCGTGCACCGTGCCAACCAGACTTATTTGATGCAATGGACCGTACCTTATGGTCCCATTGTTGTATGCTTTACAAACTTGTTCTTTATACTGCAACATTGTTGTGGTTTCGATGTCGCTGCTTCTACCCAGTACTCCGTTTTTAACGGTCAATGTTGGATAATTCAGTGCCATGTGGTCCAAAAGGTCCGGCATGTACGCAGCCGCGTTGTGGACAATTCCCATAACGTGATGCGCATTACCGCTCTCGTCTTCGCCAAAGACAACCTGTTGAATAGATGGCAATCATTAATTTGTTAAGAAAATTACGAGTCGCGTTTATAAACGGCTTTCAAATATACTAAGGCGACGCGGTCAAAGTTTCATTACCTTAAAATACTCTTGTGCTAATTCTTCAATTTGTTCCTTACATAATGTGTCTATTTCATCCTGATACATGTGAACTATGGTTGCTCCACCATTTGGGTATGTTTCAATGTGAATAAATTTCTTATACTTGAGTCCCTCTAAAAAGTCGATTTTTACCGTCTGTTTACACATCGGCCTGTAATTTTTCGTATGTTGATTTAACCGCAGGTTATCTATACTGGATTTTGAATAAGACTGCGAAATCGGTTTGTGACTTGATGAGAGGGAACTTCTGTCTCGACGACATTGTATTCCTATGCTAGCCCTCTTGATCTTGCTGCGCTTGTAGCACTGAGAGCAGTGTCGCCTGTCACTGTGATCTTTACTTCGCTTATCCCGAGACGAGGAATGAGACTTTCCTTGAGAAACCACAGGAGTCGATCCAGAGGTGGAGTTTACTATAGGAGGATCTTGACGGGACGGTACTTGATGTGACTCCTCTTTCAAGGAAGAGGAGGAGCTAACGCTTGATCGTTTACTTTTTGATATACCGAGAGTACTGTCTGGTCCATCGGGAGGCTCTTTCTTCACACACATTTGTATAGACTTCATCGCTGTACCTTCATCCCCGACTGGTCGTTCGTTACTAACTGGCACATCAATTTCCATTTTAATATCCGTAGGTGAATCTTCGATTTTCTGCACCGTCGAGTGGTGGTCAGCCTTCGTAGGTAATACATTAACTCCAATCTCTTCACCGCACCTAGCAGTATCCATCTTGGTCGGCATGGCAGAAATATCTGAAGAAATTGTACTGGAAACAAGAGCTACATCTGAACACGTAGGACTGGTCGACACTCGTGGTGGATAATCAGGACTTCTCGGGCTGTTTACGATATCACCGCCACTGAGGGGACTTTCTGCCACTTTAGGTGTTTTACTGGAGACATTTCCGCATTCCTTTAGCGTATTGGGAAACGCTTGGCTGAATCGAAGAATCGATGATTTTCGAGATTTCATTACATCGTCTTTAGAATCTATCATCGCGTCTCCTGGAAAGATAAAAAACCAATTTTAATTTATATGGCACTCCATGGATGTCGATAAGTATTGCACACAAATACAATTTGAAAGTATGTTATTTCTTGGTATATGTAACACCATTTCTAAAGGTTACATAATTCGGTGCAAAAAAGCTAACGTACCAGTTTTTCTATTAACATATAAAGCCTAAAAAATGCCAACAACAATGAACTAAAAATTTCAAGAAAAATGGTCACCGCATAAGCGTCCAATTAAATTCCATCAAATTATAAATCCCACTCGATAGCATAGAAAACCAATGTCTCCGACAGAATAAGTAAAACCTTGTACTTTGTCGTTAAAACCTTAGTAACATAAAATCTGAAGTAATGCTGTTTTTTTATTTATCACGTAAAAGCGACAACAGATTATATTTCTCAATAACGAAGCTCAAGTACCTTATAACCTTAATTTGAAAAGTGCCAAGTTCACTCGTGTCTTTAAAACCAAAATTATTTTACGCTCAAGAAGACACGGCGAGGGTTCGCAACTTTTCGATCGGAACATACAATACTTTATACTTAAAAAATCATAACGAGGAAAAAGTGCTTCGAAACCATTTTTGCCTCATATTAATCCATTTAACCTCCACAAGGAAACATACAGTTCACTACCGAGTCGTTGAACCGCCTTTGCAATGAGATTAAAGTGGAAACAAAAAAGCTCTCGAGGGAAGACAAGTCGAAGCTAAGCCTCCTCTATCGGCTTGCAGAAACAAATACTTCCGACGGCGATCCCGTCGGCATTTAGGTCCTACCAACAGGTACGATCGCCGTGAGATTTTTTAATAAGAGTGACAAGTTCGTGCGTGCCTTTCAAACGGTCGAGGCTGGATGTACCGAACGAGTCGTGAGGTAGCGAAAGTGGCACAGCGGTGTCAGCGTTGACAGCGGGCGAGCCAACTCCGGGTGGTTCCTCGGAATGGAGGGCAGACGCCTCGAAGAGGGTCCCGCCGGACGGGCGTTCCGTTTGGCTTCTGGTCGGTGTGGCGACGACGACGGGCGATGACGCCGTGGCGAGGACCGTGGGCGTCCCACTGGGCGTCTCGACGGAGCGCGAATCGCGTGGCTCGAGATTGCCCGGGCGCGCTGCCTCCTTCCCCGTGACGTCCTCCCACATGGTGCCGCAAGCCTCGGCCCGACTTCCCGATATCCGAACGGGCTCGGACACTTCGCCGACCGCACTATTTACATCGCAGTTTTCGTCTGACACAGTGCTCGGATTAGCCTCGGATGCCATCTTGATTCCGTGAGTAACATCCTGAACGTACACCCTGGCAAGAGGTGCGCCTGTGTTGCCACGCACACGTAACCTAGTCGGGAGCGAGCGTTGACCACGGTGCACGTAAACCTAGAATGATGAGAGAGTGTGCGCTCACGGATGTACGTGAGGAGCGCGCGCGCACCCACACCAGCGCGTAACGCTCTACGAGCCACGCGATTGGTCGAGCCGCAGCCCGCTTCGGTTGCCAGGCGATTCAAAGCGGTTGGCGGAGGTACGAATTGGCTACGAACGAGGCGTCCATTGCGATACGCCCTCCGTAACCGGCGAGATGCTCGATCGTTCGATCTACCCGTAAGAGCGACGAGGACGCGGAGATGCGAAACTATGAAGCGGTCTCTTGGCTACTTCCCTACCTCACCCCGCGAATACTTGCCACGGTCTTTGGACCGAGGTAATGACGAATGCCGTTGGTTCGAAGCGCGGTCACGCATGAGTGCTCCGCAAATGAGCGAACTCGGACGCCAAGTCTGTTCCTCGATTTTATGAGAAAGTATGAGATAGATCGCGTCTGTATTTTATGTAATCGTTCGAGATGTGTAAAAAAATCGATTAGCGAGCATCGCGGCGATCCCTAATAATTTTTTAATATTTCGTAAAGAATCGAGGCTCCATTGGTGGCAAAGCGGCCATCTTGCTTTCCGTTGCGAAGATGGCAGAGGTGATTCAATTTGGATTCTGTTGATTGGTCGTGACCACCTCTTAGTTTGAATCAACCATTCATCTGCGCGGGAGGAAACACCTCTGGATTCAATTGGTAGTCGACAATGTTAGCTCGTAGCAATGAAAACTTGGCCGTAAACTAAATTCGACTCGTAGAAACGCGTCTTTCGGTATCCGACTGAAATATTGGGATTAAATTAATTTTTGTGAATGATTCGTCTGCATTAAGGAATTAAAAAAGCATCGGGTCACTAAATGTGGTAGAGCGATTACGATGATTCGTCTTGTTGCGCATTCTCTTATGTGCGTAGTCGTGTTCGAATCTTTAATTTAGTTCATCATTCTTCTAGCAGTTTCGAGAAATTAATTTGCACTTTCGCGCCGCTTTAAAAATAAAAAACGAATATAACCATCCGCGATGAGAGATCGAGGTCAACGTCATTTATCACAGCCAATCTTAGCTAAACGGGGGAGGTTAGGTAAAAGAGAATTCGAGAGACACCATGCTACATAAATGTCTTTATCGTCCTTACAATTAAAATAAATACCGATATAAAATTGCTTTACTGGTAACGGGGTTGTAAATTCTCTGACCACTAATTCGTGTAAGTATATTTTACAGCGTACTAAAATTTGAAAATCCCAAATTACCCGGCAATGGCGATTTCAAGATGTGGCTCCGAAGGCGCGCAACCAAGCGTGGCGTGTGGCGGTTAGGTTGAGTCGTTTACGAGGGAGATTATTCACCATTGCGGGGTATTTGCAGGGGAGGACGTGGGAGACCGACGCAGTCCTTCCCTACGCGTCTCTTTGTCGCACTCATGGATAGCAGGCGCGCTCAAGAGACCCGCGGTCTCTCGCGCGGTTGAGAGGGGGTAGTCAATGAGGCACTGGCTAGGGAAATCCGAGTTCGGGGTTTCATCAGCGGTGGCTGCGTAGCGGGACCGAGCGAGACTCGAGATATCCGTGAATACTAGAACGGAGATTCGGAAACCGAGCGAACAGGAGTAGCGCGAGAACGGAGTGACGACCAGGAACGAGGAGTAGTGCCGAGTAGCGGGGGCGTAGATCCGCGGTAGGTCGCTGTTAGGTTTTCATCGACGAGAGTGACACCAGAGACAAACCGAGGGAAAGAGCGAGCCGGCGGCGCAGTGGCCAGCGGTGGTTCGAGGGGCTCGCGTCCAAACATGTCCTCGCCGAACAAGAAGGTAAAGAAGTTGGACGACCCGGGCTCTGGGGAGGCGGGCGAAGCCAGGGATTACGACCTCGAGACTCAAAAGGCCCTCGAGGAGATCGACGGCTGCCAGAATCAAATCGACGGCCTCAACGAAAAGGCTAGCGACGAGATCCTCGAAGTCGAGAAGAAGTACAACAAGCTTCGCAAACCATACTTCCAGAAACGCAACGACATCATCAAGAGGATACCCAACTTTTGGGTCACTGCAGTATCCTTTCAACGTGTTGGTAACAGTCACGATCAAGCCAGGCACTCGAGTCCCTTGACATTTCCCGGCTATGCCGGCGTCCACCGGCGGCGCCTGCCGCCATGTTGCTTGAGCGTACGCGTGTATACACGCGTGCTTGTACGCTAACATGGGTCATTGACGCTGTTTTAAAGGATCTTAGCTAGTTGCAATGCATGTACGATATCTGTAAATGCTTTCTGAAATTTTATTCTTTTGCTTTCTGTATAAAATTAGCTGGTTGATCGTATACTGAAATTGTATACGTTATAAGCAACTCGATGTAGGAGTTCGTCGAAGGTATCGTAGGGAGACAACAGTGTGCTTCTAACCATTTTAACGGTTCGCATGATTATAGTATGTAATATGATTGGTCAAAAAGTTTTTTTTTTACAATCAAGGGCCAATTTCAGCGTAAATTAAATTTTGTAATTTGATCATACATGCCGAACAATGTATACATATGCATTGGTGTGTGTAGAGAGAAACTGGATGAAATCCTTTTTGGATATATAATGTGTTTCGTCAAAAATGTAGATTTTCTTAACGAATGCTTTAGTTCGTAAACCATCCACAAATAGCGCCAATATTAGAAGAAGAGGAAGAAGATGCGTTACGGTATTTGAACAAACTTGAAGTCGAGGAGTTTGAGGACATTAAATCTGGCTACAGAATTAACTTCCACTTCGATGAAAATCCATACTTCGAGAATAGCGTTCTCACCAAAGAGTTTCATCTTGGAGCTTCCGGTGAGCACATTTCCTGAAGTTTCAATATAAATTTCCAAATTTTTTTTTATTTGGTAGAGGAACAAAGGGCATTGAAAAAATGCAGTGATTGAAATTAGTCTCGATGATACTCCTGCTTCTTTGCAGGGGATCCAGCGTCACAAAGTACGCCCATTCACTGGAAAGAAGGTGCAGATTTGACGAAAAGAGCGAAAGACAAAGGTCCGATGAAGGGAAGGAAAAGGCCTCTTGGACACAAGACGTTCTTCGATTGGTTTATGTATCATGGTGATCCTAGTTCGGATGACATAGCCGAGCTAATAAAAGACGATATGTGGCCTAATCCCTTGCAGGTAATTTACATTACCTTACACGCTTCCTTTCAATCGATAATTCCAGAAATTTATTTAATTTATAAATTTATGTTTCAGTATTATCTCGTTCCTGATATCGATGTTGAAAATGGTATCGAAGGAGATGGCGAAGAGGGTGATAGCGAAGTCGAAGAAGACGGTGGAGGTGAAGACGGAGATGAAGGAGCAGAGAGCGAAGAGGATGAGGATATAGTAGTCGTCGAAGGGGACATTAACGAAGATACAGAAGAGGAAGAAGTTGCAAATGATGAGGATGACGGTGTGAATGACGAAGATGATCTACTCGTTGACGAAGAAGTAGATCACGAAGGTATTTGATTTGTTTTTTTGTCATGATTTCTTGCATAAATATAGAATATTCTTTCCTACAGTATTTTAGAGCACAGTACTCCAATAAATAAATCTTCCTCAGACGGCGAAGGCGAGGAACCGGAGTAAGCTAAGACGACTCTGGTCAGCGATGTCCATTGCAAGGTGGCTGGTGAATTCGTATTGGAGAGTACTTGCGAATCGAATCGAATCTCCTCAGGAGACACATACAGAGATCAAGTCGAAGAATCTCCGAGGGTTAGAGACGCACCTAAAGAGCACCTGTCCGTTGCCGTTCTACTATAATCGTATTGTCGATAGCTTAGGTTAAGAGTGATATCCGCGGCTCCGGGCAGGTGTTCCATCAGGGGTATGTTCAGCCGTGTCAAGACTACCCTTTTGGTAATGTTTTAAGTAAATGACGACGCGAGAAAGAAGGACCATGATTATTGTACGAGAAAACCCCGCGTTCGTTCGCAGTCTCCTCGTACGTTCCGATCCTCGAATTGAATGTTGCTGCTGGGCATTGTGCGGCAAAGATCGCGTGTTTCCTACCTCGTAGTCGGGGACTAAATTCACGATGAAGGAGGCATCGCTAACTCTTTAAAACGTTCCAGTTTGCGAGCAAGTCTCGCGAACACGGAGCTATGGCATCGACTCATCTCACGACGTATGCCTGGTCATTGCCGAAAGGAAGGGCGCGTTTTTTATTCAGTCAACGCCGTTGTAGTGATTATCAATTTTGGAGTGTAACGAGGAACTACTTGCTCTCGGTAAACCAGTGGCCGCTCTCGGGAGTTTTCGATTCTAACATTACAAGGCTGGCTACGTATAGAAATTAGTTACCCATTTGCGGAGCAGCGAACGACTTGTTAGACTTCGAAGTTTGTATTCATCCTACGAATCGCTGAATAAAAATCTGACCAGCCCTGCAACGGCTGCGCTAATCGGGTCGTCAGACGGGCGGATCTGTTTTTATACTTCGGGAGATAAGGATGCTTGACACTTTCTCTTGTAATGTAAAGTTAAATTTGAAAATAAACGGCAGAAAGACACTTTCGTGCGATCGCGCGTCTGCCTAGGTGGAACCGCATGCTGTTCAATGCGTGGACGTCGGTCTTTATCGTAACGAGAGGTCTGCCTTTTTTTTTCCCGTTCATGTATTCCGTCGGTTGCTTTTTAGGATTTTCATCCAAGGAAAGCTGAATTTCAGATGCCGGATAGTCCAACGTATACGTGAACAGAGTACCGATATACTTGATTTTAAAATAGCCCGTCGGGTTTTTATTTGGCATTTTCGGTTTTTCTTTTCCTTTTTGGGTACTTTTGGGCCACGCTTTTAATTTCTCTGGTTTTTGCGAAGTTTGTAATATACACTTTGATCACGGAATGTAGGAAATATTAAAATGGCAAGAAGGAAATAATTATTTGTCATGATCATTAAACTGCATTCGGTATACAGACTTCGGAGTACAGCTGTTGGGAAGCATTTTTTTTTTTTCCCGAAAGAGAAATAGAACTCATGTAAGGAATTAAGGTAAATGTCCCAGTAATCGATCATGTACATACTCTCGATTAACGGATTTAATTACTAATATACAACGTATTTGCGATTAGTTGGAGGTATCGATAACCAAGACAGTCAATGACTAGTACGTCCTCTAGTTTTTACTTTTATTAATATGTAATAAAAGGATGGTAGGGCAGGCAATGATATGCTTTATATTCAAAGAACATTATATGTCTAATCTTGCCAAAGAACGGATGCAAGCTATTTATAAGATATTCAGCATAACTGGAGATTGAGATATCATTTTTAAAATATCAATCATTGGGGCATTCACCTTACACCTAGAATACATGAATGTCATAATAAAGTGCTGGGGATTTCAAGAATAAAACCTCGACTTTTCGTTCAGTATAAATAAACCACGTTTCAGTAATCTTCAAGTCTCTTCTGTAAATGCCCGCAGGGTGAAAAAGTGTATTAAAAAGGTTCTCGAACGAACGGCAAATATCGCGGCTAAGAATGTTCTGTAGAGAAATCGATTTGAAAAGAGAGAGAAAAAAAAATATCAGGTATTTTAATAAGATGTGTTCGCCTCAAAACTTTTATTACCATTTGTTAATAGTCCTCTTTCATTGAATGGTGTATTCGAAATGCTACTGTTATAATTTACACCTCTTATCTCAGGTAAATGACAAAAATAATTACACTTAGGTTTCGTGATGGTATATCTGATTTTTATTATCCGAAGTAGACAATTCTGAAAGTGCACGAATTTACAGAATTGAAACCCTCTAGAATTAACTCGGTATGACTGGACTGAATTTTTTTTTTCTTTTTTTCTTAATATTTGTCGTATTCTTTGTATTAGTTTAAGAGAGCTACAAAATGAAAATCGAGATAATCGAACCGTTTATCCGAGATTTTCGCGGTACGTGCAAAATACACGTATCTCTTGATTATCGAGAATGTAAACAACCGTGAAGGGCATATTTTTTCTAAGGGATAAATAACATAATGTCTATAGAATATAAAACGACCAAATCTGATGAAGTAGCGTAGCCAGGAATTAATTTTAGGTGTGCATAATTTTTTGTCCATTGTTAATATAAAAAGTATCTACGTATGTAGAATTTATACTCACTTATTATTTAATTATAGCCGATTGGGTACGTAATTACTAATAATAAATTAAGGGAGAATGAGCATTCCTCGCTTATATTTTTCTAACATTTTTATAACTTCTTAACTTCCTGATAACGTTTTTGCTGTATACGCTCGCAATCGAGATGGGCGAATGCCGATAGGTCGATAATACCAGGCACCGATTGTTTCAGGGAAAGTCTGATAATTTATTGATATTTCGTGCTATTTGGAGATTCTTCGAGGATCATAGATTTTTAACGTTTATTTAATTTTCTATAGTAACGCCGAGTTTTGTTCACGGCCTTCGAGATGCGTTAATGGCAAGCGACCTTGGAGTATCTTTAACCTTTGCCCTCCGAATTCTTCTCTATCCAGTCGAATCGTTACTGCAGAGGCAACAATGGAGTGCAAAGGGTTAATGCCAAGATCAGACAGAAAACGTTCACGATACGTTTCCTTCCTTACTCCGAACGCGTAACCAGGGGAGAGAGAGAAAAAAAAAGAAACGTCGATTCGGCCCGATTCGCCTTGCTCCGCCCTTACGTAACGGAGCAAGGTCGAAGAGGACGATTCGTAAACGTTTCTCCACCTCTCCCTCTGAGAACGTAAATCATTGGCGTGGATGTGGATCGATAAAATCCTGGCTGCGCCACTTCGATCGCGGAACTAGAAATCCTCGAATTTGTTGAATCGTGGAAACCTGGAAAGAGATCATTTCTTAAAATATAATCGCTTCATTATGAAAAGGAAATGTCGAGAGATACGTTCGAAATTGAAATTCGCCGCCGAGCGGCCAGGGGGCAGCACCTGATCTTTCACCCGCCGCGAGGAATTTGGCGAGGGATTCGACGAAAACCAGGGTCCATTTCTTTTTACGTATATCTCCATAACGAATCGACGTTAATATCGACCCTGACATCTCGAGAACTCGCCGTAGTTTTTTATTTTCTCCCGTCCTCCCGAATCCTCGTGACTCGCTCAGGGCACTCATAAATTTTCGTTCCTATTGGTAGCTCGAGTTGACTCGAATTCTCTGGAATTATTTTTCTTTTTGTTACAACACGCGCCGGACCCGTTTATCCCATCGAAATGTTCGACCGGTAGCATCCCTGAACGCGAGTTACGGACGCGCCTTTGAATTTCATACGGCGGGGGTTTTCTCGGCGTGCGGCCGCCACGCGAGGCGCCGTCAGGAGGGGCTCGCACGTGCTCGTACGCACACGCGAGTGCGCACACGCGAGTGCGCTCCCGCGCCCGCGAACCTACGGGCCGTTTCACGGAGTTCGAAGCGCGCAGTCGGCGTCGCGACGAGTTGCCGCGAGGTTCTTTGCTCCTCCCAGCGCCTGCCTGCTGGACCCCGCGACCCCCGGAATTCCGCGGCGCGCAGAATACTCGAGGGAGAGAGAAAGAGAGAGCGAAGGAAGGACCCCCGTCGCCGCAGGGGGCGCCGGTCGCTTAGGAGTCACGAGCCGAACCGCGGGTCGTCCCGCGGCCAGAAGCGGCGAGGTGCGATTCCCGAACGGGACTCCGTGGATCGCCCGAGGGAAGTCACCAGGAGCCGAGCGCAAGATGGCCCTTCACCCCCGCGCGTTACGGCCCTTGCTGATGCTGATCGCATTCGCTAGTCGAGGTATCGGTCCAGATAAGGTCGCTCGGTATCCGACTCCCCATTCCAAAGAACCGAGCGACGACGATTCTCGCATTTTCATATTTTCATATTTTCGCATTTTCGCATTTTCATGTTTTTTGCAATTTCATATTTTCGCATTTTCATATTTTCGCCTTTTCACATTTTCACGCCTTTTACTCCTCGAAGCGCGCGAAATCGGACATGGACGGTTAAGTGCTGTCCCCTGGAGGTGACCTGTTGCTCGCGCGGAGGATTTCCTCGATTCCATCCCCGTGTCGCGAATTTTATTCATTTTGTTCCAAGGCTCGATGGCAGGAGAAGTATTTAATACGGTGATACCGCGCGGGATGGGGCGATTACGTTTTTAGGTTAATTTCCAGCGAGACTCCCCGGCTGATCCGACCCTTTGGGATCGGATGTTTGCAAAGGGTTGGTCAGCTTTGTTCGCCGGTCATTTTGATTCGTTGCCCGGTATATACTTGGTACGCGGTCTTAAACATGTTTTAGTTTTCCTCCATTCGTCCAGGCTCGTATTAAAATACCCTCGCGCTCGTTCCTTTCTGGGAAGTCCTTTTCACGTTTCCAGGTTCTTTGCTCGACTTCCCTTTCCCGGCGAACTTTCCAGGGTGCTTTTCAACGAGAAACCGGCTCCTGAATGTGTTCCCCTAGAAACGGAAGCGTTGCTTTGGTCCAATTACGTGGACCTGCAGGAACTTAGCCCCGGTTTGAAAACCCACTCGTACCTTCCGAGAACTCGCGCTTCAGGGTTTTAGGATTCGTTGACCGAGGTCCAGCCCAGTCGTGAGGTTCTTCGAATCGCCCGGCTTTAATTCCTACCATCGAGTGTCGCGAAGGGAAATGTCCCGCGAAAGGGAATACAATATTATTAAGCATTAAAAAAGAAAAAGAATTAATTTAATTTACATGCTCCTAGGAGCTCCGGGATCAACGCTTTGCCCCAGTTGCCGCGAATCCCAGTTTTACCTATTCTTAGTCCAGTCTTATATCTTTCCGGAGAACCTGTGGGAATTTGCATCGCATTCATTGGCTCCTGTTTTTCCTTTTTTTTTTATTTTCTTTCTCTTCCAGCCGATCCCGCGTCCTTAATGTCCCGTCTCCTGTTACGTCGTTCGTCATTGGAGGACCTTTGCGGCCCCTCGGTAGTCCATTTTCAAGGTCTAGGACGCCTTTGGGCGGCTTTCGTTTGTCCCATGCCGCCTCTGTCTAAGAATCCCCCGTTTAAGATATGCCCGTCGAGGTTTTTGGAGGCAAACCAGAGTCCACCCTCCGAGCGCTTCCCGCTCGGAATAGAACCCCATAAAAGAGAGGACGCGCGGAATGCCGGCGCTCGAGCCAAACGCCTCGAAGCACGTGATGACTCCTCTCGTCAAATTGTCTCCAAGTTGCCTCGAAGGTCGAGGTCGGGAACTCCGCCGACGCCACGAGCGACGAACCCGTGCGAACTCGTTCTCGAAATCGCTCATTCGAAAATTGCCTCAAGTGGCGAGAGACGTCCTCCTCGTCTCCTGCGAAGCTTAGATCGGAATTTCTATTTCTTTTGCGAGGAAATTTCGAATTAATCTCGAATTAATCGCTGTACCCGGTATAGGATCAGGGAAAAAATGCCAACAATGCAGGGCGTTCACAAAATTATAAAACGTGCCACGAATGGAATGTTTATTTTTTTTTATTTTTTTTTTTTTAAAGGAAACGAAAATTCTCATATGTTCCAAAACGCCAAATTTCCCCGTCCAGAATATCGAGTTTGTCAAATCGAGCGTAGGTGACGTTTATTCAGGGAAATGGGACATTGACGGGTGGATTTCCTTGCGACACTTTACGCGGTAATCGTCCTTACTTCCCGGTAATGGTTTCATGAAAGCGGTCCATCCTTGGTCACTATTCGCGTCACGTATTGCGGCATGATTTAAACTTGAACGTCGGCAGGACGTACCCACGTTAAAAATGCGATTACTCCCTGCAACCGTATCCAGGACGATTAGGTTCCTAGAACACAACTATCGCACCAACACCCGGTCTCGTAATAATAGAATCGCCTTGAATAAATTCCGTCCTCGGTGGGCGGAACTGCACTCCGAAATCAGGAAACGGGAAAGCCTGCCTTGTGTTTGTTATTAGTATTTGTACTACCCTCGTTGTTCGTTTGAAAAGTAATTCCGGTCTATTTTACGGGTACTTAAGATCCCCTCGAAGAACCATGGGACGTACCCCAATTGTGCTGTTCTTCTTCTTCTTTTTTTTTTTTTTTTTTTTCCCTCGGAGACAGTACTTCCGATCCGTTCTCTTACCCTCCTACCCTTTCAGAGTCGGAGGTGTAGAGGAATTGTTAGGGATAAATCGTAACTTTCATCCTTCGAGTTCCTGGCTACGAGGAAGGCGTCGACCTTGCTCCGAAAACCTCTAGACCTCGATTTTGGGGGCGACGGTCTTCGTCGAGGCCCCTACCTCGCGATATCTCCTCTATGACCTCCTCTTCGAGGTGATCTAGGGGAGTTATCAAGATTTACGAGGTGTCCTTACCCCAGTGATCGCGGCTTCCCGCGGACACGCCGGATGTGTCGCTTTCCTCGAGGATGCGCAAATAGGAGATAACATTTTTCCCCAACTTGCGTAATCGAGGTTTGCTCATCGGGCTCCTGAGCGTCCTCGCTCTCCTTACAGGCCACGTGGGGTGTAAACAATGGAGGTCTAATCCCTGTAATCAGGCAAATTTTGGAAACGGAGCACGAGTCGAGCTCCTCGTGTACTTTTAAATCTCCTTAAATAATTACCACCGATTTAACTATGTAGCTGGTGCGAATTATTTGAAAAGCATTTTTTTTTTTTCATGAGGAGTACACTTGTCAAAAACAGCTGACTGGTTAACACATTACGTGCCACGCCGTGTACTACCCGAGGTTAACGCGTATTATCGGTGGTACACGTGGCATGGAACATGTTAAAATTAGCCGAGTGGGATTTAATTCCGGTGGGTAGAAGTATCCCTTAGGACGTCTGGAAAAATTAATGAAGGACTTTACGTGGTCTTGTGACCATACAAGGTTCTCCTTAAATCTCCTTAAATCGGTGGTAATTATTTAACTAGGTAGCTGGTGCGAACTATTCGAAAAGCATTTTTTTTTTCACGAGGAGTACACTTGTCAAAAACAGCTGACTGGTTAAAATTAGCCGAGTGGGATTTAATTCTGGTGGGTAGAAGTATCCCTTGGGACGCCTGGAAAAATTAATGATGGACCTTACGTGGTCTTGTGACCATACAAGGTTCTCCTTAAATCTCCTTAAATCGGTGGTAATTATTTAATTAGGTAGCTAATTATTTAATTTAGGTAGGTGCCTGGAAAAATTAATGATGGACCTTACGTGGTCTTGTGACCATACAAGGTTCAGCTTTTGCATGGGCACGTCATTTTGCAAGTCTAGAGCTCTCGGACGTGTTTGCTCGGAGCAACCACGTCGTGTTCAAAGGGGAACGTCGTTCCTAATCCCGCTGAATCTTTCCTCCGCGCACAGCTGTACCCGGTGATGATTTACAGGGATTACACGGTTGTTTAAAGAAGCGTCTCGCTGAGCGAGCTCGTTGCAATATCTCGATCTAGAATGCCGGTAAATTAGCCGCGGGGAAAAGCCATCGCCGGGAGAAATTGTGTTAAATCAATAAAGATAACGCTACCCGTGTCAAAACAAATGAAAAGGGAAGGAAAGACAAGTGTACATCTAACTTAAGCCAAGTTAATTCCCGGCCCTCCATTTCGTCGAGTACTTTGCCATTAGCTATGCCTCTTCGTCGTGTCCCCTTTTTTATGACGCCCAAACTCGGATCAATTGACTTCGATTAACCGATCGAAGTACCCACGTGCCAGCAGTTAAATCTAACCGCTGTGGGTCTCGCGAGGAGATTATTATTCAATAGACCTTCTTTAAGTAATTATCTATGCGCAAGGAATTTTCACTCGAGGAGAAGTTGATCGCGATACGCGGTGATTGAATGGTTTTGCAATTCCGTAGATGGGTACGTCGTTGGATCGAGGATGGAGGATAGATTCGAGCAATGCTGCGGCTTGGGCGGCTCCTGGGCCAACGAAGGACTCCGCTGCGAGAAGTTCACTGGTCCTGTTTCCGGGGTGCCCAGGATAGAGCAAGCCCTTTGCTTGGAAGCTGTGGACATTTGCTGCGTGAGGGCTTATCACGAGAAACAGTGCGAACTCGGGAAAACCGAGGCCCGGTCAGGAGTGGCCTGCAGCGGCTCGCAAAACACCCCGGCTTCTCGAAGAGGACCTCGCGTCAGCGGGGACTACCATCGGGATTGCTGCGAGGGGTGCAAACTTGGTCGGTTTCCTTTTTTTTTTCATTTATCTTGCGAGTCATTTCTTTTCTTCTAAGACGGGGGAAGGAAGCAATGTCTCAAGAATTAATTTCATACGGATTTTTCAGGCATCCTGACGGGGTCCATCGGACAAGGTTGCGCCTTCAACAAGTTCACCTTTGGGAATCCTTGGGACCCCGCTTTCCTGGAGTGCTGCCACGAAGCTCTGCCTTCCACCACTCCTATCGACACGACTTGGACCGAGCCTTCCTCGACGGAGACGAGCGAAGACCCTACCAGCTCCTTGGCAGCGTCCCGAAGGACCTCGACGTCGAATACCTGGGCGACCGGGGACGCGGGGACCACGGGAATGACCGGAACGTCGAGAGGTACCGGGTCGACCGAGACTTCCGGGAGTTCTAGGACTTCGGAGACTTCGGGAACTTCGGGAAGTTCTGGGACTTCTGACACTGACAAGACTTCCGGAACTTCCGGGATGACGGGCGCCGGAACTTCCGATAACGACGATTCCTCCTATCCGACTCCACCGACTCCGGGTGCGTTGGAATAAATTCATAGCTGGCTAAGCCGCCATCTGATGATATTTCTCATGGCGATGGTATGCAGGTTTATGACGCTTTAATGCAATAAAATTAATGCGTTACAGTTTTGGACGACATTTGCGAGTTAATGAAGGGGATGCTGTGTACCGAGATTTGTGTCCCGACCCCGGGCTCTTATTACTGTTTGTGTCGAGAGGGCGGCGAGCTGCTGGAGGATGGTAAGACATGCAGAAGGAATGCTACCGACAGGTGAGATGGAATTTTCGGAATATCCTTAAAAAAATTCTAGTCGAGATAACGCGGACAATTTCATTATCTTTAGATGCGCGGGAACGAATCCCTGCGAGCAACGGTGCACCGACAACGGGGATGTCGTGAAGTGCAGCTGCGATCCTGGATATGACCTCGCCGATGACGGCAGGTCCTGTACACCCGCGACAACGGAGGCCACGACTCCATCGGAAGATGAGAACGAATTGTCACCGCGTTGCCCACCAGGATATCGCTATAACGATACCACGCAGCTTTGCGATGGTTCGTCACTTTCCTCTTTTTTGTTTTTAATTATGCCTTGCTGCTGCCTTAGCCACTTTCCAGTGGACGTCAAAATTGACGGTCGGTTTTTACATAAGAAAAAAAAAAAAGAAAACTAAACTAGCGGTTCGTTGAATTTGCGTACAAAATTTATTTACACGTATAAATAATGGAGACCGGTTGGAATGCCGACCGTCAATTTTGTAGCATCGTTCCGGTTGCCAATTTAATATCTGCTGCTGCTGTTGCCATTTTTGTGCCGCAATTGTCCCCCTGGTAAATTTACTTAGAATTTCAATGCGTGAGATTCGCGTGGAAGTGCAAAGAATATCCAGGAATATCGAGGATAGAAAAATGAGAGGTCCGATTTATAGCGAAGGGTCGTGAACGTCTACAGTGCTGGTTATCTCCTCGCTCGTCCCTTATCGGTCTTTCGCGATAGTCAAGGACAGGTTCTCGTAGTTTCCCTCTCATGGTGCAACGTTCCCAAAACTTGTAGACGTGAACGAGTGCACCGAACTCGACTCGTGTCCTCGAGAGAACCAGGTATGCGTCAACACGTACGGTAGCTACACCTGCTACGAGTTGACCGAGGAGAAGACGTGCCCTGCTGGTTTCAAGTACGACGTGTTCTCCAAGTCCTGCACAGGTACGTGTCCTGACCCGCTTGCACGTTTACAGGGAGATTGGTGTAATTATTATTACAACGTCGACATCAAGTCGGCGCGGTAGTTTGATACTTGGCCCTTTTCATCGGAAGGGATTGATCTCTTCGCTCGAATTTCGCAACCGACTAATAATACTGTTCGGTCGCGCGGTGTTTTTTTTTGAGAAACCTATTCATGGATTTGGTTGCATAAGACGTGAACGAGTGTGCGGAAAACATTCACGGGTGCACGATCGGAGAAGAGGAGTGTCGGAATACGGAGGGTGGTTACGAGTGTATCTCCACTTGTCGACCGGGGTTTCAGTACTCCCCAATTTCCGGCAATTGCATCGGTAAGTCCCTTTTCCCTGATTACCCGCCATGGAAGTGCATGCAATCGTAGAAAGAGGAAGGGATTTTACTTCCCCCCGTGTAGCCACTTTTTACGGCACAACGTGGAATGGAAAAAAGATAAGAAAATTGGTCAGTTTCGTTTCACTCGACATTTTTCCGCCCCTAAAGATGTGGACGAGTGCGCCCTGGATCTGTCGATCTGCGGAACCGGAGAGCGTTGCATCAACACTATCGGCGGTCACGACTGTTCTCCCATGTGTCCCATGGGTTTTCAACCTCGCATCTCCTCGAAGAACGACCTCCAGGAGGAAGAGTTTCTCGCGGGAAAATTCGAGCCCTGTCAAGGAGTCGAGGACTGCCTCTGCGAACCGATTTCCGAGTCGACCTGCACGGGGACCAACGGCTCCTTCGTCTGCGACGACCCTTCTTCGAAGACTCCAACGACTACTGAGGATGCATCGAGGATCGAGACGATGATCCCCGAAGTCGAGATTACAACATTAGAGAATGGCTATACAACGGTAGCTACGGGGACTACCGACTCAATAGATGTGGTAGGGAGGGATATCGTTGATGAAGGAGTCGGTACCACTACTTTAGTGTACGACACCACGAGACCAGGCGGTGGTACAGCGCGTGGAGTCGCTGCCACGACGTCGGTCTACAGGAACATTGCACCGAGGGTTGGCAGTATTCCTGAAATCGGTTCCAACACCGTAGAGAGCGGTACCACGGCTTTGGAAAGTGGTACGGCGAGACCAGAGGGTGGTGCAGCGCGTGGAGTCGGCGCCACGATGTCAACTCGTAGAAACACTGCTCCAAGTGTCGGCAGTATCCCTGAAATCGGTGCCAACACAGTGGAGAGCGGCACCACGACCCCGAGGCCAGATGCCGCCCCTCCCAGCGCGCCCACCCCACCCATCGTCAGGATCAAACCTTCTCGGGCAAGGTCGAGCAATCCAAGGCCGAGAGGACCAACGCAGCCCAGACCCACGTCTCGCAGAGTCGGGGACCCCTCGAGGTCGGTGTGGGCTCTGCCAAGGCTGGCCTCTTCGGAGTGCCCCACTGGATACTCCTGGGACGCAGCTACCAGAAGGTGCATCGACGTGGACGAGTGTACCAGGTCCCCCGGTTGCCGGGAGTACGAGCGATGCGAGAACAGGCCCGGGACCTACGAGTGCGTTCCTCTTTGTCGTAGCGGATGGCTGTACAGGCCCGCGACGAGGAGTTGCCAGGACGTGGACGAGTGCCTTCTGGGGCGGCACGACTGTCCCGAGGGCACCCACGTCTGCACCAACACCGAGGGCTCCTTCGTCTGCACCCCGCTCTCGGCGTGTCGACCCGGGTACGAGCGCGTCCTCAACGGGAGTTGCGTCGACGTGGACGAGTGCCAGGACCAGGAGCTTCATCGCTGCCGAGCTCAGGACCATCGGTACTGCGTTAACAGAGACGGAGGGTACGAGTGCGTCGTCAGGCTCCCGGATTGCGACCGGGGGTACAGGTACTCCTTGACCACCAGGGAGTGCGAGGACGTCGACGAGTGCGCCACTGGGAGGGTCACCTGCGACGTCAGGCTCGGCGAACGGTGCGTCAACCTGCCTGGAAGCTACACCTGCAAGACCCCCACGCCATACTGGAGGCAGAGGCAACGGCAACGACCTGCGTGTCCCTCCGGGTACCGCTACGAAGCCAGTTGGAGGCAGTGCATAGGTACTCGAGGCCATTTTGAGACTTCACGAGAGCATGCACGGCTCCTAGTCGATTATTATGGCCCTTATAATTAATCGTCCTCGGGGTAGTTTATGTCGTCTAGAGGAGAGTCGGGGAACAATCCGTATACTCGATGTATCTTTAAACAAGGGGGGATCTTCTTTAGAGGGAAGGGAGCCCAGTGGAAATTTGTCAACGCGAGAGCCGAGTAGGACAGGAGTCAATTCCGAGCAGGCCTTGGTACCAATTTCGTATGCGTATGCCAATTACCTCGGCACAAACTGGGCCACATTAATTGAGTCAGTCTCTTTTCCAGCATCGGGACTGAATTAAGTCCATGGCGATCTTCGCAATCGATGACGCAGTCTATCGTGGGAATGTTTATCGGTGATCCCGGTAATTAGCGGCACCGTTTTCCGGACCGCAAGGATAGTAGCCACACCCGTGATACCGTGTACTATATCCGTAATGTCCGTGCTTCGTGACGTCATTCCCAGGGTACAAAATCGCTTAAACGTCGCAGCTTCGCTTTTGCGAGATGTCCAGCTTTGCGAGGCTTGCGTTTCGAGCAAATTTTTTAACGCATACGTCCATACGCGAAACGCAGCGCCATTTTTATAACTATAACGCGTAATGTACACCTCGACAGCTTTTTACCAGCATTTCCTTGAAAATACCGCAGTGGACGTAAACGTGCCCACGTAAAAATTTGTGAAATATTTTTACGAACAGCGTGCAGTATTTTCAGTGGCGAAGGACAGGGGGAGTTCGTGGTTTAACGATCTTTCTACCTTGCAGACGTGGACGAGTGCAAGGAGGAGCGGAACACCTGTTCAGCAGGGGAGGCGTGCTACAATCAGCCGGGTGGGTACACCTGTGCGAAAATTCCAACTCCGATAACGAGGGTACCCGCGGCATCGACGCGTTGCGGTCCAGGGTCCCGATTTGTCCGTAACCGGGGGTGCGTCGACGTGGACGAGTGCCTGGAAACGGAGGAGGCGTGCAGCAGCAACGAGGAGTGCGTCAACACCCCTGGTAGCTACACCTGCACCTGCAAGACGGGCTTCCGGAGAGACAACCTGACCAGGGCATGCGTGGACATCAACGAGTGCCAACTCCAGCAGAACGATTGTCTCCCGACCCAGAGATGCGACAACACCCTGGGCAGCTACACCTGCATCAGGTGGGTTTGCGCTTCCTCTTCGCAGGGGCTCGTCGCCAAAAATACTGGTGGGCTGAAAAGACTCCTCTCTTTCGCAAGGTTCCTGCCCTGTGGGACCGGGTACACCCTGAACGCCGCGACGGAGATCTGCGAGGACGACGACGAGTGCATCCTTGGGACTCACGACTGCAGCGAAGGCTACCATTGCAGGAACACTTTGGGTTCCTACAGATGCGACAGGAATCCGCGAGGGCCGAGCAACGCCGCGGTCGCGACGACGCCGTCGACGACGACGGCAAGGACGACGACAACGACACCAAGGACGACGAAGATGCCGATGGCGGAACCAGTCGTCTCGGCGGTCACCTCGCGTCGAGTTAGACCGGACTTTGCCACGCCTGGGGTAACTTGCCCCAGAGGGTTCGAACCACTGTCTGGGAATCGGTGCGTCGACGTTGACGAGTGTCAACGGTCGCCTAGGATTTGTCCAAAACCGACGGAGCGGTGCGTCAACACCGTTGGGTCCTATGCCTGCGTCTCTAGGTAAGAGAGGGAATACAAGGCATCGAGAAAGTTTCCCCTGCATTTGGTTATTCCCTCTTCTTGAACGATGTGACTAGATAATTTTATCGGTACACCTGTTATCACCGGCATGGTTGTCCGTCTGCAGGTTAATATGCGGCCAGGGCTACACCTTGGACCCGAAGGATGGCCAGCGATGCATCGACGTAGACGAATGCGCCGAGAAGACCCACGAATGTGGACCTCGTCAGACTTGCGAAAACCGTCAGGGTGGCTACGCCTGCGCTTGTCCTCCGGGACACGTCTCAGGTCCTAACGGGGATTGCGTCGACATAGACGAGTGCAGCTTCTACAGCGGCCAGATTTGCAGCTCGAATGCTCGCTGCGAGAACACCGTGGGTTCCTATAGATGCGTCTGCCAGGATGGCTTCGAAAATGTCCCCGGGAATGGAAACGCCTGCCGGGACGTCGACGAGTGCGAGAAGACGCCGGGGCTCTGTCAGCACGCTTGCGTCAACACCTGGGGGAGCTACCGGTGCACCTGCAAACCAGGGTTCAGGCTGAATCCCGATAATCGGTCCTGCGTGGACGTCGACGAGTGCACGGAGTACAAGCAGAATGGACTTTGCGTGGGAATATGCGAGAACACCCCCGGTAGCTACTCCTGCAAGTGTCCCGATGGCTACAGACTCGGAATCGACGGCAGGACTTGTCAGGGTAAGACTCCTTCGACCTCTAGATCAGACGAGATAGATGTTTCTATATAAAGTCACATTTTGTATAAGGTAACGCTATTGATAGAGGACAGGATCTCTGGTCGGGTGGGAAGAAACTAGATTAAACGTTTATGGGCTGGTATCAGGGACATGGGAGGAACTAATTGACTTTTTAATAGTACGGGCCAATAATTGCGGCCCGGATGATATATCCGTTACGTCTCGTAATGCGATACGTTTATCTGATCATTCGAACAGACGTTGACGAGTGCGAGACCGGCCGAGTATGCAGAGCGCCCAATGAGATATGCCAGAACACGCGAGGTAGCTTCCGCTGCAACCGGATAGATTGCCCATCCGGTTACTATCAAGATCAAGAAAGGAAAAAGTGAGTACATCGATGGTGAGGTCTTCTTCGAACAACTTTTCTCTCCTCGATAGACCTCGGATCCTGAAGTCGCGACGCGGCACTTATCGGTGGTTTATGGAGAATAATGATTACAATAATTTTTTTTTTTCAGCCGTTGCGTGAGAGCCTCGAGATATTGCCTGAGCGGCGACTTGTCATGTCTGCGATCACCCTCGCACTACTCCTACAACTTCATCACCTTCGTCAGCATGCTTCCTGTTCCACCTTCGGGACAGCTGGAGCTCTTCACCATGAGGGGTACCCATCATTCCGAGTCGACGATCCGATTCAGCATGGCCCTGGTCGCGGCGAGAGCTCCTCCAGGAGTCACTCGAGCTACCGAATCCTGCTTCGCCCTTAGGAGGCCAGCTCCTTTCCAGGCCATCCTGGTCCTCACCAGGAGCATCCAAGGCCCTCAAGAGGTGGAGCTCGACCTTAGCATGGAGATCTACCACAACTCCATGTTCGCCGGGAGCGCGGTGGCGAAACTCTTGATTTACGTTTCCCAGTACGAATTCTAAAGCGATCGGCACGAGACTTCCAAGTTAACATTTCTGCTCCGCCGAAGGCCCGCAATGAGCCGCGCCGAAAACCTCCGCAAGGTCTGCAAGGGTCTTCCTTGATCGGTTTAAGATTAATACGCAGTCGGCTCACGATCTGCAGAATAGTTTGCATATGGTCTGTATGTCATTTGTATCGGGTATGTCGAATTTATATGCACATCGCGCCAATCCGAGTTCAGAGCGATAAGATCAGTAATCTTAAAGCAAGGTCTCTCCTGCCAGTTTTGTATTTTTAACCAAGTCCTTACGCATTCATACACCCTGCAGGCCATTGTGCAAACTCGACAGCCCACTCGGGTGTAGAATGAAATCTGGCAGTCGGATATGTTAAAGTCGCGATAGAGATGTATTACAGGCCAGAGGATTCTTTCTTTTTTTTTAATTCTTTTTTATTTACTTAGGATGCGTATTGATGAGACTATTTACGAGCAAATGAGTAAAATCGTCGGAAGATGTTTCCTGACAGTATTTTGACCAGTGTCGACTACCAGAGCTCGATTCGTCGACCCTCGGCGGGTCCCGAGGTCGAGGACTCGTCCAGAGTTTCCCTCCTGTGAACTTTTAATTTTACGTCAACTTTACGTTTAACTTTACGTTAAGAGTGCCGCCCCATGATAACGAACTCTCGACCGACTAAGACGGTGCAACGAATTTTATTCCGATGATCGTTTTACTCCTGATTAATGGAAACTACGCGTACTTGCTTAAATAATAGGGCCAGTATTGTCCGCGACATGAGAGTAGGTATAAGCAGGATTAAGACAACGATATGAGAGTAAGTCTTTACTGTAATAATTACGACGTGGACCACGATGATAGAAGTCGATTAGATACGCGCGTCACTTGATTATCCACCTTCCTGCGCCGATATCAGACAACCTGCCGATAGCAGTGAATAGAGATCCGTGTCATCCTTTTCTCCGTTATCGCGAGTTCTGCCCTTCTAATTACCCCCCCGACGATTAAACGTCTATCAGTTACCAAGCACGGAAGCGAATAATTGCGGACGATAATGTCATTACGGATATGTCACATCGGAGTACAAATAAAAGCCGAGAATATTACTGGAAGTTAAAGATGGAGCGAAGGCAAGGGAAGAACACGTGAGCGGAAACGCAATGACAAGACGGTCGTCACGTTGATCCCGGATTGAAAGATATTTCGTTTTATTCTGCTCTATTGCGATATCAAGTTAATGGTAGTATTAGTTCGTCCTCCGGGATATTACAATTCTATTACGTCGATACGAAGTCCTTTATTCGATACGGAGCACGCTATCTATCTGTGCTTTCTTCGGTACTTCGCGTAAATGTATATAAGTACCTTATACTCGATAATTCTTTAGCAAAATTGCTCTTAACTTTATAGGGTTAATATCTCTATACCGTAGACGAGAGACGTTGCTCCGAGTTTCTTCCGAATTCCCTGGTTCGGTTTAGCTCCCTCGTTAACGACCAATCGTTACCTCTCTACACGGTAGAGACAACAAAAATAAGAAACGTCGGACGTCGCTGCCTGCGTCGTCTTTCTTTTTTTTTTTTTTTTTAATTGCAAATAATGGTACATATCCGTATGTACGCATGCGAGCCCGGTTCGCGGAAACTCGGGCAGCCGTGAGATCCTTATGTCGCCTTGAATTCAATGAAGGGGAGCGTTCTGATCGAGCTCGGAAAATTCCCTCGCCACCTTGCAGACGTAATGCAGCCGTTCGTGAAGATCGGCCGTACATCCGTAATCGCGGATATCGTTCAGCCAGTAGGAAGAGGTGCGTCTCTCGGGGTTGATGTAGGTCACGAGATAGGCACCGCTTCCGGTGGGCTTAGAGACGACCATTTTGGTGTGGTCGACGAAGAAGTTCACTTGAAGGAAGGGAACGTTCAGCTCCATCACTATGGCCTTGTCGGTCCGGAGCCATCTCCTCATCCGTGGAACGAAAGCGCCGTTTCGTCTCGTTCGTCGCTTCCCTGCGGTGACCGCGCCGTTTATCCATCCGCGCACCTCGCCTCCTGGAACATAAATTGATTGAGTGAACGCCAAATTCCAGAACAACGCTTCGATGAGGAATAAACCTTGCCCGTACCTTCCGTGAGGTGTTCGTCCATGTACTCGGCGAAGAACTGCAGCAAGTAGAGCTTCTCCTTCAGGAACAACGGGACGTCGCTTTCCTTCTCATACCGGACGAGGTCTTCGTCGGTGGAGGTCACGTACTCAACGCAGCTGAGGGAGCAAGAAAAATCCCGGTAAATTTCTTTTAATAATTATAGCTAAGACTAATCATAATATTTAAGCTCGAACCTCCTATCGTGCGTGTAGCTCATCTTGGTGCTGTCGTTGAAGAGGACCCCGACGGACCTGTCTGGCAACTGAAATCCGAGGCCGTACTTGTTGGAATAGTCTATCCACTTGGTGATGAACAGAGGAGCGACCTCCTCGACGGTCTTGGGGTTGGCGCTGAACCGAGTGCACCGGATACAGGTGAGACAGTCTTCCAGGGCGCGATGCATCTGCACGCTCTCGGCGACGCCTCCCGAGCCGAGTCTCGGTTCCACCCCGGATCTGACCTTCTTTTTGTTAGGGCACAGGGCGCTGCTGAGACGCTGCTTGAACCTGGGGAGCTTCGGGAGCTTCTTGGCGAGCCATTTCACCTTGGACTCCTTCTGCGAGGCCTTGGACCGCGCCCGCTCGAAGGCGCTCTTCTGGGTCTCCGAGCGCTCGTTTTTCGAGACCTGGCCCAGACGGGAAGAGGACTCGGGCTCCGGAGACGACGAGGACTTGAGAAGCGGCAAGGGTGGAGAGGGAGGAGACGGCGGGGGCGTCGGTGTCGAGGACACCGTCGACAGGCGACGCAGAGTCGCCGGGGGCGGCTGGTAACAGCAGAAATGGGGCAACGACGAGGGCACGTACTCCTTGGTCAGGTAAGGGTGTCTCTTCACCTTCTCCAGAGAGGGTCGTAATTTTGGATTCGGTTCCAGAAGGCGTCGCACCAAGTCCTGCCCGTTGCGAGAGGCCACCGTGTCGTCCACCTCGCGGTACCGGTTGTCGCAGATTCTTGCATAGGTCTCCTTCAGGGTCGCCGTCTCGAACGGTGGCTGGCCGACCAGCAGGACGTACAGGATGCACCCCAGGGCCCACACGTCGGCCTCGTAGCTACAGGCCTGCTTGTACAACACCTCCGGGGCTATGTAGTTCGGCGTGCCGCATATTGTCCTGCGATGTCCGGAAGGGAACGTTTCGTTAATTTTAGTGATACTCCGGGGAATTGCGACACGGACTACCTCCCTGGGTATGCGATATCGCCGGTGTACCGCGGAATGGCATTTTTGCGTCCCTAGGTGTGTGTACCTCCTGTGCGCGTTATCGGTATGACTGACGGAACGCGAAAAAAAAAATCCCTCGTCGAAGGTACCTCACGTAGGGAGTAAAAATATTCCCAGGTACCTCGATTCCTGGGACATCATCAGGTTTTAATATACTAAACTTACACTCTGCGAGGGTGGTCGTAAGGTCGAGTGGCCAGCCCGAAATCCCCGATTTTGACGACCATGTTCTCCGAGAGGAACATGTTCCCAGGCTTCAGGTCGCGGTGAATCACCTTCCTGGAGTGTATGTACGCCACCCCGGTTACCATTTGCTTCATGTAGTAACGTGCTTCCGGTTCCGTCACCTTCCCCCGGTACTTGAGCACGTGCATCAGGCTCTGTCGGGCAAGAATGATTTTGTCAAGACGCGGTCGTCGTCGAGTTGCCGCGAGTGAGACCGCTCTTCGGGACAATTGCCTGCCGCAATTCACTCTCGATTCATCTCGGAAATGAAATGACCAACTGAGACGAATCGCTTCAACGGGGGGCAAGAGCCATTCGCTCTCGCGCCTCGTTCCTGTCGCTCTCGATCGAGTCAACGTCTCTCGCCGGGAAGAACCATGAGAAACTCCGGAGAAAACTCGCGAGAAAATCCCACTCCCTAGATCTGGTATATAGATCGCGCCAGTATTTTCCCATACATGAGATTGAGATCGAAAGTAGGGAATAATTAATAAGGCGCAGCCTTATCTACGTCCGAACTAAATTTTATACATTTTTAATGCGAAGTCGAGTTTATATATTTTTAATGTGAAGTCGAGTTTATATATTTTTAATGTGAAGTCGAGTTTAAATGCCAGAAATGGAAATAGTTAATATTAAATCGGCCTTCCGTTGAAAAATGCTCAGCTGGGTTGAAATGGTATACAATAAGTTTCGTCCCTTTTTCAATAACGGGGATCTCGGTACGGCGCGGACGTCATCGACGAAGTGTAATTACTTTGGGGGCAATCACCGAACGCAATTCACTCTCGTTTCGAGTCTGAAATAAAACGAGTAACCGCGATGAATTGCTGCTCGATCTCCTGCCTTCTCCTCTCGACACTCGTCACGACGATTCCGGATGAGTTTGCACTCTCCAGACATTCGGTCACGAGTATAGAGACGTACTCCGATGTAAAGTGTGCGCAAACTTGTTCGCCAGTATTCCCGGATCGATATAACACGGCGTAATGGATCTTGAAAAGTAGAAAATCAGACCGATACCTCGACGACTCATCTTCAATCCGAGTCGTAAAATCTGAGGCTTTCTCGTCCCCCTTTGGGCTTCTTTTCTTTTGCGCTCTCCCTACAAATGGCTTTGACGCAAACGGGAGGACGAATTCCGACGTTTCGTTTTTGCTCGAACCCGAGGAATAAGCGAAACTGACGAGAACAAGTTCTCGACGGTTTCTAGAATTTCAACGTGTCATACCTTTCGCGTACAAGCTTCCAGGAGTATGTAAGCGTTCAGGTTGTCCTCGAAGTAGTGATGCATCTGAACGACGTTTGGATGATTCAGCTCCTTGTGAATCACGATCTCCCTCGCAATCTACGACACACTCTAGTAATTACAAGAAAGTCCCCCTTCGATCGGGATCCATACGGCGAAAAAAAAAAAATAAATATCCAGGTGACGTGGGTGTCTTCAATTCGCGAGACGACTTATAAGATTGCTTCTTAACGTCCTCTGAAAAGTCCCGATCGCCCATAACGCGACACCCTGGATATTTGTTCGCCGCACGAATCCAATCTTTCTCCAGCTCGCGAACCAACCTTCTGCATGTGGATCTTCTGCATCCGATTTTTGGGAATGATCTTGCAGGCGTACTGCTTCCCGCTGGCTAGGTCGGTCATCAAGTAAACCCTCGCGAAGCCACCCTGTGGAAAAGTAGGTCTCCGTAAAAAAGAAAATAGACTCGTCAAGAGGGGTGAAGCAGAATAACTCGGACAAAGAGAGCCTGGTATGTTAAATAGTTCGGCTCTTTGCACACAGCCTACGGAGTCGTTAACGAATTAACCCCTTCGTTCGAATCGGTAGCATTCGACCTAAATCCCCTCGCTTTGAAGCTCGGATGGCGAATTCATTTTTTAGGCATCCCAGACAGCCCTCCTTTTTATTCCCACCTCGTATCGGAGTTTCTATGTTCGGTCGGAAGTTTTGTTTTTCCATCTACATGGGAAACGAGGCTTTTCCCCCGGCTCTGGTAGAAAATAGGATACCCCGTCCGGTGGATGACTCTGTAGTAACTTTAGCGACATGGTTAGGAAGAGTAGCGGGTCCCTTGCCAAGAGCTTGCGAAAATATCTTCCGATCTTACGAAAGCTTGGCCGCTTCTAGCGGTCCTGTCGCGCATTTCGATTAAATCCCGAATCCCCAAAAGTGGAACGATTTGCTCGAGGAAGGACAAGGTGGAATTTTCCGAGATTTTTGGCCCACGGCTATCGAGCTGGGTAACTTTTCGTGAAAGACGAAATTAATTATTCTAGCGATATTATTCTTGTAGACTTAGTTTTATGTAGTACGCTATTTAAGGGTAAGCCTCGGTTAAGACATTATATGAAAGTAGTGGTTTGAATAATTGTCACGATATCGGGGATAATTAGTCTTAATGACCCTGACCGAGCGACTTTAATGAGCCTGTGGAAACAAATACCAGTCTTGTATATTCGTCCTCTAATATTCGGCGTACGTGAAAGCAACTTTGGTCAGAAATTCTAGTAAAGTATTTCGAGTGTTTCCCGATACCTCCGAGAACGCGACCGCAAAAAAGGATCCACCAGTTATCCCGGGAAAAAGGATGAAGAAACGATCGAAAGTATTTATTATCGAGCCGGGATATTTTTTAAACCGAGGTTCTCGGGAGTTCTTACGTTTTCTTATAAGCAGATGCTTACGTTTACGGTTCTCGATACTTAACGTAAATACTTCGGGGCATGACTCTACATGTAACCGTTTCACTCAATTACTATAATGCCTTCTTCGTGAAACCAGCATTTCAGGCGATCCTTATTTCCTGCTTGAAATAATACTCCGTTCGGCTTCGAATAATCGTCGAGACTACTACAAAGACGTAACAAAAGAAATCAAATAATTGGGCAAATAATGAAATCGGAGCCACGGTTCGTTAGTCATTGTTTTGTAAGTCAATTAAAACGGACCACTTACTTAAGCGCATCGATTAAAACATCACAGGCAAGCAAATTGGATCGAACGGCGGTTTTTAGCATATCCTTTGAAACCAACCTCGGGAAGCTCTTCGGCAAAAGCGAACTCAAGCCTCTTAACGTTGAAATAAAAAATACCACGGTCCGAAAATACATCTTCGCGACAACGACAACTTTGACATTTCTAGGCTCGAATGAATTTACGAAGGAATTCTAAATATAAATATTTCCCAGCGGAAGTTTCAACATCCGGGAAGCGACCTCAGGGAAACGCCTCCCAAGTTCCGAGGATACAAATGGACTAAATAACATACTTTTCGTTTAAATCAAAGAGAGCAAACGCACCTTCCCAAGGAACTGGCCTTTATAGTATGCGTTTCCCTCGGCGGAATCCACGATGTACAAGGACTCCTGCTCGGTGGAGGTGTTCCAAGAGCTGCTGGAGGTGGTGGTCGGAGGGGAAGTCCGAGGGCTGGTCGTGGCGGAGACGAACGCCTGCTTCGGGGAAGGCACCTCGTCGCTCTTCGGGATCGGCTCGTTAACGTTTCCGAGGCCGGCATTAACGTTACCAACTGCGTTTCCAGGAACGGCAACGACGTTTCCATCCTCGCGAGTCCTCGCGACCCTGCCGTTGGCGGTCAGGACCTGTCCTTGTCCCGCGGATCCCAGAGACCCGGCGCCTTCGGCCACGAGGTCGGAAACGGCGTCTCTGGACTGCAAGGAGGCTCCGGTCGTGGCGGAGGCGACGATTCCGGCATTGGCGACGAAGGAGGAAGCCGAGGAAGAGGACGACCGGGAGGCTCGAGGCCAGCTCTTGTCCTTGGGGTCGCAGGCCGGAGACTTGGCTCCTCTGGAAGACTCCGTCCTAGCCAGGACCTTGCGCTCCTGAACGCGGGTAGAGGCGGCCTCCTCGCGGGATTTCAAGGTGGAGAACCTTGTGCGCAACCGCGACGACCCGACGAACCCTGGAAGGTGCAAGGTAGCCGTGACGGCCCGAAGATCGTCGGCGGCTTCGAGACCCTCCGAGGAATCGGCCCGGTCTTCCTTCGCCGGCGAGGATCCGTTCCTTGGACTCCGAGCGACGTCTTGCCGATCCGCTGCCATGGTCCCGAGGATCCTCTCTTCTCGCTCGACGAAAACCTGTTTCCTTCCCCCGGACATCCCCAGGAGGCCGTAGGCGGTCGGGGCCGAGGAAGGAAGCGCCACCTCCGACGCCTCCAGGGGTAGGAAACTCGGATGACTCGAACTCGCCCTTACGCCGCCGTCGCGCGGCATCACCTCCTCGAGAGGCATCTCGTCCTCGGGGTCGTCTTCGTCGCTTCTCGAGGGCTAGTACGAGCTCCCGGAGACGGCATCGACCTCCGGTTAGGACTTGGCCGCGGAAAACGCGTCGGCATGCCCGTGGGTGCTCACTGTCCGGGAAGGCCCATCCTCGAGTTTCCTCGGTTTCCCTCGTTTCCCTCGTTTCCCTCGAATCCGGTTATCGATCCTCCCGGTCGTGTCCCCGCTGTCCGGTTCCCAGCTGGCTGCGAAGTCCTGGTGGGACGAATACCGGTCGGATTCACCTTGACGACCTCGAAGCGAGCACCGAGATGAGCCTGGGATCGTCGGGCTGGGTCACGCTACGCTCTGTAACGTATCACCCGTCGTTATCGACAATAATTTTAATAATATTAATATAAACAACATCACCCAAAATTTTCCTTTCGGCTCTCCTGGATTTACTTACCAGTTTACCCGGAAGCTCCGACTCCGATGCCGGCGAATTTTTTCGCGTCGTCTTCGGGTCGCGCAAAATCCGACGCGAGACCACGTGGGGGTTAATGGACTCGGACGATCAAGCGGGTCGGAAGAGCGCTCGCCGAGCCGTGGCTCGTTCGCGTCCACCTGAACGAGTTCCTGCTCCGACGCCTCGTACACCTGACACCGGGATCCCCGCTCCGAGTCCGCCGTGCCCCTCTGCTCGAAGTCCCAGGTGCGCACGGCGTGCCAGGCGTGCTCGCGTCCCCGTCCACGTGGCGTGCTCGGCCACCGGGGATATTCGGTCCCCTTGAACCTCCTCCACCTTCTCCAACGCGATTCACCTAGGGATGCGGAATTTTCGGCAACTCGGGGGCACTTAACTTTCCGCGGTCCTCTGGACCGCTCGATGTCGCGAGGGTCCTGGGCGGCCACCCGGTCGATATCCAACAGACGGTAGCACCTTCGTGGAGGTATTCCGCGTCTGGTTTTTCGGGAACGATTCGAAGATCTTTCAGATAGGAGCGTCTAGGTGGAGTTTCGAATGTACCCAGAACGCTGGCCGGAAGGAATCTTGGGACTATTCCACGGATTTAACGTTTAAGATTTATCCTCGATACCTGGGGCAGGAATTTCCCTCCTACCGAGGTGAGGCCGAGTCGAGGTGCCCGCCGTTGGAGCGGGGAATTCCTTCTCACGGTCCGCGATTCAGCCGTAAACGTCACTTTTATTCTTCCCGCTCGCACGCACCCCGAGGTTCCCCCGATCGGCGGAAGCCCCCGCTTCCGCTCCTCTTCTAGCAGTCGGGACTTCGAGGTATCGACCTCGGAGGGTTCCGCTGGAACTTTTCCCCTTTTCCAGGCGAGACCTTATCCTTTGAACCCGCCCTATCTCCTTCCTCTCGTTGCTTCGAGTCCTCTGTCGACGACGCGATGGCAGGATGAGCGAAAATCCACAAAATCCTGGATTCTCTCCCTTTAAAGCCAACTCGGCATCCGGGAGGCTGCTTCCCTTGTCTCTTTCTTTCTCTCTCTCTCTCGCGACGCCGAGCGACGAGGTGGAGGCAAGACGGACCCCTTTCCCCGCGGTCTCTAGGACGAAGGATCCTTGTCCCGTTCCCCGCGCGAGCTCGCGTCTCCTAGCTTCCACCTGCGTCCACCGGCACCGCGACGTCCGATCGTCGCTCGACACTGAGGCCGACGCCGACTCGCGGATGCGGTCGACTCTCGAGCGACGCGGAGAGGAGAGGAGCGGAGCGGATCCGAGCGCGGCGAGAGGTTCCCTCTCTCTCTCCTCCACCGGTTGCCAGCGCCCGTCTCTCGCGCTCCTCTCGCTCCGTCTTTCTCGCTCTTCGAGCCTATCGATCGGCCCGTCCTTGTCCCTCTTCCAGCTCGCATTCGCGTCCCTCCTCTCGATCAGGTCGGACCTCTCCGTTCCTCTCCCTCCTTCGCGATAAGGCCGTCCTCTTCTCGCCTCCAGCCCGTGGTTTCCCTCTCTCGGGTCTCTTTTCCGTCCTTGTTCGGCTTCTCTCCCTTTCACTCTTTCTCTTTCCGTCGCGTAGCCTCTTCCTCGTTTCTCTCGTTGCCTAACGATTTGCCCGTCTTTTTCTTCATCCCTCCCGGTCGAGTCTTCTCGCTCCTCGAATTCTTTCTTTCTCGGGCTCTTTTGCTTCCGTCCTCGTCTTCCTCGCGGATCCGCTCATCGTTCCCTCTTGCTCTTCGCTCTTCCCTTCTCGTGCATCCCGCCCACGAGTGCCACCGACGGGCTCGCTCTCCTACGTCCACGGGCCTCGACGTCCGGAGTCGGAAACAGGGCCGTATGTTGGAGGGGAATCCTGTTCCCGGCCGATCCTCCGGTTGAAAGTGTAAAAAGAATCCACCCGCTCCTGTGGACAAGACCGAATTACCAGTGGTCGAGACTCTAGTTTGAAAATAAATATATATATTTTTTTTAAATCGATTCCCTTAAATTGAGATACTTTAAAATGCTCACGCTTTTCCGCTGATAAATTTCTGGAGGGTTATTCACGGGTTAACTGTTAATCTCAAATAATTTTTGACGTCTTGGCAAAGATTTAATTTGCAATCGAGTCATTTTTTTTCTGAATGGAAAAACTTTTTTTTTAATTCCATTTAGCCGAAACTGTCGAGTTCGTGACCGCGAACTCTTCGCCAGGGCCGTACGTTCACCACGATCCCGGGCTTGATTATCTACTTATCGGAGATATGTACAACAGTTTAATGATCAATTTCGGAACTTTCGCTAGGAACTTTTCCTTATTATTCGCAATGCAATAACCGGGTTCCTTCTCAGAAGACCCTGCACAGTTGTCCCATGCGGCACAATGGTCGCCTTTTACTATTCATTATTCCGACAAGCCGTTTCTCGAGTAGAAAGTCCCTTAAAAAAATATTAAGTCGTGACAATTAGTAACATCATTCATATCCAAGGGCGGTGTATGGTACAAATACAAGGGAAACGTAATACTCCGGAGTTACAGTACTCGTTAAAAATATGATTCGCGGTCTCAAAGGCTAAATTATGCCAACACTTAAGAAGTAACGACCCCAGCCTTGTACATTCGGTTTAAGGTTGCGTAAAACACTGCAATTTACCAACGTGTACTCTCATGAATGAGTATTGCACAAATCTGTTGGAAACTTTAATAAGCGAGTCTTTATGTAAGGTGTATGGCTCGACCACTAAGAAAGTCGCATTGATTAAGAGAACGTATTTACTCTCTCTTCCGCTTATCATTTGATATTTTCAATATGTCTCCGCGAAGCGTCGGATGCGATGTTATTTATATCATTGCCCGTTTCTTCGAGACTGAGGCCGGGGATAAAAATCGCTGCACTTATTTATAACTCGAAGGATCATATAAAAATACAAAAAATCAATACGAGCTGCAAGCAGGGGAGAAGAAGAATTTATACTCTCGTGCTTGCATAAACGTACTCTTGACGCATCGATAACAGGGATGGATCGCACCTAATCGGCCGCGATGCAACATCGAAGGTATACACATGGTGATAGACGAAAGTGCGAACAAAATTATTTTCTCAAGCAATGGATCTGCTCAATCTTCCAGTCATCCGCGATTCTCAAATATTTACACGTTCGAGTTTGCAACAATTATCGAGTACTGCCTGCACATCCAAAAGAAGCTAAATCCACTCGCCGAACGCCGCGCTTCGCACCGCCTTAAATCCAGAGCGTTAAAGCGTTTCGCAAAAGGTTCTTGGTATTTTTCAAAAAGCGAAGAAATACGGATCGAAGCTTTCTCGGTGCCTGTTTGAAAAGCAGCCAGCCTCGAGGCACCCGAAAATCCCAGGTCGTGTCTGCCTTTATAATCTTCAGCGAGGCGCATTCACGAACGGTTACCTTAGGAAAAAGTGAACGAGTCTAGAAGAAGAGAAGACAGGCGCGAGAGGAAGAGGGACGAGACATCGGTTGCTAGTCCCCGAAGGTAGACTTTTGGAAGTCTCCTTTCTACGCATCCTGTCCCGTAAAAACCCGTCCGATTCGTCCGACGTTCATTGTCCATTGTCCCCGCTCGGGATCCACGGTCGGTTCCCATGCACCGCATGGAATATCGTAAACGGTAATCGTCGGTTTCTACGCTTCCTATATCTTGTAATAATATTTATCCTCGTCCTATACCATCCGCAGTCCAAGGATATACTTCTTCCAGATAAAATACTCGATTTACATCATCTACAGTTACTCCGACATCGCGCTCCGTCGCTTTCTCCTGGAGTTTCGCCGCGAGGATGTGGTTTTCGGTTCCGCCTTTGAGCCTCTTCTTCGAGGATCTTATGGATTCCCGTCAACCTCCTTCCGGCGTGAAATCTCCTTCCGGCGAGAGTCTCCCACGGCTGACCGTACGGGACATCCATACCGGAAACCTCGAAGCCCGGAAATCGGGACATTTAATACTCGACGAGACAGGTCCTCCATCCTCGGTACGGCCCTGATTTGGCCGTTCGCTCGGTTCGCTTTTAACCCGTCGTCTTTTTTGCGCTCCTCGCGCGCATCCTCTTATTTTCCTGGCTACCCCGGCGACCGAGCCACTAGACGGCCGACGCACTCCACGGGCCGAGCCGAGCCCAGAAGTGGAAGACGTAATACGTGGCACGTAATGCGTGCCTTACGCGCACGTAACTCTACCTCTTCCTCGCATCTGCCTTTACCTTTACTTCTGTCTCCACGGCGCTTCCGCCGAATGCAACGCGTCGACTCGACGCAGCTACCGATCGTCGACGACTCCAGGAAACGACGCAAGAAATCACACTTCCCCGCGTGAATCCATGGTTACCTAAAAATGCATACCAGGAGTATGAACATCCATTTACACGTATAAACGTTTAGGAAACACCGAGTCCTGTGGTACCTGCTTCTTGGTTCCGTGGTACCAACATCCTCCCAATTATCTGGACCAGTACATCGGTGACTTTGCTTCTGCTATGGTGTTCCGTCTACCTGCATCTTTATTCGTTCGCTTGCTCCAACCTGTACCTCTATCTCTACAGGCGTTCTTCCAGGGAGCTCGAGCGGACGCAACTACCGGTCGCTGACGCTTCGGCTGCGACAAGAAGAAAAAGCGTGAGAGACCGTGTTCGTTCGTGCATATGCGTGCACGTGTGTGCACATCCGTGAAATCCGTACGAATGCGAGGACCCGCGTGTGCGCCACGAGGACACGCGTGTATCCTAGGTAGGGCCGCAGCGCATACAGTGTCATTGTACTTTCGGTCGTTCGCACAGGGACTGTATATCTGCTAGTGAGATCGACCGATTGCACCCGTCGAGCTCTTTTTCTAAATATAAACGCTATCCAACGAGCATGCGTGCCTTTAAGAGATTGCACCCTCTCGCCCGGACCACTTCTCTCGGCGGCATTCCTGAGTAAATGAGAATTCGTCAAATTAAGGGAAACCCACCTGTATGTCGTAGCTTCGCGCTCTATTTACTCCCTGATCGAGGTGCATTCCCTGCACTTGCAAACTGCAGTCGTAAACAATGAGAGTTATTTCGGAGCGGAGTTCTGCGACCCGCGAGGGGACCTGCAAGGATTTAAAATTTCGATTACAAATGATATTCTCTATGGTCGTCGTTGAAAAAGTACCTATACGTCTTTATTTGCAGTTGCAGGTGTTCCGCCCTTTGAATCCATGCCAAAAATCGACCCGACGGAATGCCCAGAATTTTATTCGGATTGAAGATCGATTTATGCATTTGTTCCATGTTCGTCTCGGTGGGTACGGGGAGTATGAGTTATTAAATAAAATAATGCAAAGGTGGGCATTACGGTAACGGACCTGAGACCCGTAAAATCTTCGAAAAATTCCCTGTTACGTTTGAACGTCTCACTTGAGTGGAAATTACGACCTGGGTGTTTGCTAAGGATATTTGCACAATAACCTGTGAACTGAAAGCAGAAAAACGATATATTCTATAAGCTCCGCATACCGATGCGTACAACCAGGTACAACCTGCATAATTCAGCTGGCCAATGTTCTAGCTGCATTGCCGTGGGCGATGATAGTGGAACGGTATTTATATTGTAACCTGACTCAGGGCCGCCGTTCCACAATCTGAAGAAAACTTCAAGGAGAAAGCGGTGCTTCGAGTAAAAATTTACTGATTATTCAAATTTGTCTTAGAGGCGTCACTAAAACGTCTACATTTTATATGAATCGTTGTTGCAGCTAGATCATGCTTCTGCATTCGGCTCGGGTTCGGTACCCTCATAAAAAAACGAAAGAAAAACAAAAGAACCGCCAGCACTTGTAGATGGAGCGCTACCGCCATCTGACATCCAACATACGAAGTTATAAGTACAATAATCCTACATTACCTGCTGTGAATTTAATATCAGCTGGAGTGGAATTTAATTAAAATTAAGATTCTTCTTCCGATATTTATAAAATTGTAGTTGTATTGTTTTGCAACAAAGAATCAAATTAAATTGTGGTGTGAAAGGGTTCATGCTTATCAGCGCGCATACTTCCATCAGAAGCAGGTACAGAAATTGCAGAACGTGAAGTTCCATTTTCACGTAATTTACATCGCGTGCAAAACTCGCGACGTGAAATACCTAGTAATTTAGCTAGGGTATTTTACCGATCTAACCCTGGATGACTATTATTCGATTCGATTGGTCGATCCTCCATTGATTCGAACATGAGTGGTCCACTTCGTGCTTTTTCCTCATCTGAAAAATGAAGGCATTTCCGTCGCACTCTGCCTCCGGTAGGAAGAGATAAGAAGAGACCGGTCTCCCGGCAGGCGGAGTGGGGGAAGCGACGAGGCGGATCCCGACGTTGCGCCACGGTGCCGAGTGCGCCAACTAGTGTCGACTGATGTCGACTGGTGTCGACTCGCTCGGCTGTGTGCGCCGCGCTTTGTGCCCGATTTGTCAGGTAGTCGAGGTCCCGCGTTTGTGCGAATTGGCCAGCGAGCTTCGAGTGTCCGTGACGGGGTCCTCGAGCGAATTGATCGGCTCGGCGAAGCGAGCATATACGAGCGAAGGAGAGTCCAGGAGCCGAAGGGTTTAGAGCCGAGGTCGGAGCGATGTCGCGAGCCGCGGCGAAGGCCTCGGCTTCCGCGGTCGACGAAGCGCATCCGGGCGAAATTTCCTCGATCGAATGCTGAATCTCGGAGAGCGGGTGAGTGCAGCCGTCGTGTGGCGTGGCCCCCCGTGGATAGTAACGCGTCGATAAACGCGAGATCGGAGAGAAATCGTACCGGACCGTTCGCTCACGGTCCGAGTCAGTGTCGGCCAAAATGGCATCGCAAGCCGAAACCGCCGTGGCCACGAGCTCGGCCAGTCCACCAGCCAACGGCTCGCCGGGGACGCTCGCCTCCGTTATCGCCACCTCCAAGGTGCAACCTCTGCCCAATGCGCTCTCCCCGCAGCCCCAACAACAGCAACAGGCCAACAACTACGAGCCTATCGACAAGAGCTCCTCGAATACTCTCAAGGTATACACCCGGATGGGGTTGCGATATGTGTATCAAGCTTCGTAGACACATTTGAGACATCCTGCAGACTTGTCTATTATGAAACGTCATATAGAGAAGCACGGTTGTCTCTAGAGTAAACGTCTTAAAACTAAAGTATCGTGCCGTCTTTGACTCTGTTCTTGTTATCCTAATTTTCTTGATAACCAGGACCAGAAACTAATTGTTTCCGATCTGTCCGCATACTTTAAGAGCATCGACGTCAATCGTGAGAGTTTTATCACGAGGGTATATTATTATTAGTTTTATTAGAACAATTATTGTAACAACTTGGAAGTAGCTTTGGTCAGTATCATATGTTTTCCCAAGAAAGCACTGACCGTTAAAGTAATAATTTGTTTGTATTTGTTAATAAATGCATGATTAATGGCTGTGTAGTTGTTTACTTTTTGATATCGATTTGTTTTCTTTTCAGCGCAATCCGAAAATGGAATTGAGCAAAACGGATTTGCTGAAACTGCTAGGCTACTTGGAGGGAGAGCTGCAGGCTCGAGACATCGTTATAGCAGCTTTGAAAGTAATCTCATTTTTCTACTTAGTAAGCAAGTAGCACACAAGCACGGGGTAATTACAATATTACCTCATAATGAGCCTGTCAATTATCTTATTAGTCATGATAATAAGTGCCTTAGGTTGGTTAACAGAAAAAGGAAATGCTCATGTCAGAAGCATTGTAAATGTGCTATGTTTAGAATGTGAAAATGTAAGAAACCAGATGGGTTTTTGTAGATTAGTACGTTACATGTCGTAACACATTTCGCAGTATTGATAGCGAGTGACTACTCATAAATTGTGCAGAACGGAAAACAAGTATTTCCATATGTAGTTTTTTAATTTGCTAAATGGTTCTTTTGTATTTAATGCAGTCGGAGAAAATGAAGCATCTTCTTAGTTCACGGTATCGCAGTGGAACTTCCGATCCTCATGCAGCCCTTGCAAGAGATTTTGCAGTCGTCGGTAGCTGTATCGGAGTGGACGGAAGTCAGGTCGATCAACAGGTCGCGAGTTTGGAAGCGCTTGTCACCCAACAAAGACGCATGCAATGTCGCATGGCTAAAGTTCTCAAGGATGCCGAGGTCAGACATCAAGCGGTATGTTTTCCAGGATCGGTACATTTTTATACCGAATAAAATCACCCAGACGTTTTCAGTAGACTTTTTTTTTTTAAACTCGTGTTGCAAAATAGTTCCTTTTTAATGATAAAAACTCACCTTTGATCGTGTTCAATAAACATTTAATATTTCTTTTACATACTAACTTACGTTTACGGGATATGGACGCAACGTGATCGTCCCCTTTCCATCGCGGTACAGTCAGCTTTTTTGTTTAGGTGATTAAAGAGCTAGAAGAGGAAAAACGAAAGCACGAGCACGACACTGCCCAGGGCGACGACATCACTTATGGTCTGGAAAAAGAGCGGACGCGTCTAAAGAAAGAACTTGAACTTGAAAAGCAAGAAAAGAAACGCTTGGAATTAGAGTTGAAGAAGTCTGCGGAGACCCTGGACGAGATAAAAGGCCGCAAGAAGCAAATTGTCTTGCTTTTATTAGCCGAACGGAAGAAGATCATAATGAAATATATAGAGGAGAGGAAGAGGTCGGAAGATCTGGCACAGATATTGAGCGAGGAGAAGGTTCGAATAGACTCGATGGCGGAAGGCCTCGAGGAGGAGAGCAAGAAGTCACTACAGATGGAAGCCGAACTCGAGAAACAGCTCGCGCAGTTCGACATGGAGAGACAGCAGTATAGGCAGGCTCTGGCGAAAGAGGAGAAGAAGACGAAAGAACTGGAGGCCGAGGTGGAAAAATTGAAATCGGAAATGGAGACCTGGAAAGATACTCAAGCTCGTGGCCCTGTTCGAGGCGTCGGCGTTACCCCACCGCCGCCACCGGCCAAACCTGCTAACTTGACTGCCATGCCAACCTTGAGGCCGGCTAGTGCTCCCCAAACGAGTAAGTCCCGTTCTCATTCACCATAACGTCTGTACGATCAACGCGATCTGCAGGAGCAAATTTGAACAGTTAAAGGCGCGGTGCTGGGCACGGGAACACCCATGGTTAGTAGCAAGGTGGTCCAGCCTACCGCTACGGTGTCCAGCGTGCCTGTCAGTGGTCCGAGTAAGTAGCATACGATTCCTCACACCTTTAGCCCGACCATGTATGCTAACGTTGGATGACATAGTATTCGGGAAATATGTCAATCCTTTAAAACTAGTTCCATAAGGGGATCATTCGGTTTCTTAAAAGTGGGACCCTGGTTCTTCCTCATTTTTGTCACTTAAACGCTTCCCGTCGACTGTACATACCGTTCATTTCTCTGCCGTTAGAAATTCTGTAAATTTACCGAAAGTATAAAGACGACCAATGAATGAGATGCTAATCGTTTTAATTGATTTAGCGACAGGAATCGCTAGATCGGTAACACCCGGACAGGCTCTACGAGGCGTAGCGTACACTGCTACCATGCCCCCGGCAGTCAGTGAATCTACAGCTCCGACAGAGCCACAGGTAACCTATCCACATTTCCCAACCCATTCTACTTTGATTTAACGATCGCGAAAAATGCCTATCATGCGTAAGTTAAATTCGACATGGATCGTGCGAAATTCTCCACGTGACTCTTGCGATTCTCGGGGAGGTCTAACACGTCCGATTATTCGGATCAACGTATAATCACTGTCGGTGCGTACGTCATACGTATGTGATATCGGTCGGGACGATTTAGATTAGTTTGTCACGAATAGTTCGGAGATCTGCATGGTGAAAATTTGATACCACAGCGAATTGGATCGTTGGTACACGGCTAGTACGCGGTAATTATCAATTAACGTACCAGGACCATTTTTTCTATCCACCGTACTTGCATAATCCGTAAGTACTTTATGTGCAATGAAAAGTTGTCTTCCCACGAGGCCACTACTCTGTCAGTGTGGTGTTTTTTTTTTTTTTTAATGAACAATCCTGGGTCGCAGTAGTTGAAAAAAACGATACGACCGTAAAGCCACGTGGCCGTATATAGGGCATTTTTCTTTTAAACGGAGTGCATAATAAAAACACCATTTCTTATAGGAACGATCTTATTTATTTTCCTTATTTAAATAGAGAAGGCACTAACATATATAGATATGTATATATATATTTGTATCAAATTATATATATTGACATCACGCAGCGAGACCGACCGCATTTTATGTTTACGTAATGATGGCATTTCTTTTGAAATGTGAGATTATAAGTTATAAGGTGACTCGGTCGGTCGCAATTATTTCCGTTAGGGTAGTTGAATACGTTTTTTTCTAGTCTCACTCTTTGGTTAAATCTAAGCAGGACAGAGTACAGGTTTTCTTTCGCGTACGCGCGAACAGCAGGGATAGAATTAGTCGTATTTTCTTCCTCCGGGCTTAAAAGGCTTTAGTTATTAATATTTCTTTTTTTTTTTTCTCTCCCGCCTCTTCGAGAAGAGGTAGACCCTTTTTAGAGAAACCTCGGGACACGCGAGAGTAGCGAATGCGGAGCTTGCATTTCGTAAATAATTGTAAGATAGTAGAGGAAGTAGAATATTAATCTTACGACGGAGAGTCAGGTAAAGGTTTAGCGCGATGCCTATTATTTTTGCAATTCTACGAACGCTTCCGATAATCTCGTTCCGTTCTACTTACGTACTTCCCCCCCTTCTCTCTCTCTCCCTCCGAGAAAAACGTTTAGCAATGCATGAGTGGCATCTACTTTTACGGCAAAGTGCATACATACAACTCCATTAATTTAACGACACCCCGCGTCGAGTCGCATGACCGGAGAAACGAGGAGACAAATCGAAAGTAGAGAGTAGAGGATAATAAGGACCAAGCGAATTGTAATCGGTCACCCTTCTACATCTGCCGCCTACACACTTTTCTAAACCTCTACACAGGCACTGTACTTCCTTTATAAGTTAACAGACCATTAATGCTTAGACAACTATTCTTTATTATACGTTTTACTTTGTGTACATAAGATTATTATTTAGTATGTATATCGATTAATTCCTTCATTAAAACAGTTGTATGCAACTCACTTCTGAGCCTTATTTACAAGTTTTCCCTGCTTGTCCTCCTAAACGCACCCTTCTGCTAGCTGGCACTACATTCGCAATATGGTTTGGTTAACGACCTTTCGTTGGAGGAATTCTTAATCTTTACTCCGCCGCGGTTTCCGCTAGGAAAATCCACCCCTTTAGGGGGAGGTCGGGGACGATTCCGAACGGTGCGATCGGCACCGCGAAGACTTCACCTGGAGGAAATTCGCCGAGCCTCGGAATACGAGTCGCTTATTTTCGGGGATGACGCGTGTCTGCGAAATTTAAGCGAATCCGGAGGTCTTGCGCTTATCTTATATCGAGGAGTGGAAATACGATAACTCGGAAGTGGCTTAAATAACAATTCCTCGTTACACCGACTGACACTTTCGGCTGACGTTTTCCTTTCGTTAACTCGCATCTTTGGTTTGGTTTTGAGACGTTCGGTAGATATCTTATCTCGCCGAGTTGCGAGTTCCAGGTCGGGCGGAGTTCTGCGGATCTCGGGTCGCGTTTTGGGAAGTAGTTCGGGGACGACGGAGGTCGTTCAGAGAGCTATAGCAGTCCTGGTGTTGTCTTCCTTCCTCAGGCCGCCGAGAAGAGACCGGTCGCTGCGGCTTCGGCGAACCCTGGGGGCGCGGCGAAGGCTCCGGGGACCCAGCCTCCTGGGAAGATCGGCTTCCACGTGGGGTCCGTTCCCGGGACCCAGAATCCGGGGATCCTGACGGGGAAGAAGCCCCCCGTGTCGCGCGGGGTTCCGCCCCCGGTGCCTCCGAACAAGCCGGTGGTTCCCCCGAAGAAGGAGGCCGCTTTCCTCCGGAGGACCGAGCCTCCTCAGGCTGGCCAGGACCCCCTCAAGTTCAAGCAGCCTCCCACGCATCCTGCCGCTCCCTCGGGAACCCTGCAGACGCAGCAATCCGTTACGGACTCCGCTTACGCTTACGAGGAGGAGGTACGTACTCCATGAGTGCTGCCGACTCCTGGAGAGCCCACGTCCCCGCCGGGATACCGAACGCTTCTCGAAAGTCTACCCGGCAAATGTCGCGAAAAACGTCCCGGAAATTGATTTTGAATGCGGAAATTTCCTGCACGACGGCGTGAAGAAATGCATTCACCGTGAATTACGACGTAGCTCGAGGAATAATTAATTAAACGTAACGCACCGGGCGTCTTTTAGGAAATGTCGGATAGCGCGGATACCGAGACCTTGCGAGTACCTCTATTTTAGCTTGTATCGATCTTTTTGTTCCGCCGATTTGTATACCGCGGATGGCTAAATCCGGCCGCGTCTAAATTCGGTCTCGGTGGGATGTCTCCATGGCGCGGAGATTCTCACCGGTGAGGGGAAGGTGCGTTTCGGAGCGGAGGGTAATCCAGAAATGATTATGTGATTTCAGACGAGGCCACGTTGATGCGAGATCGCCGAGGCAAGAGTTTAGTTAAGAGGACCATCGCGTCAAGGCCCAAGAGGTACCAAAAGACGGGAGTTAAAGGACTGGCCCGGACGGACGTTCCTCCTTCCAAGATGCGGATCGGGCCCCGTTGAGCCGCTCTTATTAGTTCTTTGTGCCGGTCCGTGTATGTCGCTAGGGTTTCTAGCCGATTGAGTCGGGTCACGCCGAAGCCCGGCTCGGTAGAACCTGTACAATTCTAAAAGAGGCGCGAGTCTTAGTTAACGATATACGAGTAGATAGATAGGCCCGGTAGGTTCCTAGTTCCCTGTCTACCGTTGGGCTAGACTGTGTTACACGTGGATTAGTGCCCGTAAAAGTAAATATCATAATCTAGCGGACGATAGGAGTTATTATCTCGGGATCCATTCTGCGCTCCGTGTACGTCATCGTCACTGCCTTTACTCTCAATTGCGTAATGAGTCTTAAACTGGCGACCTGTACCGATCCTCATCGTCGTTTGCCGACTAAGTTTCGTCCGTTGCAGGTGCATCTTATCGTTATCACCTGTCGCACCATATCGACGGATACGCTTTTTTTCTTTTTTTTTTATATCGCGCTTTCGATGTCGCGGCGAATCGTCGTCTATCGGCTATTGCGACTCCCGCGTTGAAATCTCCGCTGGGGCGTATGGAAAATAAACGAAATTATTCATAACTCGGAGAGAATTCCTCGATTTAATTCTTTCGGTTTTGAGTAACTTCGTTTGTTGTCCATTTATACGGGACGGATTTTCAAGGCGAAAATAATGCAAATAGGGCACACGAGTCTACCGAAGCGCCGATTTGCTGTACTTTCGTTTGAGCAGTAGGGATCGTGGGAATTCGTCGGCGTATGTGCCAATTAAAACTTGTGCATAATTCCGGGTCAAGGAATGTACTGTCGTGATTGCGATACTCCGAGTGACGGCAATGAAATAGAGTCCCTTGGGAAGTGCCCAAGAACGTTAAGGGGTCCTATGGAATCCTGCCGTTTCCTTAGATTTAGTTAAGACATTTCTATTCGGCAGTGATGTGCGACATGCCAAGACGCGCATTCGAATAAATGGGAAATTCCCGAACGAGTTTAGGGCTTTATTTCCCAGGAACATAGTCAAGATTCGATTACTGGGAATCTATATATTTCGTTTCTCCCTTAAGACGAACGCGGAAGTGTAAATATATTTTTCTGTACTTTACATGAATTCTTTTGTAATTTATTCTCAAGAAGTACTCTCGATAAGAGCGCTTATCGACATCGCATCGGAAATGGCGCGAGTTATTCGTTTACATTTTTGTAACGTAATCACTTATTCGTTACTCGTGGACCGATCTTTTTGTATACATGTATAGAGGATGCAGAATCCGTGAAATCGCAATCTAACGCCGAATTTTGCTTCGGATTTTACATTGCGCTAGTGTACAATAATTGTTAGCGACTGCGTATCTGTAACGCTAGAAATTAAATCTAGAGAGTACGTGACATGACATACTTTGCATCTACCTTGGACGTGACAATGTCAGCGCGTCTATGTATCGATAAGCATAAGGTGCCGTTAAAAAGTTAACGAGCAGTTTACCGAATGAAATGATTTCTTTTTTTCTCGTGTGAAATTGCGACAGCCAAAATAGTTTTCACGGAAAAATAGATCCAATCGACTTCGATCAAGATGGCGATCACCGCGTAGATTGGACGACCGAAAAGTCGGTGTTTCGGTATCAATTTTGTAAAAAGGCGATTCAAACGATCGATCCCTTTGTCTGGAAATCGACTGGACCGATCTGGATTTTTATACGAAGTTTTCAATGGTGTAAGTTTCTGCCAATTATTCTTGGGATTTCGAGGGCTGATTTATAAACGTCAACAGGATATCTCCATCTTTCCGAGAAATGCAATATTTTGTACTTTTTAAAAGACATATACATATATATATATTCCGTAATTTCCACCCACCGCACTGCTCGATTAATGCTCGCGCGAATTGACCAATACTCTGGAAGAACGCAGCTTCGCCGTCGAGGGCAAGAAAAGGGACTTTTCATGACTATATATGATAACTGTTGTAAGTGCATAATTGCGAGAAGACATGACTGTCGGACTCTAATCATTCATTCCGACTACCGATTGCAAGGTCGTCGAACGCGATGTACTCTGAAGGAAATTGTTAATTTAGATGGTAGTACAGATTGTACAGAGTTACGTTTCGTTTGTGTGACACTTGCGCGAGCGAGCCCGAGTAATATCGATTACCGATACCGCGAATAATTCGCGGATAAGAGTATGTAAACGTGATACTGGTATTACATGTAAACCCGTTGTTGAAGCTCGAAATATCGGGCCCAAGTATCACCGAGTTTGTATATTGTCGCGAGCGAGTATCAATGTACGTTTCTAACTGCAATTATATAGCGTAAGTAAACATCGTGTACATGTATGTATAAATAGCGTTATTGCGGTCGTAAACGAAGACTATGTATAATGTATCCTATTATCGCATGATCTCTGGGTTACGTGTAGTACTCGCGGCATTGTACAGTCTTCCGAAGTAAAATTCTGACGAAAAAGCGGGGTCCGAATTGCTATCTTTTTTTTCTTCGTCAGACCCTCGATCTTCGCTATCAGAGATACGAGAAGGTCTGGAAGAACGAACGCCGGAAATAAATAAATAAATAATTAAGTAAATTAAATAGTGGCTCACAGTCGTCGGAGGTGCTCGAGTAAAAAAGTATGTATGGACTGCACGCGTACACGGAGTAGGGCAGTAATTACTTTTACGTGAAATGTCTTCATCGATAAATGTTAATGCCACTTTGGTTTCTTTTTTTCTTTTCTTTTTAATGAACTGGACTTTTCATGCCCGTAAAAAATTTTGTGTGCGCATCGATAGGTACAAAGTACGTGACATATGTCGCATGCTAATCATATTTAATCCACACATCAGTTTTTTACTCGAGTAATTATCTCCGAGGTGAGTGAGCTTTGTAACGCGAAATGACTTACGATAGACAACAGAATGTTACTATCCAGTATACAAGTAAGATTAAGGATACTTTGATATGCGCATACCGCTAGTCTATTTTCCTTTGTCGTCGATTTCCCAAAGTTGCGAAGGATTTATTGTATATCGGATGACATCTTCTCGAAGCAAGTGATAAGTGTGACCGCCTGATTTTCGTACAAGTGCGTGTATGAAGTACTTTGCAATTGCAACGCGCACCGTGTTGGAGTAATGCGCCTCCTCGATGGAATTAATTCACTTTAGTAAACGCATAATACATTGATTTCTAGTTGACATTAGATTCTAGTTTCCCAAGGTACCGTCATTGCGATTGCAAAGAGACTCGAGAAAAACCAGTTACTACTCTTTGGATACGAAATAAGATTAAGCAGACTTTGTTACCGTGCATAATACTGGCTTCGATTTAGTTTCTAATCGAAGTCCAAAATTATGGAAGAGATTCCTTTTCTCGGACCGATTAGTAGATGTAATCTCACGATTTTCTTAATTGACTTCATTCATTGACACCGTGATGCATTCCAACGTGGTCATTAGATTTTCCTGTGTTCTCTGAGTATGATTTAAATTGATGACGAGTGTTCCGTGCAATTTTTAGTACAATGATCCCACGTGCGAATGCACTGTGACTTTCGATACAAAACGGTTACTTCCCTTTACATGCGAAAGTGTTAGTAGATTTTATTGAATTAAGCACAGTTTGATATGCGAATAAAGCTCGCCGCTGTTTCTCCGAAAATACAAAGGATGCTGTGCCTTCTCGATGCAAGGCATGACTAACCCTCTAAAGCTCCTATAGAAGTCTCCATAAGGTGTCAAATAATGTACTTTGTACATTTTATACAGTAAAAGGCAATACAAAACCAAATTTTTACTCATCTTTAATGTGAGAGATATGGGCGAACCGCATCTTCGCAAGCGCTTGCGGCTAATTTTCATTTTCATGGACGTTCAATGCTATATTTAAGTCTGCATTTTTTTCAATGTGAACGACGATGCAGAAATTCATGTACTTTCCATGCGAGATGTAATGAGAAAGAACGCACCTATGATCTGCGGTTAAACACGATATCTGATACCAGCAGCTTAGCATTAATTTCCTGATCCCGAAAAATGTGAACGATAGAAATCGCATTGAGCAATTAAATGGTTTTCTTTGAATCTTTTAAAACATTTACATACAATAAAAGAATGTCTATTTTTTTTTTTTATTTAAAAACCGAAGCACATGTCTATGAAGGGTATATCCAGCTCTACGATGTAGGTATGCCGATATGTAAGTACGATTGATCGATTGGTAGCTTAGACGTGTGTATTCATTAAAAATAAATGAAAAATGTTGTACTCCGATAAGGAACGTGGGATAAAAATGATAACAGAATTAATGAATGAAGATCAATGCGATTTTTATACATTAAAGTATGAAAGTTGTCTAGCATGTGTAGTATCCTATTGATATAGAAATAATTGGAGTTAAAAGTACTCCACTGCAATAGACGAGGTGGAAAGTTTAATCATTAAAGAATAGAGTGACTAATGTTGTATAGGTGCGACGAAGCCACTCTTCCAAGCAATAGAGAAACATTTACATATATATGATAGGACAGTTCTTGTTACCTATTATTTCTATAAAAACGAATCAATGAATGCTTCTCTGAATCAATGATGGATTATTATATGGCAACAACAGTTTTCTACTTTATCAATGACGTTATTTAACTCTTCGCTAGCGACTTTAGCACCGAAGGTTCATAGCCTCGAGGTAGTATTTAATTGTTGATTTTTTTTTTTTAACTGAAAATGTGCATTCACTTGTATAAACCGTAACTACTCATTGATTCAGTTTTCAAGACTGCGTACTTGACTTTGGAATAGGGTCATTAATTATTGAACAGGACGTGGTTAATGACTGCAACATAGCTAATATATAAAATGGCTATTTTATATATGCTACATTGTTAAGAAATTTTAGGAAGTACGGAAACTTCCGTACAGGCGACCCGATGGAAGACGTAGGACCAATAATAGATCTTCAAAGAATTTACATCACCCTTAAGGTCTTCATAAAGCGTATATATGGTTGTTGCTATTAACTGACCGCTTACGGGAATCTCTCAATTGTTTGTCTAATTTATATATCGTGTTAAAGGACCGTATTAAAAACGACGTCGTCTAATTTAAAAATCCTGTGTATAAATTGTTGTTTTCGTAGTCATGATGTAAATATACGAACGAGAGTTCAACGACGAAGGCCGCTTTCATTTAATGGGATCCAGAAAGAGAAATTTCAATTATCCTGTATTTTGTTAATTCCTATAATTTTCTTAAAATCAGGTCAGGTGAATCTGTAAAATTATAAATTGCGATTACAGTTATTTCGTACCTTTCCTTAGGGAAATCTTTTTTATTACGAATTTATTGATTGCGAGTAGCGTCGCACGTCTTGGAGTGGAATCCAATGGCTGCTCTTTTTCTCCCTAGCGAGTTTTCCCCTAGTGACCTCTCTCGAACCTTATCGAAAGCCTGAAGCAAAGTGAATTTAGCTTTAATTCGTCGGTACCGCATGTACACACGTATGACCAAAAACTCATCATACCACTAGGAGAGCTATCGCCTTAAGATGAATAAATTATCACTATATCAAAATAAAATCAATCAAGATACTTGTATAATAATTTGTTTCTAATAAAACAGAGAGCCCGTCGATGACCACTAACCTTTGTTCTTTGCTAGTACTGGTTAAAAATAATGTGCCGTTTTTATTCGGGGGGCCGGGGGGGTTAACAAAGGCCTTTTTATGTTTATATATAGTTCCGATAACCTTTACGATTTACTGCCACCGTGTCCAGATCGCAACACTTCACAGGTACTGAAGGTCGATAAACGCATGCCAGAAATTGCGGTCGACTACTTGCTATCTAATTAGCTGAAACGATGTCTCGGAATGTGGAACTAGAAAATCGAAAGACGTATCCTTCGTTGGTTCCAGCGATTATCATTTGACCTACTGCAATAACGCGTTTACCTTCCCACTGGAAGTCGTTCGACTCATTCGCAACGACACGTTGACAGGACAAATATAACGACATTTGCAAAAGATTTCCCCCAAGATTTGTCCACTCGTTTCGATTGCTCTCGCGTTTCCACGAGCGCTAAATTTAAATATGGCGCCGGCTCGGCCGAAGGAGATGCGCGGGGAAGTTGCGCGGTAAATTCTCGAAATGGGATTGCACGGTGGTGACACAGGACGGCGACGGAATATTCGAAGAGAATCGGGTCCTGGTAGATCTGGCAACCATGGTCCGAGCCTACGACTTCTAACGAATTTCGCCGCTTTTCTTCCGAACGGTACTTTGCCGTCGTCGGTACCATTAATGCGTTGAGAATTCGAAAATGCCAACACCTAGGGAAATGTAGACGCGCGATACGTAGGAAACTACAACAATCCCAAAGACTCGGGAATCCCAGGTACGTTCTCTTCTCTAACCAGAAGGGATAGCGATATTCCTGGTAAATCCTAATTTCCTGTGACTCCCAATTCCTAGTGGGACCTCTCGGTCGTTGAATTCAAATCTCGCGGCGCGGCGCCGAGTTGCGCGGTGGGGCTGCGCAGCGGGCGTGCGCAGAGGGGCGGGCCTCGCGGAGGAGGGAACATGGAGGGAAGCAGGTTCCAGCGTAAACTTGGCAACCGCGGTCCGCGCAGAGCGTACAGGACCGGTCGACAGAGAGCTTCGCGTTCCGCTCGGTGATGTATCGCCGCTTTTTAGGCTTACGCCGAGTAGCACCTCCGAGACACCGCTCGCGATTAGCGCGCTCTAGGCCGCGGCGGATAGGGAATTAATTCCAACGGACAGTGTGTGGTGCTGTGGGGGAAGGGATGAGGGCCGGGTGGATAATTCGGGTGGCGATCTGAGGGCCGAAATGCTCAAGTTCGGCAGCAAGAGCGACGTTACGGTGGTGCATCGCGCCACTATTCGACTTCTCGACGACGCCGAAATTATCCACTGCGACTTTCAGGTGAGTCTTCGCGCCGTACCTCGACCGGGTTTATCCACTTCCCTCTACGCGACGGGAGATTTCATTCATTACCCTGGCCGAAAAGCCCGACCCCCGTGGTTGACCCTGCGAGGGACGAGCGTGGGGCTTTTTTCCGCCCCCTGGGAGCGTCTTCACACTTTTTAACCTCGGGTTGATATCCTACCTGGACGCGGAGGACTCTCACGGACCGCCGTCTCGAACGCCTCTCGACATCGGACGGAAGAAGGTCAAAGTCCTCCGTCAAAGAAGACGTCGTGATTATGTGTACACCCTGCACACGCGCACCCTAATGATCTATGCGATACAACGTCCGAACGCGCATGTCGCCGCGGGGTGAGTGCCCCTTTTTTTTTCCCCCAATTCTCCGTCGACTCTTTCCGCAGGTTCCTAATTGCCGATTGGCCAGGTACTCGTTTCCCGTTTTGCGATTTACCCCGGGAGAATCCAGGGTGCAGAGGATCCCAGTTTTGTCGTGATTTATTCCTACGCTCGCTGCGTAGGAATTGGAAAGGTCAGGGCCTGGACAGGTAGATAAACCTTGTTATGGATGAGTATGATAAAAAATGACGAAAGCGATGTCGCGTTTTAGTCGACCGAACATCTACTTTTAACGTAAATCACGAGGGCGACGATTTAAAGATAATACGAACGATTCCGATATTGGCTTCAAAATGGGAAATTTTATGGAAAGGACGAGGAACGGATCTCGCTTTACCGTTTATCCCGTACGTATTAGTGGGAACGACGGAAAAGGCTTTCCGTGATATTTTTCCGTATAACCGTCCGTCTCTGATTTTTTAACCGATTTTAGGTCGATTGAAATGTTTGAAGTGCAAGATCCCCTTGTACGCGAAAGCGAGCGTAGAATCGCAGCCTCTTCTGTGAGTCGAATCGGAGTTGGCTGGATCCTTGACGTCGATTATGAAATCGCGTCGCACGGATGAAGAAACTTTTAAGAAGTAAACTTTCGGCTGGACGACTTCCGGCAGGTTTGAGCACGCCGGGCGGCATTAAAAACGGCCGGCTGGAGCGCTAATGCAATTATCTTATTGTTAGTGAAATTTTCCATATTCAGGGCGATCCTCGAATGAAGGGGCTTGTCTATCTTCATTTGGGTCCATTTAAAAATTCGGAGACTCGGATAGAGAGGTATTTATGTTCGGGGTGAGTCCGAAAATCCATCACTGGAGGTGGGAAAATCATTTCCAATGACTCCGCACATCGTCCTCAAGAATTTCTACGGGTACTCGAAGGCTACCTCGGACAAGGAAATATAAACCTTGACGAAGCGGAGGTTTTCGTTTGGCCAATTTCTCGTGATCTCGGCCGCGAAGCACGGAAATGCTACGTTGGCACGTACTCGAAGACAACGCGACACCGTGGATCGAGATGGCAGAAGGAAAAGGAAAAAATACGCGCACGAAACGGTATTACCACCTCTAGAGACATCACGATCCGGTACGTGTCTAGAGGTGGAAAGCGAACGAATGCCTAAAGTGCCTAAAAGCTCCGCCGCGGGCTGCCCTGTGATTTTCCGCAGTCGGAAACGCTTCGATCTCGTTTCGGTCGCATTAAAGCCGCGTCTATGCACTGCCGCAACAAAGGCACGAGTACACCCCTAAACGCTTCGAAACTCACCCTACGTCTCTAATTGTCGCGTCGACATTAACGCGGATTCGTCTGCCCTTCGTTAAAGCCTTATCGGCCTCGAATGAAATCATCGAGCTTGCGACTTTAAGCGAAAAACAGAGCCGAAGAATTAATTGAATTTCATCTAGTAATTTGAAGTGTAAAATTTGCATATCGTTTGTACAATTAGGCGCCGCCATCGGCGTACTAATTAAACGACCGTACCCTGTCCCGATAACGTAATCACGACTTGAAGACGCAGGGATAACGTCTACGTCGCCGATTAAAAATCTCGCCTCACTGTCGAAATTTACGAGCGAGAGGTTAATGAAGCTCGAGATAATGGCTTTTAATAAGGAAAGATATCGTAACGGTTTACGTCCGATTATTCCCCGGGAATTGAGGCTTAGGTCCGATTCGACTTAGAAAAACTTGAAAGAAAAAAGGGTTTCCTTACTTCTGGGACGAGGGTGAGATTTTCGTCGTTGGTAATTGAGCCTTGTAACGCGATTGCGAGAGCGTCAATCGGTAACCGAGAAAACAGGGGTAAGTTTGGCGCGTTTCAATAATTCGTCACGGCGAGACGATTGGCCTACTGCCAGTGAAAATGGCCTTCGTAGTCGGACGCGCCTCCCTGTTCGACGACGCGACGCTCTTCCCTGGGACTGCTAGGTGAAATTCTCGAGAATTCCTGGGAATTCCTGGAAATTCCTGGAAATTCCTGGAAATTCCTGGAAATTCCTGGAAATTCCTGGAAATTCCTGGAAATTCCTGGAAATTCCTAGAAATTGCTCCGAGTATCTCGGAATTGCTGCTCATACTTGGAGACAAGTCGCGTTCCGGCCGACGCTCGTTTTCACGGTTGGTCGAAACTCCAGGGCGAATTTCGCCCAAAACTGGCCCTCGCTCCTCCCACAGAGGAGTCCGTCGAGATAAATAATGCATGGCGATTGGGTTTATAACTCGCGGGTTTAATGCCTGCGTCGACGTCCCGAATAAATCGAGCATCCGAGCATGGCCGGACGCCGTTCTTGCCGCGATGCCCGTAATTAATGTCGGAGGCGCGCGTCCCGATGCTCCGACCAACCCTCGGGAAACGTTCGACCAATGGCCAATCAATCCGGACTCCGTTCGACCTGCGACGAGAGTTCGGACTCTTGCCCAGGGCATCGACGTTCGGATTAAAATCACTTAACGCGGGATTAGAGTTAATCGCCCTCGATCTTCGTCCTCGGTTGGTCCGATTTCTCTCGAATTTTGCAGCAAGCCCCAAAAGAAATTCTTTCTCCTCCGATCGCGGGCGGAGCAATCGGGTTGTAATATCGTTCCCGGGGAATCCATCGCGAGCCGAAGGCAACGCGGGTGCTCGTCAAACTTTTCAACTCCGGATTACTCGGGCGATTCGCCGAGCCGGCGCAAGTTTGGACGGCTCGTTTAGTCCAAGTTCCCGGGACCACGAAGTCCCGGGTTGGCGGGTCTAATTTTTCAAGAAGGGAACGACCAAATTAAGCTATTTCAGAGGTCTCGAAATCTTCGGAAAGGGTCGTCCATAAGGGATAGTTTGTACTTACGGATAGAAATGTCTAACCGAAATCACTGACCGGTGGATTATATTTCGATGCGAGTCGACTGGACTCGACTTAAGAAGCGCTCCGCGGAGGAAACTAATACTAATAAAAGAGAGAATTGAAAATCTTCGGAAAGGGTCCTCGATAAGGGATAGTTTGTACTTACGGATAGAAATGTCTAACCGAAATCACTGACCGGTGGATGATATTTCGATGCGAGTCGACTGGACTCGACTTAAGAAGCGCACCCTGGAGGAAACTAATACCGAAGAGAGAATTGAAAAGGCCGGCCCGTAATCCGCGCCTTTAACCCCCGTCTCTACTCGCTCAAGGAAGAAAGAGCCTAATCGCGACGTGACAACCGGAGAGGGTGGCGGCTTCGACGAGGCCCATCCAAAAGAGATCCTTCTGCACGGCGACTAACCTAAAGAGCATTATATTTACAGGGTCGCTTCCGGCGGCCCTTCCGGACGCGTTCCGCCTTTGAACGAGCCTCCTTAATCTCGTTCGAGTTACGAGGCTGCACATTTTTTCTTTCATCGCCCGGAAGGCATACGCGTAGCCTCTTGACTCGACCCTGCCGGTCGTTAGCGGAACGATCGTAACGATCGTAACGATCGTTACGATCCTTACGATCCTAACGGAGGCCGGCGTTACCGCGTTTACGGCGACGCTCCGAATCGGCCGCACTAAATCCTCGCGGTCGGCAGAGCAAAGCGTCCTGGCGGCCATTAACGCCCGTTTAAGCGGCCGCTAATAAACCCGAGTGCGACTCCAGGTCTCGGGATCGAATTCTTATTTATTCCGTGTTTGCGCGAGCGGTGCCTTTACGGCCTGGAGCTCGTAACTCGTAACCGATTCGGTAATGGTTTCGGCAGACCGGAAGAGAACTCGAGTTCCGACCGTGAAGTAGCGTAAGGACGCCAATGTTAGATCGGTGAAATTCGGTCCCACGGAAGGTAACCCCATGATCGGGACCCTGGATCTCAGATTTCCGCCGATCGAAAGAGCCCTCTGTGACTTGGGATTGCGCAAATGCGCGCTTGGCTCGGTGACGCAAGTTTTCTCCGATTCTCGACTTTCCCAGCCGGTGGGCTCGCTTCGATCGGCCTCTCGTGGTCTTCCGATCGGATTTCAAGGCTGCCCCGAAAGGGTCATGATTATTTCTGGATCGCTTACGCCGTAGCGAACGAAGTCCCGGGATTTCTTTCCGACCTCGGCGACGATCGGATAAGAGTCCATCGGGTTTCCATGGCCTGCCATTTCTCGGGTGCACCCACTTGGAGATACACGAATTCCAGGAGGGTGAGACCACGGAAAGGTGCGATCTCCACTTTTGAAAGGTCAGCGGAAATTACGCGGACAGTCGAGAAGGATAAGGATCAGGATAGGTTAAGGTGCACTTTGGTGCACGCACCGAGAGCTGATAGGTGAGAATTCCCATTGATTGGGTCGAATCGTTGGAAAAAAAAAAAAAATGCGCTCAGCTTCCATGGTGGAAACTGCGCGACGGAGATCATATCCTCTCTCGGCTCGAAATGGAACAATGGTCGCGCTTTTTCTTTAGGCCTTGTCCAGTCTGGTCTGGCATCGCGTGAAAGTTCTCCTTCAGCGATCGGATCGCTCGGCTGGGATATTCGATCTTGCTCCGTAAACGGGAAAACTATCCGGGCCCCTTTTCCCGGTGAAAATGACTCCGAGGGGGAAACAGAGCGCGTCAGCTCGCAGGGAACAAAGTGGACTCCACGGTAAATGACTTCGCCTCGGAGGAAGGTACCCACCGAGAAATCAGAAGACGGAGTGGGAAATTTCCCCGGGGCGGGAATTACCTTCTGGACGGAAGAAACGACGCGTTACCGGATATTTACCCCAGACGAAATCCCATGGAGGGAACGACTCCTTCCTGGCTGACCCATATACCCTATTCGCGCATCAAGAGCTTTCGGAAAAAATTCCCCCGACATCCGGAGACCGTTCTTCCGGGACTAACTGGAGCAAGGACACCTTTTCGGTCGACGCTGCAGGGTGCAAGCTGCAATGCCACGAATATATCCGCCACTTCACTGGATTCTCTAGGCTTGGAAGAGAGGGACAGCGAATCATCGCGACCTCTCTCCGAGGCGAGTCGTGGAATTCCTCGCAAACCTCTCTCAAGGAACCTTCCGAAGGCATCGGGTTTATTAACGTAGAAAAAAAAATATTGCCACGTCGTAGATGCGCACCAGGAGCTGTCTATCGCAGTCGAGGCGTAAAATTTATTATCAGCTTACTAATTTTCGGCCTTGGCGTTAATGTCAACTTTGCGGCTTTTGAGTACTTCTCCGCACTCAAACGGGTATATGAGGACAATGTACGTTAAATGTAGTTTCGACAAATCGGCGAGGCTCTTTCTCGCGGAAGAGAAACATCGAGTTATTCCGTTTCTCGAGACTCTCCGTCGGCGGTTTGCGGCAAAAAAGCTGGTCGCCTGTTTACCTCTTTTTGGGGGGTCGGGTTTGAAAATGTCTCTCGAGTCCCGAATCTGTTATCGGTCGTGCCTCGTTTCCTCGGGTTTCGATTACCTACGACGACGACGCTTCCACGACGGGAACATAGATCCCGGGGAGAGCTCCCGATATTTCACTTGGCCGCGGTTCGTAAATCCACGTTTCTTCGGTCTCACGACACAGGGAGGACTGGCATCTCTTCCTTGGTCGAGTCACGAGGAATAAAGTGTTACGTCGAGCACGCCGCGCGGTTCTATCGCAAGAAGGCCGTCACCGTTAAAAACGTCCGACAAAATGCATCCGGAGGCGATAAGGGGCAGATATTCACCGGTTTGACGCCGTCGAGTCGTGTCACGTGCCAAACGGAACGACCGATCTCGAGGGCACCTGGTACATGAGAATTATTACTACCGGCACGAGCACGGCCATTCCACTTTATGGATTCATTAATTTTGCGAACTCGGGTCATCCCCCAAGCAAGGCGCCGTTCCCGAGAAATTCCAACCTGGGCTCCTATCCTCGAGTTCGTATGAATTTTTGTTTTGCCTTTTTTCCTCGCATTCGAATTCCATTGTCACGAAGTCGCGTCTTCGGTCCAACATGGCAAAAAACGTCGATTTTAATTCGATGTTAAGAACGACGTTAAGATTTAATTCCTTGTGATAAGAACGGAGCCGCTAATGGAAACGCAATTGCCAGGATCGCGGAGTTTATTGTCGATACTCTTGAACGGTTTCCTCCGCGGGTCGCATTAATCGATTCCCGATGCACCTAGGCAATTGATTGGCGTCGATATCGGCTCGTTCGGCCAATTTCCGATTTCGTCGACCCCCCCAGGTGGCACGGCGGCGTCGCGACGTCGCGGGGTCCTCGACTTTGGGAAAATCCTCCTCGCAATTAAGCGAATCTCGTCGAAGTTCGTCCTCGTTCCCTCGACGAGCTCGATTCCAGATATTCCCTGGTCGTTCCCGAAGTGGAGCACGCCCTGCATCTTGGCTCGGCTTCAAGGGTGGCCATCTTTTTATCGCACGCACTCGATCGGCGACAGCTCGGGGTCTTGAAGTTCGGAATTGCCGGTTTTTACTTACGACTTTTATCGATATTATCATGTGGATATCTGGGTTACACGTCCCATGGGGTACGAGGTCCTTCCGGCCGTGTCGTTGCAGGGTCGGTGAAACGATTAGGGACACGCGTGAGTCGCCATTGTTTTTTTTTTTTGACGATTCGGAAATAGGGTACACTCTTTCATCTTGGCTGGATTTCAAGGGTGAGCCATCTTAGGGATTTTACGACCCCTCTTTTTCATCCCCGTCGATGGGTCGAGGTCACGAGGTCGGGATCGCCGCCTTTGGCGCGATCTTCTCTGATCCGACGACCCGCTGAGATTTCTTCCCATCGGTCCAGACTTGGCCTTGGACAAGGAAATCCACCCAATTCGGGCTCGCCTGGATCTTAATCCTACTTTATGTGTATCTAGGTTATGCGTGCAGGACGCGCGGGGGGTAAAGGGTCAGTAGGACAACCGGGGCACGCGTGCTTTGCCACTTTCTGGACGCCTCCTTCGGGGACTAGTCATCGAGGAACTATAAGTCTCTTCTTTCCTCGTTAATATTCAGGGTGGAGGACTTGTACTCGCTGTGCCGGCTTGGGGCGTTTAGGTGTATGCAGATTAGTTGTTGCCTATACCCAGGGCCCGCTCGATGCGGATGACGTTCGAGTTACTCCGGCCATAACCGCGCGGATTTTCTGGACAAGGGGCTTCGGATTTACCGGAGCTCCGAGTACTCCGATAAACGGGAGTTTAAGAAAGAAAAAGAGTATTCGGGTCAATTTTTCTATCTGGAGAAAATGGAGCGAAGTTTGGCAGGGGGGGGGGGCGGGAATTTCCAGAGGTCTGGCGGGTGGAGGGAGCTTATATACTTTTATCGGTAACGAGGGAAACCTTAAAAATATTGAGTCGAGGAAATTGTCAAGGGTATGCCGCAAGTCGAAGGTCCTATTTCGAGGTTGCTCGCCGAATTAATTTAACGCGCTTGTCGTTAAATTTCATTCTATTCGCAATTAATATCTCCAAGGCGAGTCGCACGGGAAAGGGAAGGTCGTAATTTTTGAACGGCATTTGTTAAGCGAAGAACGGCCGAATAAGGCCTTCTGAATTATCATATTTCTGCAATATTACATTTATTTCAGGTTTTCCTTCGCGTCAAATAAAATCCCGCAAAATGGTGTCGGGGATTTTCCGTGGATTCAGCACCCCGGACGGATTCGCTCGTTAACGTCGGGACGCCTGCGAGGTCGCGTAATCGTGGTTGATATTAACGCCGGATAATTCGTCGTGAAAAAAAGCCGGGGATTTGCATTTGCAACAAATTCGAGGTACTCGACCGGGTGATGCGCGACGCGTTCAATGCAGTGAATTTTCACCGGGTGGCACACACGAGGTGGTCTCGATAATTAAACCAGACTCTGTACCATTAGACATTCGAGCTCCTAGGGTTCTTTTATTTTTTTCTTTTTTTTTTCCCTTTTATGACTCAAGTCGCGAAATCGCGGAAGTTCATTCGCGTGGAGTTCCTGCAGAAGGTCGGAGACCCTGGAGCGCTCCGTTGAAAGAAGTCGAGAGGGAGACGAGTCTCTGGAGGATGCAGAAGAGGGAACTCCTGAACAGGTTGGGAAAGAAAAGCCGAAAAAGTGGGCACTTTCCAGGCTTCATCGATCATAGAGATAGCCGATATTTTCATCACTTTTCTCGGGGGGGTCTTAATTCGAGGCGATGATGAACATCGCCTTGCAGGTGCGGCACTCTTCGGTGCCTGACGAGCGCAAACAGTAATTTAGCGAATTATCGAGCTGGACCGATGGGGATCGACGAGGAATTATCGAGGAGTAATTCCCGTTGCGAGGGATCCGATTAAACGATCGATGCCAATTCCATTGCCTTGGAGGAATTCATTCCGTCGACGGGAAGGAAGGGAAACAATGATTTGACGAATCGCGAAGCGGGACTCGTCGAGATCGAGCTTCCAGCCCATTTCTCGACACCGTGCTATTACGGACCCCTGGTTTTGACCGCAATTACGGCTCGCAATTAGCGTAATTTTATTCCTCTGGCGTAACGCCATAATGGATGGGACGGTCAAGGTTCCGGCCGTGATGTAAGCTCGCCGATGGCTGTAATTGGACGTGGTCCCCGGAGAAAGACAGACTATTATACGTAGTCGGGATAATTGAGGGAATTTACCCTTTCGATTTTTCCAGGTACCACGATGAAAAAAAAAAATACATATAAAGGCAAGAGCGAATTAACACAGAAATTGCCGGAAAAGTGTGGATAGTCCGGTGAGACTTAACTTCATAGTCGATGGATTCTTTCAGCGGTCCATATTCCGCATGTCCGCATTCGCTCCACCGTTTGACCTGGCCTCGATCCAACTTTCAAGGGGCGGACTTTTCTTTAAAATACTAAGCTGTAAACGGCGTAATTGTACTCGATGTTTCATCGCGATGTGCTCGGTGCCGCTCTCGGTCGAAGCCCGAATACAAGTTGGCCGTTTAAATTCGCCGAGCTGGCGGCGCCGTGGCGACGAATTGGCGGAGTTTGGATAGTTAAAGGAATCCCAGGGGCTCGAGTCCTCCTGAGAAAGAATCCCGTAAAAGGATACGCCACCGAGTCCTGCCTGATTTATAGCCTTATCCCGATTGGGATCACCGAAAACCCGCTTCGGAAATGCAGCCGGCTGTGCAAGCCCTGAAAGAATACGGCCTTCCTGCGGTTTTCGGATATATCCCCGGATCCGTATTTCACTTTCGAGGGCCTCGTAAATTCGGCTCTTCACTCGAGGCGAAACATTTTTCTTTTAATTACTCGGATTAATTCGTAAAAGGCGTTCTAATTAATACCTGGACGATTCGCGTACTCGAAGATACCCTCTAGCCGTTTTTTTTTTTTTTCAAATCGAAGTTTATGATCCTCGGCAGTCAATAGATGCCTGGCAGATTTACAAGTAATAACGGTGGTTATAACTGGAGGGCCCACTTACCCCACATTTCCACTTACTCCGATGTGCCTTGTACGGTGCAAAGAGTGTAAAGCTCGTAATCGGGCGAGGACGTTACCTCGCGTCACGTAACGAGAGGTGTCGTTAAACGGATTCGTCTCTTTCTTGTTTCAGCCTCAGCACAAAGGACGATACATACTCGAATATGTATGTAAGCAACTCAACATTTTGGAAACTGACTATTTCGGACTTCGCTACGTGGACCATTGTAGACAGAGGGTAAGCGTTACGTATATTTTTATCCGCAAATAAAGTACCTAGGTGATTACCGATTTCTTTCTTTTTTTTTTACTACAAGTCGACTTCAATTTTACCTCCCTTTGATTTAATTCCCTCGTCCCGATGGAGATGCGTTTCGATCCGGAAAGCTGCATCCTTCCGGCCAATTTCGCTTGTCCGGTCGAACGCGTGCATAAATTTTGGCAACAAACGCCGTTTAGTCATTTGGTCCAGATGGCGAGCTCGATTATTCTAGTTTTCGGCTTGACTTACTGAGCTATCGACCGATTTCCAATGCACACGCCTGCCGTGGTATATAGGTTTTTTTATCGGTATCCATCCTAAGGGATCCACTGTGCGACCGATAATTTTTTATTATGCATTTTTGTTGTTGATATGAAATTCAAAAAACACTCTCTGGGAATGGAATCGTCTTTTTATATGTCGTTCCGAGAGAGCGACTCCTTTAATATCGTATCAATAAAATAGTATCAATTTTAAGGGATCCACTGTGCGACCGATAATTTTTTATTATGGATTTCTGTTTTCGATAAGAAATTCAAAAAACACTCCTGTGGAAATGGAATTGTCTTTTTATATGTCGTTTCGAGAGAGCGTCTCCTTTAATATCGTATCAATAAAATAGTATCAATTTTAAGGGATCCACTGTGCGACCGATAATTTTTTATTATGGATTTCTGTTTTCGATAAGAAATTCAAAAAACACTCCTGTGGAAATGGAATCGTCTTTTTATATGTCGTTCCGAGAGAGCGACTCCTTTAACCGGGGAACCACTTGCACGAGTTGAAAAGTTGAAGAGCACTTAAACCGAAGGTTACGCGTCCACTATCACGAGTTGGTCGTAATCTCGTTTGGGCTTTGCGGTCGGCCTTGCCCTGTTCTCGCATCGAATCTCGGACATTTCTCTGGGTTCTGTCTCCTTAAACAGTGTACTTTCGTGGCTGAAAACTCTCCGCTTTACTTTAGCCTCCCCGCGAAACCCGCTTTGCTCGGTTTAAACATATATGCCACGTACATGTATGTATTGTGCACCGCGTAAGGTACTTTTGTCTCGGTTCTCACGGTATACCCAGAGTGGAGGGCCTCTATGTACAATTTATACACGAGCCAAGAGCCACCCAACATTTGTCCTGGGAACGTCGTCCAAATTGTCAATGACTTCCCAGCCCTCTAAATTTATCCAGCGCGACTCTTGGAATTATTTTAATATATTTTAATATATTTCAACCGAGGAGAAGGGTGGCACTCTTCGAGGCGAAAGTGCAAGACTTCGATCCTTCGAGTCGACCCGGACTCGGTACGACGTTCGAGAGGTCGAAACGCGAACCTAGGATCATCGTGATCGCTGGCGGCATCGAATTCATCGTGGCTAGGATTCGTATATTTTTTTTTTATCGTTTCGAGGGGGCAAAGAAACGAAGGAACCTCCATTGTATTCCGGGGTCGAGTCCTATGGAATAGTCGGGCGAAAGTTACGATTTTATCGGCTCGTCGTAGGCCGGAGTAGCGCAAGTAACGGAGATAGGAGGGATAGGACGATATGTAAACGGAGATGAAAGATCCGGGGGCATTAGTCATAAACCTTGATCGTTCGAGATCGCATTTTACAGTCGCCGGGATGTCGTGGATCTGGAGCGGGAACGTATGCATATGATATAATTGCAACATTTCCTCTTGGCATAGAGCGTCACGTCGTTCGGGGATATCGGTACCTTCGACATTGTACGCGTTCGTTAGCTTCGGAAAATGGAATTTGCAGGGAATTATCGCAAGCACGAACGATTCTCCTTTCGATCGCTCCCCATTGTGCGGCTGCGATGGGAGGAAAATCCACGGATCGAGATATCATCGAGGCTGGCACAATGAAATCATTAACCCAGATGTCGGGGGGAAACGGAAGTCGGCGCAAAACACTCCGCGATACGTGTACCGAGTATATAAAAAATCCGTAAGTACAGGCCGGACGAAATTACAAGGGAGGGAAAACGAAGGGATATCTCTTAAAGAATCTCCCGAAGGGGTCTTTGCGGAAGTGTACACCTTAAAGGTGGGAAACGAGAGGGCGAATGGCCGAGCCGAGAGGGCGAGAACGAAGAGGAAGCTGGAGAATTTATAAAGGCGCATCCGGCCTTCCGAGCGCGTACAGAGCCGAGCGTTTTATTACCCGGTCTCATTTTCTCCGGTCGTACTTTTGCACCGGCGTCCGCGACACCTGAAATCCTGGGAAATTTCTTACAAAAAGTGGATCCTTTTCCCCTACCGAGTCACGACTCGAGAAGCTCAAACCGAAGGCGAGAAGATGTCGCGAGTCGAAGCTTTCCCTTGGCTCGCGAAATTTCAAATTTTCTTCGGGATCCATCTTTGGAAACTTCGTATTCGAGGAACTCCAATTTCGAGATTTCTGAACGGGGCAATTAGTTGAGCGATTCACTTCGGTGGACTTTCTTCCCGATAGAAGGACCTCCAGGCTCCAGGCAGTTAGAATCTCCGGGAAGGAAGCGCCTCTAGGCAAAGTTACTTAACGAGGTAATGGAATCCCCTGGTCGTGTTCCAGTTATGATATCTCGTTTTGTCCGTAATTCTCGGTATAGCCTACTCCGTGTCTTATTAATTTATCGACGTTTGCAGCATGGCTGGTCTTGCCGTGGCCAGAGACACGAGGTAGCTACCCTGTACCTCGTAAAATCGTTACATCCCTGTAATTCATTGCTTCATGACCACGTATTTCGGGTGGGAATATCGTTACAAGAAATCCCCATTGATGTGGAATCGTTTAGGCAGCTGATAAAAATTAGGGGTTTATATCTGAAAGTGACGTTTACCCGAGTAATCGACATTCATGAGTTACGAAAGTCGCTTCGAACCTCTCTCTAAAAAAAAAAATAAGATAGGACTTTCCCACGCTGGATGAGGTGTCGGATGTGCTCTGGGATTTTTCCTATCTTAGGGAGGCGAAGAAAATAATATACAAAAAATGGGATGAACCTTCACTGTCAAGAGAGATGATAATCGATCAGGGTGCAAGTACGGTAAGGAAGATGCATCGCCCTTCAAATCTGTTTTATAAATCGCACCAAGCGTACCCTCAAGGGTTCAATCTTCGCAGCTACTTTGAGAGTAGTTTTCCTGCGAGTATATTTGATTATACTCGCGACTCGTGAATTGAACGACGATAATTTGAATCGAGGATCCAGAGTACATCTAAGGGAAGAAAGTCGATGTTTTCGGGGATGGCGGCGGGATCCGCGTTTGAATGTCGCTGGAAAAGAGATGTCGCGAAGATTTTTAACTCCGGTCGGGTACGACGACTCATCTCTAGGGTTCTTCATGGTTCCAGAAGAACGGAGGACGTAATACAGAACTGGAGCGCATTGAGGGGGAGAACGGAACAGTGTCGAGGGTGATGACAGTCGCTTGCAGGGCGCACGAGATGCGGATGATGCACCATGCTTCGAATCCGCGTTGCACATTTTTCCATGCAGGTCTCGAAACGCGTGAGCACGCTTCGGCACCACTGGAAAAACTTCTCCGGCGGAAATGTCCGGAAATGCGTACGATTTTAAAAATGAACGAGTTTAAAATTTCCGCGTGGAAGTAACTCCTGAATATAGGAAAATCGGCGTCGTCGGAAAATGATAGAATTTGCAATTCCATTGGGAAGAAATTCACCAGAGTTTCCGGATTCCGGCTGGGAGGCACTCTTGGCTTTTTCATGGTTCCGGAAAAAGGACGGACGTAATATAAAAGTGGTGAGCATCGAGGGCAGGAGTGGTGTGGCGATGAAAGGGTGAGACTCGCTAGGGTGCGTGCCCGCGGTGGGCGACATCTCGTGACTCGTATTAATTTTAGAAATAATTAATTTGCATTTAGAAGAGACCTAATCGAGGAAAATTAACAATGTCGAGGAATGTCCTGAAATCTAGATAAGTTTTAAAACCGAGTAAACGAGATTTTGATGATCGAAGGGAAATTAATATGTTGGGGTTTTTTTATTTTGTTGCAGCATTGGCTGGACTTGGCGAAGACGGCGATCAAACAGGTTAAAGGTTAGCGGCAATTCCAAAGAAGTCTACTAGAAGAATTTTTATCTCGGCCACGGCGGGAAACTGGAAATGATATCCCAGTAGAAGATCAAGTGCCGATTGGCTTTCGATGGATCCAGATAGACGAGGAGACGCGAATTCGTCGATCGACAAGAGCGATCCTTCCCAGCCATGACCGAGACTTCGATCATGCAATTCCCATCCTCCTTCGCCTACATCCAATTACGCGGGTCGATGTCACATGAAAGTTTGATGTCGGGCCGACCTGGTACCCGCCATTCGCGCGCAAGTAGTCGTGTCCGGTACCTCGTGTACGTGCGAGTCCATACGATGGACACGGTACACGAGGTACGCGCGGTACGTATGGTACGCGCGGTACGTACGAACCTTGTCGAGGGTACGTACACACTCGTCTACGGGACATGGCGATTCTATACCCGGTCTAATTGCCACGGCCAGTTCTTCCTACCTCGCTCGCCTGCTTCGTCGATTACGCCCCGAAGGTCCGCTCCACCTTGGACAAAAAAAAGAAACGGATTACCCACGGTCCCTATCGGAGCGTTTGCGACGCTCCGTGAACTTGTCGCAGAATGCAGAATTTTCCTGGAGGATTTTCGTGAAAACGAATTTTTAAATCCAGTCGACTCGTCCCGTGATTGAAAGTCCCCCTCGGTCCGCCGTCATTTTGACCACTGTATCATCAACACAGGAGTCCAACCTGCAAATGGATCTCCGTCAGACGCATTTTCTTCGATACAAGACCCCGGTGAGGGGGAACCTTCCATCCCCCGAATCCGCGGATTTCAGAATTTCCATTCATCCGCAGACCCTCCCCGTCTGCTTAAATATTCTGGATTTCCAGACGAGTGGCCGTGCATAAGCTTTCCCGACCGTCTAATCCAAATCCCCTGCCATCTGCAGGATTCCTGCCCTCGGACCCAGTCCTTCATCGCCAGACCCGAGCGGATCCCTCGGATACTCGTAACTGGAAATGAAAGAAAATTAGAAATCTCCTCCTCGATGTCGCGCCGTCGCCCGACTCGAGAGGCTCGAATTAACTTCCGCCTCGTCGTAAACTTTCCAGACATGGAGCCGATTCTCTTCAGCTTCCGTGTGAAATTCTACCCCCCGGACCCGCTGCGCCTGAAGGAGGAGATCACCAGGTACCAGGTGTACCAGCAGCTGAAGAGGGACCTTCTGCACGGCAGGCTCTACTGCAGCCCTGGGGAAGCGGCGCTGCTGGCGGCGTGCATCGTGCAAAGTGAGCCTGCTCATCGATGCCAAGGGGTCCATAATTGAGTGCCACCCTACTTTCCTGCCCCGAACTTTCGCCCCCTCGAAGAATTTCACTTCGAGAGGACCCGGTTTTACGATTCTTCCCGGTGGATTCGCCGGAGGCACCTGGCTTCCCGGTAGAGTCGGCGGTTTCGATAGTTTCGGTGCAGGGCACGGAACCGACCGGCTTAGCTATCGATTTTACGCCACGCCGACGACAGGACCCTCGGAGATTCCCACGGGGACGAGTGTTTCCCGAAATTCGGCCAGGCAATCGATCCCGTAATCCGCCGTGTTTAGGCGGTGCGTGGGCGGTGTTACTTCGCCGCGGAGAGACGTCATTCCCGTCTCCAGGGAAGTTCCCCATTTATTTTCCCAATCGTTAGGATTTTACCCAGTACGTGAAATGTCGGTATTAAGGTAGGTCAACTGATCGGGCAGTCGACTGAATTAAAAGGGCGAAAAATCGAGATCCTTGCGACGTTCGATCGACCCTCGACCTGGCGCACGTGTTTCGGGTCCACGTCTACGTTCGTGCGTCGCTCAAAATTCCGTGTTTCCGAAAGTACCGACATCGATCGGGTCAAAAAGAGAGGGCCATGCCATTCATCGAAACGGGAGCATATCGATCCGGCCCGGAATATTTATTTTATAGCGGCGCGTACGCATTCCACGTACTTGGCTCGGGCGATATGTTCCTCCTGAATTACGGGCAGTACGCTCCCAGGGTGGAGGCCTCCTCCGAGGCTGCCACAATTTTGCGAGTACATTTCCCCCCGTCCGCGTTGATCCTCTCTCCGGTAGACTTCTCGACAACGTGATCGAGCGTTTCTCCTCGCAGGTGAACTAGGCGAGTACGATCCGGAGATCCACGAGGGGAACTACATCTCGGAGCACAAGCTGCTGCTCAAGCAGACCGAGACGATCGAGGAGAAGGCCATGGAGCTGCACCAGACCCAACTTAAAGGCTTCACCCCCGAACAGGCGGAGACCCACTTCCTCAGGTTAGCCTCGCAACTCGATACCTACGCCGTGGACCCTCACCCCGTTAAGGTAAGTGCGTTAAACCGCCCGTGAAAGTTTTGGATCTCACCCGTGGACTGTGGACATTGAGCGAAATATTATATTCTTAGTCATTCCCAGCAGAAATAAGCGTTTACTCCCGGTTTAGCGATCGGTGCGGACTCACCTGCCGGTGAGTACATTTTTCTCGGACGCACCGAGAGAGCGACCAGGAGAGTGTACCAGTGATTACCAGGCAATTAGTTGACGCCGGCCCGATTGGAAAGCGAGTTACTCCCAATTGCATTATCCCGCCTCTTCGAATTGTCCTTTCCTTTAACCGCTCCCTAATTACTCGGTAATTGTCGCCTGGACTGGCGCTCCATTACTTATCGCGGACTAATTCCCGGCTCGTCGGTGAGTCTGGTTTTCGCGTGGTTCCATGGAAATTCGGGCCTGGTACCTTTCTTTATTTTTTTTTCCTTTTCACCTAGAGTAGCAATTTTTAAGACGTTATCAATTTTATCGACATCGAAGTGGTCTTGGGGAAAATCTTAAAGGTGCAATCCCTGGGTCAGAAGGCAACGCGTTTGGGGGCGAGTACATCTCGGAATTGGACCATCTCGGTTTATTAGATTATCCTTTCCGCCCAGTTTCTCTCCGTCCAGTGTTATGGTCGCTATCTCGTTAGTTTCGCCAAAGCGCTATACGTGCACTGCCGGAAACGCTTAAACGGCGGAATGAATTAAAAAATGGTCCGTGCAATCCTTTTTTGCCCTCTGGGTCGAGGTTTTCGGGAATCTCATCTTTCTCGTTTTCTAGAGGAACGAGCCTCGGGTGGGTCTTTTTCGTCGATGAGATCCGCAGGAAACGGAAGTTGCCAATCGAGTATCCGCAGGGCGGGTGGTTGCATATCGACGGTTTTTATTCATTTATTACGTATCTCCGAGCCCGGCCACTGAGCATGGGGAAATCCACGAAAGTTTATTCTCCCTCGTTCCGACTAGAAAGACTCGTTCCTCGACAACGTCCAAAGTTTGAGGTCCGCAGTCCTCGGACTCCTCGTGGATTGCGTGCGCGAGGGCGCAGGGATCCGAGAAACTTTTTCCGAGAGACGAGGAACGAGATTGTCGGCACAAGTTGGCCCCCTCCTCGTTCCCGGGATCCTTCGCTTCGTTTCTCTAAATCTCACTTACTGCCAATTTCCAGCGTCCCGACGCGCAAAGTGGGCTCGAAAGGCGTAATGGCCCGATGGCGTGATCGGGACTGCAAGTGATACGTCCAGCTAGTTCGCGATTTCCTTTCGTGAGGATATCGCTTCGGCTCCTTCCGCTGGAGCCTTTTATTACGTTTCCTCCGGGTTCGGTAATTCCATGGCGAACGCATTTCACGTCTGACGGACGCACATCGCGCGCTCGATTCGATCATTTAATTTCAATAATTCAGATTTAATCGTCATTCGCGCCTACTCGTCGTCCGCATTTCTGAGGCAACGTCGCGGGTCGCGTTAACGCATTGCCCGTGGAAACGGATTTAATATCTCGGGCTCGTCTTGAATCTTGAGATGTGCCTTCGCCGTTTCGGCATGATTTACGGCCGCCGCGGAACTGCCGTGCAAAAGACACCGCATAAACCTAGGTGGAGGTGAAATCGAACGTTATGAATCGCAGTCAGCTGCACCTGAACCCTGCCCTTAATGATGCCGCTGCAGCTGATGATGAAAACGGCAGGACTAAAGGCTGCATCGTCGCATATCGCTGCGTTTACTGTCGTCATTTGCGAGCACATGTCACGGTCACGGATCGTAATCGACGTATGATGGCATTAAACTCTGATCGCGAATGCCGGATCATTAATGGGACTGTTCGAGACGTTAAGAAGTGGATTCCGGGATCTACGGCTTGTCCCGGCAATTTGCATAATTCATCAATCTCCGCATACCAGGACACGGCGCGAACAGTCAAGATAAATTCCAGTGACACCAGTCAAGCAGCGGATCTGAATGCGCCGATACGCGTGCGTAAATATGCGCACGCGTATTGCCATCCCGTAATTGTTGCGCCACTGGCCGGTGATAATGGCTCGGGTAAAAGGCACGTAATCGCGTTTCGATACGTTTGCCGTCAACGGATGGGACGTGGGTGTCACGGTCATGGATAGTAGTCGACAAATGGTACCGTGAAATTCGGTGCACGAAGCTGGGGGGTAATTTTAATCCCGTTCTGGAGTATTGGACGAAGAGGCGCCCCCTGACCCGCGGTCCTCGCCATGACCTATGACACGGGCTTGGACCTCGCGGTGGTCGCGACCCTCGTGAGATGCTTTCGTTTTTCGGATTGCGAGGTACACGCGAGGACGATGCAAAAGCGCATTCCAGATATAATTGTCCGATATGCGTTCCGCACAGGTGCACCAACACGCGCGCTTTTCATTACCGTCCACCCTTGCACCTGTACGATCCTCCAGGGGTGTCGTCCAGGATTACGAGTCGCGGCGTCGCCCCTCGTTGCACGTTCCGCCGAGATTTACGAGCGGAAATAACGGCCGATATTCTCCGTGAATAACGTGAAGGCGATAGGACGATTTTTAAGACATCCGCACGCACCCGGAACCGACCGACGAGGTGGATCACGACGTCGCGACGTCGTGGGGGCTGGATCACGATTTTGGGGAACGGTTGTCGATAAAGAGACGGGGAACGAGGTCCCGGAGACGGTAGAGGTTTGGCAGATTCAGAGGAAGTGGTCTCAGTGTCTAGGGTACTCCGAGAACATGAGGCTTCGAGCTGTGCTGTTGTTCGCCCTGTTGGGCTTATCGGTGGTGGTGGTCCGGGCCCATCCGATCGCTCGTCCTGAGCCTTCGGCAAAAGAGGACGATGGCGCCTTATCGGACCCCGAGTCAGGCGACGAGGACCTTCTAGACGCTGGTCCCAATCCAGGGGTTGGTTCATCCGGGAACAAGGCCGAGGTAGGTCCCTCTGGTCCCAGTCCTGATGCCACCGAGGATAAAAAGGGGAAAGGAGGAGGTGGTAAAAAGGGCGGAGGAGAGGAGGATTGCGACGAAGATGATGACAAGGGTGGAAGTGGCGGAAAGAACAAGGAGAAGAGCAAGAAGGGCGGTAAGGGTGGTAAAGGCGGCGATGACGAGGATTGCGACGACGAAAAGGAAAAGGGTGGCGGAAAGGGCAAGGAGAGCAAGGACAGCAAGGACAGCAAGGACAGCAAGGACAGCAAGGACAGCAAGGAGCAAGGACAGCAAGGACAGCAAGGACAGCAAGGACAGCAAGGACAGCAAGGGCGGAAAGGGGAAGAGCGGAAAGGGGAAGGACGAGGAAGATTGCGACGATGACGACGACAAGGACAAGAAGGGCTCCAAGGGGAAGGATAAGGATAAGGATAAGGGTAGCAAAAAGAGTGGCAAGAGTGGGGGCAAAGACGAGGAAGAGGACTGCGATGACGACGATGGGGCAGCGAAGAAGAAGGGAAAGGAGAAGGATAGCAAGAAAAGTGGCGGAAAGGACAAGGGCGAGGAAGACTGCGACGATGACGACGGTGGAAAAGGGAAGGGGAAGAAGGATGAAAAGGGAAAAGCGAAGGGCAAGAAAAATTAGGGTGATTAAGATCGGGACCAGGGGAGGAGAGATTATTTTAAGAAAAGTCGAAATCCCGGCTTCTGGGAGAAAAATACGGCAAGCGGGAATGGTCGTCGGAAGAGAAGATGGATTGAAATTCCAAAAATGGAGAAAATCGGAGGAGAAGAATTCAAGGTTGGCAAAAATTCCAGGATGAGGGATCATTAGAGACATGCACTAAGTTTAATCGAGTTTTCTTTTATATCCTATATTATGTATACGTCAATAAAGTATTGTCTGCATGAATCGCGTTGTCGTAATATTTTTCTTCGTCTCATCTGTTTGGAATTCCGAAGCTCAGGGAATTTTTGTTGTCGTAAAATTTTATGCTACGTGTCGCGAATAGTGCGCGCACCATCGTTTGTACATTTTATCTTTTAAAATCTCTCTTCGAGGCCATAGATTCGAGAAGACTTTTCCTTTGACCTGAAATAGAGGATTTACGGGACTCCTCGAAGAACGCGCAAAGAAAAGGATGTTCCAGAAACGGTTGATCTACTACCCTTTTCTGAATAACCCATTCGAATTTTCGATGGCGCCTTTGCACACGCGAGTCTTTCTTAGAGAGAAGGAATTCTAGGCTGCAATATTTCGGGAAGCTCCGAACGGCTTTTGCCGAGCTGTTCGCAATAACGCATATCATTTAGCGAAAGCTCACGCTCCAGTTCTCTTCGCGCTTATTTCTGCCGCTCGTTTTTATTCGAACGTGCGATGTAGTTGTCGGGAGTATATCGCGGCCAGGGCTTTTTCGGCAGTTCTTTTTTCCCTCTGCCACCAAAATCGGCAACATTTCACACATTCTTTTTCCTCACCCGACCGTATTCCAATTTTTGCGGATCGACTGCGGAATTCCTGCCGATGCGTCGAGGAACTTTTCGAGATTGCGTTCGGGCAATCCATTAAAAACCATCACTCGACATTCTGATTTCTAAATTTGGTATGGAGCCTTTTTCAACGCCGTTCCATAACGGCGCGATCGATTGAAAAATCAAGCGAAACCATTAAGGGTTTGAAGAAAGGATTGCCCTAGAAGCGCTGAAAATCGTAATCGCTTCTGGGGTCCTCTTCACCGTTTATTCTACCTCGCGACCGGATTAACCACAGTCGTGCTTTCTTTGGGACGGGCTTTCCTCCATCTCCGTCGGCTTTCATTACCAGGAAAATCAGTCGCATTTCCCTCTTCCTTTGCACCCTTTCAGCGTACCCTGCACAAAAGGCTGAACCGACAGGAATTACTCTTGCAGTCTCCGGCACACGCGATTAATACCAATTTCCTTTCGACTTTGGTTCCCTCCATTAAATTTATCGACGCTAAAGTGCACGTTATTCGACATTTCACCAATATCAGTAATGACTCGATAATGTATCGGTGAAGTTCTGGTAGTTATCCCTGGCAACGAAGCACGCTGATAGAGGATGTAACCAAATTCCTGAGGGATAGTGCCACTCGTGGAACAACGGGCCCGATGGTAATCCCATAATGGAGGGTAATCGATTACATCGGAAACCATTGGTAAAAGTGGTGAAAGTAACCGGTAGGAGTAACGTCGTTACTTCGTTAAAGCTTTGCTCCCACTTTTTACTCCTCTTTCCGCAGATTTCGGAACGAGCTTGGTTCGAGGTTCCCTTTACGAAGCCTTCCTCCTGTCTCCTGGTCTAATTTTTTATTTTCCCGGCAATGCCCAGGTTGCAATTCCTTTGGTGACGTCTCTTTTTCGTCAGCTTCCGTTGCTGAAAAAAAAAATCGCTCGTGTCTTCCAATTTTATTTTCACTTCCCTTTTCTTGCTTCCGGATCCTGCGTAAGCCGGAGGGCTCGATCCGTTCTCGTAATTATTGGAAAGCAGGATTAATGGTGATTTCATGTTCATTGGGATTCGTTCCATCGAGTCACTTTATAATGTATTGGGGAATTTGCCGTGTTTCTATCCAGCGACTCGGTATAATCGACGGAGATGTAATCGATGGAAATTTGACTAGCGTGCGCCCAGATTTCTATGAGAAAGTACCTTCATCACTGTAATGGCTTCGTATCGGCTTAACTCGCGCATAACGTCGTTACATTATAACGATTACATCACCGAAGGCTTATTTTGCTAACCGAATGTGTATTACGCTAAAGATATTTAATCTAAAGCTATCTTACCGTCTAACTTTATTAATCACTTAACTTTTCACGACGGGAGGCAAAGAGGTGGATTAGTCAACTTTGGACCGATTTTCCGGGAGAGATGGATCTTTCTCGTCAACTCTTCTCTCTCCTTGTTTCAGGATCACAAAGGTACGCAATTGTATCTCGGTATCAACCATTGTGGAATCCTGACGTTCCAAGGCTCGAGGAAGACGCATCACTTCCGCTGGCCGGAAGTGCAAAAGATCAACTACGAGGGGAAAATGTTCATCGTTCATTTGACCATCAACGAGGTGAGTTGATCTCCGTTAGAGCATTTTTTTTTATCTCTTTATTTCAAGCCGAAGGGGTAGGTCTTCGCAGCATTTCGAGTAAATGATTTTTATGCCCGGCAGAATTTCCATAAAAAAAATCTTGCACGACTATTTCTTACTCGCGAGTGCGACAGTCGTTATGTCCTACTTTTGTGTTTAATTATTTTAATCCATACCTTCCGCTCGGCTGAGATTGCAAATTCCCCTGGTAATAGCATACGACTTCCCGTTTCGACCCGACCGCAGTAGCGTTTTTTTTTAAATTTACTTTTTTTGTTTCTCTTCAGCGTGAAGATACTCACGTGTCATATTCTTTTTCTAATATTTCGAAATGGAACTCCTTCGTATCGAGTTTTCGCAAAAACCTCAATTCCAAGGATATGAGAAAATGATAACGTGTCATTGATGTATTACGCCTTTAATATGCATGAACGTATGCATATTCATTCTATTTCTACCGGCAACAATTATTACGTTATTGCTTATTAATCGTTAAGACTCTTCGCGCAATTCTCGTTCGTTGGGAGTCTTCGGCTCTTCGCAGCCTTCGCAATTAATTCAGAGAATCTGTGTTTATAATCGGAGCTTGCATCATTGCGGCATTATTTTGCATTGCATCAGAGTTCGTACTTTGTAGTGGCCACCGACGTCACCGACGAGAATCCTCGAAAGTATCGGTAATCCTCATTCATGTGAGGCCGCGACAGGATTATTGGTCGCTTCACACGTGAGGCCTCCGGTCTGTCCTTAACCTTCGCTCTTAATTCAACTATTTCCACCGTCATTCCGGATGCGATATAGACACGTAATCCCTGTCTGCCTGCTACTTAGCATTAACCATCCAAAGGTCGAACACTAAATAATGAAAATAATGCGGAGGGAATTAAAAAAAGTGCGCTGCAAGTCAATTACCAAAACTCCCTCCGAACTGTCGTTTCAAGTAATGATTTATTCCCGCAAGTGGGACGTTTGTAACATGCGACATTGAGAACGGCGAACCAAAGTAATTCTATTATTTTTTCGTTTCAATGCATCGATCAGGACTTGAGGACGAAGGTGAGTCGTTTTTAGGGGCTTTATATTACTCGTGGGCAGAAGATTTACGTTTTAGAGTACCGATACATGGTAGATAGAAATGCCGAGTCCTCGTTGCGAGTTAGTGGAAGAGGATACAATAGTGATCCCGTAAATTTGTCACCGATCCTGCAGCCGGAAGAACAAGTCGTCGAATCCGGAAAAATTGGCAATCACGACTGTCGGAATAAATTCAGCCGAACGAGGAGCAGATTCTCGTTGCTCTTATTTTCGTTGCATTACTCGCTCACAGGAGGCACCGTTGATTTAAGACAGGGTAACAAAAGGAAATTAACCAAGTGAGCGTGGAGTCGTTTCCGGAGATATAAAAATCCCGAATTTCTCCTTGCCGAATATTCAAGCTCAAAATCGAGTCGCCCTGACAGGACTATACTTTTTTTTTTGGAGCTAAAATCCTGCTCTGGCATTTTATTTTCCGTAATTTACTTTTAATAAAAATATATTATTGATACTCTTGGAGTACATTGTGCACCTGTAACGAGGTAATACTTGGTCGGTAATCGATACGCTCTACGTCACCTTAAACTTGCGATGCACCATTCCAACTTCGTTTATGGGACGTTGCGAACCAGATATACTTATTTGCCGGTCGGAAGTGCCGACCTTGCAACTTGAACAGGCATTTTTTATTCAATGACGGACTACTGAAAGTTTCTCTTGGTAATTGAAAGCCACGGTCACTCGTCTTCTTCGAAGCTCGGATCGAGGAGTCGGTCAAGCGCTCGATATCGGCCAAATATCGCGGTCGTGTCGTGATAAGAGAGCTCAGTCCTAGTTCCTTAGTTTTCAGTTCGCTGATTCCCTAGAGCAGAGCCTGGTCTTGAGATAGAATTTTCTGCTGGATTTTCAGAAGAAGCATACCGTCGGATTTAAGTGCCCCACGGGCTCGAACTGCCGCCACGTCTGGAGATGCGCCATCGAGCAAATGCTGTTCTTCACGTGAGTAGAAAATAGTAAAAAAGCTCAGACATGGTCCGAAGTATGCTCGAGAGAGCTTGCATGTCTTAGATCTTGCTCGGTTAACGATCCACGAAGACAGCTCACCTCTTCCCCTCTGGATCTAGTCAGAAAGTCTATGGATCCAGATCCTCCTTTTTTCTCATAAAAGCCTTGTTTTTATTAACCCGAAAAATTAATGCTCAAGTACGGGCCGCCAAACAACCAGGCCGGAGTTAATAATTTCGGGCAGAGAGAAACGTGGAATTTAAATACCAACACTGAGGGCCGAGAGAAAAATCTTACTTGGCGGAGGACAATTTAATTATTCCGCCATGCTGCGAAACCTTAGACGCGTAATTATACTCCGTGCAAGTGGTTAAACAGCTGTTTAATTGCCGCGAAAAGTAGGTACGGCAGGGAGGACAATGGATCGCGTTTACTTGACATTCGCATTAAAAAAAAGAAAAATGCTATTCACGCATCTAACGAAACCGATGAAAATAAACGCCGCATTGCCCGATTTCGACGTCCATTTATAAAATCCAGAGTCGTACTCCATTATTGCAACGGGCGTAGATTTCTCTCTCGGCGAGTTTCCTCTGGAGAAATTCCCGGCGCCATTACGAATTTCGTGACGATGGCATCGTGTTATTTGGCCGTCATCCAAACGATGGAACGAGTTGCCCACTCGAACCGGAAGTTGGATGCGCGAGGAAGGGCACGCGTCCCGGAAGAAAGGAAAGAAGGGTGGAGCGAGCGTGAATACTTGTTGAATTTCCGAAATTGAAAGCTCCGGAGAGAACCCACGCTTGGCTACTCCCGGGACGAGGCGAGTCATTTATACCTTTTTAAGACACCGACCGGATACAGGGACGATACCACGCGGATGCAAAGGGGATTTTTTTCCCTCGTTTCTCGGGAATTCCCAAAACACCGAGGAGCGCGCCATTACGAGCCATTTTCAACCCCAGGTGACAAGTTTACGACGGCAGGCGTTGCTTATCCCTGAACGCCGTCGCTTTATCACTAAAGTACTCGGTGACGGTATTCCCGGTAAATTTCTGAGGACAATTTAAATAACCGCCAGTGCGAGGTATCGATTCCCTCGGTCGAGACTTGGGACCCGAGTCTCAATTTTTTTTTTTTCACGTACGAACAAACTCCCGGGAAAAATCCTGCATTGTTGCAAGGTCACGTGATTGGCCAACGCTTGAAAGTCTCGCGCGAAATTGTCCACTTGGCTTGCGAAGACTGATTGGATTAATTCGAGGATCGAGTTTCTGGCAGGACGTGGAGGGAAACGGAAAAAGAAAGGAGGCTCGTCTCGCGGAAATCAGGGTCGCGATTCGAGCGAGCCGAAGTTGACCGGTCGATCGGTGCGCAGCTTGCCCAGGGCATCGGACGCTCCCGTCGTCAGCGGAGGGTCCATATTTTCCTGGGGGACCAAGTTCAAGTACACCGGCAGGACGGAAAGGGAGGTCCTCGAAGAGACGGGTCCACTTCGCAAGGAGGAACCTCCGATTCAACGCTGCCAGTCGACCGGACTCAGGAGAAAGGCCAGCAGCGTGCCCGCCACCCCCAGCACTCCCAGCCAGGACCTGGTGGAGATCAGTCAGTATCCCCCCTCGTTATCCTGGACCATTCGTTAATCAATTATTGGCTGCCGGTTATTTGTCATTCTTATACGTCCGTTTCTAAGCGAGAAGACTGAATTTTGGCTCTGCGTCGAAAAATTTGAAAATCTTTACGATAATTCACTGTAGCACGCCACGAGATATCTTCCACGTCGCTCTCGGAGTTGCCTGTTCGTGTCAGCCGAAAGGCACGTTATTACTCATCCGTTTGTCGTTTTTCGCCGCGGCGGAAGGAGCCGAGCGATTCCTTCTCTCGTCCTTTCGAGCGGTTTCCGTGACACGCGTCGGTCACGCGGATCACAGTTTCCCGGGTATTAACGACCCGAAGCAGGTACTTTGCTCGGTCTATTTCGACCTCGCGTTTCTTCCCCGAGGCCGCCGATTCCGTTTTCCTTGTTTATCGCGGAGAGGATAGCGACTGACGGATTAATATCCCTGCGAACGCTGCCACCGGACTTGCCATGTCGGGAGGTTGGACTCCGTGTGCCGCTTTATTCGCTCTATCGATTTTGGACACGCATACGGGACGTTTTCCGCCCGGAGAGTGCATTCCGCTGCGGTCGAAACGCACCGTTTCCGCTTCTGTCGCGCGACAAGCTCCGAGGGGAGCTTCTCGATTCGAAGAAGTGCAAATTGAAGGACTCTCTTTTCTATTATATCAGGGATTTCCCCGGAGAATAAACGACTTAAAAAAGACTGCACGCCACTTTTCCGTCCCGTCGATGGAGGGAGCTTTTCCAGATTTTACCACCCACGGTCTTGTGAAAGCACGCTTCGGGGAGGAATTGTGTTTGCGAAAGTTTGACGCGTAATCTCTTTCTCGTGCGAAGGAAAGAAAAGGCACGAAATAACCTTTCCGTCGATATCAAATTTCGCCTGTCGCTCCTTTCCATCGCGGTTCAATCGCAATTTCCGTTTCAATCTCCAGGAAATTAATCGAGGTATCGTTCGAGGACTTTACCGACACTTAGCCTTCCGTAAACAGTTTTAATTGCTTTTCGTCCACGAGACCGAGAGAATGCACCTTGATGAAAAATACCTAGATCGGGATTTCATATACTCATCCGCGAGACATGGACAACTAGGTTTTACAAAATTCAAGCTTTGTTAAAAAAAAAAAAATTTTGGAAAAATCATACCACTCTTCGTTTCTCGCGTGGGGAAATTTTAACGGTCCTAGGGATCGTTTCTTGTCAAAGGACTAGCTGGTAACTATTTTCCCACGATTGCAGGATACTCGAGCTTGCCAAGGAGTTGCCACAGCGCGGGATTGGACGGTGCCGGAATGTCCGATGGCGGAAGCGGCGTTCCTCTGAGCTCGCCCTACTGTCCGGACAATACTCTGCCGCTTTTGGAGACCGTATCCGAGGACCAAGAAATCCATGCCAAAAGAAATAACGGTTAGTGCCACCTCGGCCTCGGAGTTTCCTGCCCCGAGGCCCCGTCGGTGCACTTTGGAAACTTTGGAACTCTCGTCGCGATTGCGACCGCCCTCTCGAGCCGAACCGTAGCTTCCCAAACCGAATCCGACGAGAATAAGAAGGTCCCTTTGTTTCGGAGACGTTGAACCTCCGTGGGCCCCTTCCCTGGATTACCTCGTCGAGTTTGCCGGACGAGTTGTGGTTTACAAGCGGAAATAGACCTCGTCAGAATTCCGTTGTATTTTCGGACCAGTTTGGATTTGCGTCTTCGACGGACTCTAATGGAGGCTGGAGGTAGTGCGATTAAATGGATTTTAGGAGGACTAAAATGAGACTAATGAGAATTTTAAGCTCGGGTCATCCAAGAGGCCCATCTAGTTTCCACACTTTCCTCCTTTAAGGCCTTCTCGTTCTCGAAGGAGTCTCTTGATTTTGTGCTTCGAGAGGTCTGCGATGTTAGAGATCGAAAGTGAGGCCGAGCGGATGCCTCCGATAGTGCCAATTTCATTTAAATCTAATAGACGCTCTTCGATGGAAAATCTGACCTCCGAGTGTCGAGGATTTCCGGGGAGGCGGAAGTGCGGTTTCTGCCAATCGAGGGTCCCAACTTTCTGCACCTCGTTAATTCGCTTTCCTATTAAGGCACGTCCAGGCGTCCGCTCGGCGGATTTCGGCCGATAAAGTGAACCGACCATAACGTACCTCTTTTCGCCGATAAATTCCTGTATTTTCTGGATAAGCTGCATGTTTGGACTCATAAGATGCCTGGAATTGTGATAAGTGCATGAACTCGAGGCTTACGGAACGAGGCTTCTCAAGTATTTATTAATTCGCAGAAATTGACGTTCGACGATTCCACGACAAAATTACATTATTTGTAATTAACGCCGCCGTGCCGTTGCAACGTTGTTTAATTGATGTCTGAGGTTGGATATTTTATGCCAGACCGTTTATACAAACCGATCGATTCGTTTTAGAATTTTAGGAAAATCAAGGACTTCATTGGAAACTGCCATCGTTGGGCAACTATACGTTCCGTGTCGTTTGCGAGCTCGTTACCATTCCGCGTGCATTAGCATATCGGAGAACCCGTTCAAAATGTCGCCCTTTGGTCCCGAAGGCATTAAATCTTACAATTCAAGGAGCTAAACAACGCTCGGGGCAGAAATTTAGACGCGAGTCGTCACGGTTTCCCTAGAGCGACGTCCCGGAAGCCTCGAAGCCGTCCTCGTCCTTCCTGCAGGACTCGGCGGAGTCCGCGACTACGCTTCTTTCGCTTTTTTAGTCTTTCATTTGTTTTCTCTTCCTTTCTGTTTTTTAGCCGTAGACGAAAGTGATACGCATGCGAGTGCCACCCACACGACCTCCGTAAGCCAGGGCAAAAAACTGAATTTCCCAAAGAGCACGTTGAACCGACCGCAACCGTTGTACAGTCAAAAGATAGTGATAGGCTCCGAGGAGCTGGCGGGGCGGAACATCGATAACGTCGTCAGGCAGAAATTAAATTCCCTCGAGAAAAGCCCCAAAGTGGTGAGGTCGACCGCCCTGATAATAAAGACCTCGACGGCGCCGGCAAAGTCCAGGTCGAACGGCTCCTTGGCCCCGAGGCCCCGCGAGTCCTTGGAAGGAGTCCCGAGCCCGTCCATGACCAGGAGCGCGACCTTCGCGGCCTCGAGCTCGAACGGCTTGAAGGTAAGGCAGATCGACGGCCGACCCGGGTCCTGGGAGGCCGCGAATCCCGAGGCCAGGAGGCCCGTCAACGGAGCGGTCACGGTAAACCCAAAGACGGGAACCCTCGAGGTGCCAAGGAGCGAAAAGACGCCAGACTTTAGGAACGGAATCGACTCCCTTTGGAGGCAGCCGAGCCGCTCAGGTAAGCGCGCCCTAGAGGCCGGTCTCTCGCTTCGGTCGTTTACCGTTTACCGTTTGGCTCTCTTTCGGCCCTGTCTTTTTCTCTTATGATTTGCGTTACATTTGGCATGGGTTCGCTACTGGTTACGCGGAGGAACCGAAAGGATGGCGCACAAGTCTCGGACCGGTCGAGAGATCTCTTCTCGTCTAGGTCCCGGGAAGACGCGCCCTCGACGGACGACCCGACCTGTAACCTATTCTGCTTTCAGTCGGGCAGAGCGACGGCGACCTCAACGACTACTACTTCAGGGACTCGTTCGACCACTCCTCGTCCGAGAGCCAGCTCCTGGACGCGACCGGGAAGCCCCACAGTCGGTCCACGACGCCGGTCCCGAAGATGCAGAAGCTGCAGAACTCGAAGCTGTGCCTGCAAGCTCGCCGCGCCGACGTCAGGACTCGCCAGAGGAGTTTGCACGTGATAAAGCTCCTGATACCTGCCTTCGTGCTCACCGTAATCGTACTCTTCGTCGCGATCGTCATCGTCTTCGAGACGGACTCCGCGCTGTTCAATAGTCTGCGAAAGACGCCGGAAATGGTGGCCTTAAGGAACCAGTACTACGTCCCCATCAAGGAGTTTCTCAGAACCAAACTTGGCCTATTTTGATGACGAGGGCTGGAGCCGAGATTATCCTTAATTACGTAGCTTTTGACGCCAGTGCCAAGTTACCGAAGAGTAAGCCGGGCGCGACTCGGAGGAGTCCCTCGAGAGGAGTCCCGTCCGGGCTCCGAGGACGACGGGACCCCCGAAAATGCCCCCAGGGATCGTTCGCGAGATCGACGGACCGTCGTTTACTCGCCTCGTCTCGTTTCGATTCTCGGCGCCCAAGGTCGGGGCTCCATTTCGTCTCGGACCTCGAAACCCGCGACGAAGATGGTTCTCCTGGGACCCGAGTCTCGAGTTCATCCACCTTTCGCATGCGAAATTGACAGTTTCGTGTACGACTTTCAAATGTTGACCCGTCGTGACAGTGCGACATCTTTTATGCGAATCTATTCGTATGCGAGAAAGATCCGCGTGAACTCGAGAATCGGGCTCCAGCTCCTCGCGGTCGAAGAGTCCTGACCGATCTCCCTTTCGAGACTGGAAGCGTCCTTGATTTATTCAATCTCTACGTTTGTATTATTCCGAGCTGGACGCGTTTATTCGGCTCTTCGATCAAGAATTGACAGGAATTAATCGATAGCTCCGATTGGCGACGAATGCGTATCCGTCTCGTTGATCGTATCGGGTACGGTCGGATTTGGCCTCGGCCAAGCTCTGGATTATCGCGATCGATAATAACGTAGAAATCGCCCTTCTCCGTACGTCGATCGCATAATGTCGCAGGTTTTGAAAGGGTAATGCGATCGATCTCTGGATAGGCTCAGGATCCTTCGATCGCGAATCGCGGATGAACCAGACGTCGCTTCATATTTAGAGAACCGAGACGATGACGCCAAGAGGCGCTGTTCGTCTCGTGGAAAGAAATAGATTATCGCGCCGTGAGATCGCCGAGTTTCTTGTCTTATCACGGTATCGTTTAAATGTAACGGAGCAACGTGCTCCGCGGTCGGTGCTGCTGCATAATTCGAGGTAAAAGCGTTCGGTACGTTCTGCTCTCGGGATCGCGATCTTCGATCCGTTGCGCCATCAATTCCGTTTCGGCTCTTCGACGAAGTCGATGTACCTGACGCGATAACGACCGGTGATTCCATTGCGCAAGTGTCGGGTCGTCGAGCGAGCGAGAGGTCTTCCTCCTGGTACATATCCCCGTGACTTGATTTTTTCCTTTTATTATCGAGATAAAGAGGAAAGCTGGAATTATTTTCTTTTGGTACTTTGGACCGAGCTTCGGTGTAACGCGGCCTCCTTGTAAACCGCTTCGCGAGACACACCTGACAATCGAAAACAGACAATTAAAACGGTTGGCGAAATTAATCGTTGGACGAAGGGAGGCGCGCGATCCGTTTAAGGTGTATAGGACATTGAAACATTTCTTGTAATCTTGTATCGCGGGGTGTAGTAGTAATAAAAGTGTCACGATGTACCTAGCCTTCGGCTCGCTCGATCGGCCAAAGTCGGCGCGATGCAAACGAAGCACCCTCGTTTTTCGCATCTTGTCGTCAAAGCACATTATCTGGTATTTCCTTCGTTTAACGCAAGGTTACTCCGCGTATGCTTTCGCGTAGGTACTAGACGAAGCGAAAGAAATGTCCTGCATCTCGTAAGCGGCCGTACTCGTAATCGTTAAGGGCCGCGTGACTTACATACGGTAGCAACGTTGTCCGAGGATGAGTTATCGCGATTTCGAAATTGTCGGGACTCGTGATACCGGATGGCCTATCGCATTTACTAAGAAAAGAAGGGGAAAGATTGAAAAGAAAGAGACGCGAAAAGAGAACTGCTTTCTCGAACGAGACTTCCTTCAGCGTAACGTACGTACGAAATAAACAAAGTAAAATATTTTAACATGAACATAACACAGATGATATGTAATATATTCCTAGAGATATAACTATAGCGACGTTAGGTAATTTTAACGGTCAACGAAAAGCAATTCTATGGTAGCAGGTAGGGTTAATTCCGTTGAGGCGCGTCCAAGATGGACTGCGGCGAGCGCTTGTTTACCGATCTTTTTTATCTGGTCAATCGGCAGCGACAATTGATCTCGTTTTTGACATCGACGAATACGCGGTCTTCTTATTTTTCGACGACGCACTCGCGACATTCGCGCTCTTCTCATCCTGCATTCATACATACGGATTCGAAGGTGAAGCGGAATCGGGTCTCGACCAAAGTCGTGGGCTCTTATCATCGCCCTCCGATTACGTTTAACGTCGCTTATCTTTTCACCTGGCAATAATGTCCAATTAATGTCCCGATTTTCCGGCGTTGGAATTAATTGAACCGTGTACGAGGAGTGCTCGATCGTTTCGCGTATCTCTATCGTTTTCTAATTTTTTTCAAATTCACGCTGAAGCAGATTTGACAGAAAATCACACAGGGCGAATCTCTCCTCGCTACAATGAACGTTTCTCTTCTCATCGTCCGAGACCAACGAGCGAAAGAAACGAAAGAAACCAGCATTCCCTTCTCGTTGATCTCGTTCACTACTCTCACCCGTTTCCTGAAAGTGCCTACGCTATTCTAGAATCCTTTGATGCCGCGTTTCGCTAAGTTTTCGGCAGATCGTATTATCGTCGTTAAATTCGTTCAATGTCCGCCCTAAGCTGAACGAAATTGGGGTAGGTCCGAAAGCGCGTTCGTCACGTCGCGCGCGACGTCCTTCCGACTCGGATTTTTTCCTGGGGGATTCCTCGCGTCTTGCCGGGAGTCCTCTCGGACTCCGTTTCGTTTCCAAAACCGTCATTGACGCGTAACGGAGATTAGCATAATCGGAAGTCCCCAGAGGAGATCCGATCGCGCGGTGTCCACGACTCGCGAGGACCGGCGAAGGGCGCCTGCAGTTGCCGGAAAATTGTATAAATAAACGGATGTCAATTGCAATATAATGTAACTTAGGATATATAGGAACGAAGGAAATTAATTGTAATTAGCGGGAGGTGCAGCGGACTCGGGGTGGGGCGAGGGCGAGGAATCGATCACCTCCACCTCGGGTCCGGCCCGTTGCGATGGATCGGTCGCTGCAATAGTTTTAGCGCGTCTTATTCGTCGGTGTACGCGGCCAATGCTAACGAGAAATGTCGGAGGTAACGCGAGTTTAGGGGTAGTCGTAAGCTTGAGCTCTAATTTGCGCGAAAATCGCCCTTTCTCGTCGTACCGGTGACTTCATCCGTTGTTCTTAGGCTTTGCGATGTCTTCGAGTCGACTTTTCCCGGCGCCATCTTGCCTGGGCTCTCCGTAAGCGGCATCGTTTAGAAGCTAAAGCGTAACCGAGAGATTTCAGTTGCTAATTAAGGATGTTATTGAGGCTTCCAGCTTGTCCGTTGTCGAGTGGCATTCGCGTGTCCCTTGACTTTTGTCGCGTGGCCCTGGGTTGCTTTTCGGGGGACCGTTTGCTTCACGCGCTTGACAATAATCGTCGACTTCGCTCGGTCCTGGAATTAACTTCGACCCGACCGTCGGTGGCCGAGCCTCAATCGCGTCGCTTAATTGGAAGCGTAGTCAATTTACTTTGGTGTGATAGAAGTAACTTAGTACAAAGAGATTGGTCAGCGTAACGTATCATCCGACTAGAGGAGAAGCGAGAAAAGACGCAGGTCGAGGGGAGAGACGGAAGGAGAGCGAACGCTGGGTGATGGAAAAGTAACAAAGATTTTACTTTAGTTGTAACGCTTCTAGCTTACATATCATGGAGATAGAGAGGTTCCTTTTTCCGCTCGGGAGAGTACGCGTATACTTATATATATATACATAAAAATATATACATATATTATATATTTTGTTCGAAGCGCGTTGCCGTCGCGGCGAGCGTCGGAGTAATCATGCCAAGAAAACGACACTGGAAACAATCAATTATTTTCGACAGTAATTATATTTCTTCGAGCACCGGTCATTCTACACCTTCATTCGACCGTTCGGTGGTTCCGATTGGCTTTCGAGGGCGAACTTCGTGACGAAATTAAAGCGAGGCGAAGCTAAGTACCCGCGATCAAAACCTTTGGTAATCCTCTCGGACTTTTCTATGCTTGCCCTAGTGACCTAGTCATACGTTTTCCTGCATTTTCCTCAGGAGAGAACGCTTACGCGGTCGTTTCTCCAGTGCCACCGGCGAACGTTCTCGGAAAAGAACAAGAATGGTCGATAATTGCGTCTCGTCGGGAGACACTCACGTTACGTGTAATCGAATTAAGGCAGGCATTACGATCTACCGGAAGCAGCAGCGCGATAGACCTGAATTTCGTGTTCATTTTTTAAACGAGGAAGGTCGTCGACTCGACGGTGAAGGGGATGGCCGGTCGAAAGGATTTGCTTGAAACGGCGTCCAGTCGAATCCGAGGTCGTTTCCTGAAGACCTCTTTTTGATTTCGTGCCAAAATTTCGGAGCGAATAACGTCACGTCCCGATGCGACCAAGGCCGGGGTTCTTGCTTTTTGTGCGCGCAAAAATGGTACCACGGTCCCGAAAAGGCGGATGTTTTTTTCTTTCTACTCCAATCGGAGAAGGTTTACGAGAAATTGGCTAATGTTGCCAATAGCTAATTGCAACGTCCTCAGGGCGAAGACTTCGGCCGATCGCTCGACGATCCTTCCTCGATGCGCTCCGCCTTGTCAAAGATCAATGCTGTATGATCAAGATAATTTTGCACTTTTCCAAAAACGATTCGGCGTATGTATTCATTCTCAAGGAGACCTTTTATATCAAAAGTGCGATCGGGTGCAACCGCGGTAATGGACCGGTCAAACGATCAATGAGGACATCCCGGTGTTCCGTTGCTCGTCCGATCGGGATTGTACGTTCCCGTTTATAGACGAATAAATGACGACTATTCGGTCAAGTGAGTGAGTCGTGCGATCACCGTATTGTAAGAGGACTGGCATTAATAAATGAAGAAAGTAATCTTTTTCAACGCTACGCCTATACTTTTTCATTGATCGCAAGCTCCCTCCGAGATCCTGACTAGAGTCGATCATTTTCTTTCTCGAGCTCTTCAGTGTCAAAAATAATTTTCTACACGCAGGGATCGCCCAAATTGTTCCTTATATGCGCTGCAAAAAAATGACGATGTCGCGTTACGATAAAATTAACGAGCCTCGGAAAGAAAATCAAACGTACCTCGACATCCGTCACGAATAAGATTAACAACGTTAATTCCCTCTATACGTACCCGGAACTAGTTGCACCGAAATTGAATTTCAATCATTATGTCAGTAAGTCGTGACGTCGATAAGTGAAAACTTTTAAAAAGGTCCCAGATTTTATGCTCGAGTACTTTCTCTACGAAGGTCATAGGAATCATACGGGTTTGAGAAGCTGAAGAATGAAGTACCGAGAGGTGCTGGTACTGGCCTTGTTGTGTCTTTGGGTGGTTTCCGCTTTGCCGGTTGTTCCTTCGGGTGCAAGTGGTCCTAACCCTGACCCCGAAGCAAGTGGAGATACAAATGCCGACGAAAATCCTCAAGAGAGTGATACCGTCGTCCCTGCGAAATCCGACTTGAACGACAACCTGGCACCAGAGAATCAACCTGCGAATGAACACGTACCTGTGGAACCTCAACCCGCACCTGGGGAATTTCAATCTACACCTGCGGAACCTCAACCTGTAGGAAACGACGTGGCCAAGTCAAAAAATTCTGAAGCTCCTGCGCAAGTTGAAAAGCCTTTAGATCCAAAACCCGTGGAAAGCCCGAAAAGCTCTGAAGCTATTCCTGTACTTCCGGTTGAAACGACGCCGCAACCAGAATCAGAGACTCTCCCGAAAAACGGGGAAAAAATAAAAGCTTCCGAAATTGTGGCTACGCAGGCTGATGTATCAAATCGAGCAGGTGATGTTCCGCAGGAAACGGTAACGAGAAACCCGCAATTGACGGCAGAACGACTTATAAGCAACGACTCGTCAGGGAATAGTGAGCAAGATTATCACCGAACGACACAACTCGACGAAACGAATCAACGATTAGTACGCCGGGCCGAAAGTTTGAGTAAACTCTTGAGAAAACTCGCCGAAAGTGCTGATACGTTATATGACGATCTTGCCGTAAAAAGCGCGTCTGAAGAGGAAGACGCGGATGACGATGATTCCTACTCTGATTATCCCGATTATCCCGATTATCCCGATTATCTAGATCGTTCATCCGAAGGCTACATTGATGACTATATCGAATAACAGTGACGAACGGTGATCGCATTTGATAGATTCGTAATTCGAGCACTAACATTTTGTTATTTCATTTTTTAATATCCCGAGGAAATAGTATATTTTATCTGGCTAATTAATTAATAATTGTACAGTTTCGTTTACAAATGCCTGCAGAATAGTCGGAATAAAAAGTATAAGCTTTTGTTGGATACCCAGAATTTTTTAAATTTCTGTTCTCCGGCGAACCTTTGAAGAATGAGAACGGAGATTCGCATTGTCTGAAGGAACGCGTATGGCGCGAGTTTTCGCGAAAATAACAGGAATGAGAGAAAACGATGGAAGAGGGCCCTTCTTGCACGTCACGCAAAGAGAAACGAGTGGGCACGCATGCGTGCTTGATTGTAACGAAGAAGCCTAATTAAACTGCACTCTCCAGTGAGGCACGGAGACGAAGGGTGTCTCACGAGATGTCTCATCTTTTCAGGTAATTATTCGGATGTCTTGAAACAACTAGCAGATACCTGGAAGTACCGTACCGTCTCGCGTTGTTAAAACTCGACTCCCTCCCTGAAAAGAGAAAGAATAAATTTGCAACCTCTGCATTTTGTTTTCTGGCCGTTTGCAATCAACTGGTCTTTTCCAGGAAGACATCTTAGTCGATCTTGAATAGTCGGAATAAATGTCGCAAACAGTTCCTCCAGCTACATTACCGCGAATTGATATTAAAATTTTGTTGAGCGTACACGAATAATCCTTGGCCATTGACAATGCAGTGTTTACAAGGTCACGTTTCTTCTGGAACCGTGTAATTGTATGCGAAGGTCGTTGCACATGTGAATGGATTTGTGACTCTCGTTAAAATTCAACCTGCCTTGAATGCCTCGACGATCGATACTCCACTGACTCCAGAACGACTTCCTGCATAAAAGTAATTTGTTTGTGTTAGTCTACACAATGAAACATTTTTTTTCGAAGACGCTTCTATATTCTAAGCAGGGAGTACTCACTTTCCTGCTTTTTTGCTGACTAACGCATACAGAATATTCAGTGATATTACCTGAAAAAAATATTTTATTACAGTCGCATAACTACAATAGTTTGTAGATGTAAGATTCGAAGAGGTCTTCTGTAACAAATATAAGAGTTTTCATATTCTTACATCAATGATCCGATTCCCAGGCCTGCCAGCGTTCGTTCATTGTCGTCGAGGATTTTTACAAGGATATGCGTGAGAAAACGGAGCCCATACCTATCGATGGGATAATCCTTTGAGTCATTTAGTTGCGTACTAAAGATACCCGTGCCTTTCTCATGCATGCATTAGCATCAAGACCGTCACCGCGCAAATTCCTGGAAATCAGTTTGACATCACTCTACTACTTGGTATCCTTTTTAAATCTCGCATTTACCAATCTCTTTTAAACAACTAATAAAAATCCTCATTTTAACCATTACGAGTACCTGGAATGCGCGACACTCGCCGACGGAATTTCAAATCGAGCGACATTTAGCATTTCATAATAAGTGGAATAAATAAATAAATCGACTTAAAATTTCCTAAGCGAGGCGCGCTATAGTAGGCGGCGGCGCCGAGAGATGGCGCGCGCGGCGCGGCGTTGCCGGTTGACTCACGGCGCGTTTCGGAGCGCGGCGAGCGGCGCCAGTGCGCAGTCGACTGCCGCGGAGTAAGGAGCGTCGACGGCCTGCTGTCTCCCTCCAGAGAGGCGCGCGTTTTCCGGCCTTCCGCATCGATTCTTATCGTTAGACAAATTGAATTAACTCGATTGCGATTACCTGTGGTCGGTTCGCAGCGCGTTAACATGGTCCGCTTGGGCCACGGTTAAACTCGTGCGGTGTCCAGGAGATTTTCCAGGCGACCACTCGGAGGTCGAAGACGCTTCCCGACGTGACAGCTTCGGAAGAAAAAAAAAGACTGTCAACATGGTAAGAGCACGCTCGGGTAGGAAAAGCTCGAGAGGTCAAACTATACGTGTCTGACGACGCCGATCGTTGAACTCGTCTCGTGTCGAGCCATTGATTCCCTTTGTTCGAACGTGTTCCGCACGGTAGCCGTTTCGCGGTACTTACCGAGTCCTCTCTTTGTCCGATCCGAATGCCAGTTGTCTGCCTTCGGATATCCCCTAAGCCGCGTCGCCCTGCCGCGGTTTCGCTGGACGTCGTCCCCGGCCAGTGTAATTTAAATGGCCGTGAAGAAATACCGGCTACCGTTTATTACCTCGTCGTCTCATTTCTATTATATATCGGCCCCCAATAATTATATCGATTATCCAGAGTCGATTGTCATCCGCGGCACGAGTTGTCACGGTGAACCCATGAAGTACCATCCTTATGCTACATTCAATGTAGCGAAGGATGCTACTTCACTGCCGACAGCGCCTCGATGAAATTTAGCAATTAAATATCACCGTCCGTTAGTCTTTATCGCGTTAAAGTCATGACATTCTGTATATCATCCGCGGATTATCGGCAAGATTAAACCCATTTTGGGTAGTTCACCTTGGTAAGAAATGTTTTGCTCACGTATGGTTGGAGTTCCCTCATTTTCCGCGGGTGGCGCTCGCGTCGGTGGATCAGCGAAAATCTGAGGTCTCACGAGTCCCGATTTTGGGGTTACTTTCTGTTGGAACCGAGCATTAACGTTGTCTTATATTATTTCATTGGTGGACCTGCGTGTTTTTATCCCGACCGATGTGAAGCACGCTGCAAGGGCGCTTTCGGAGCCGCCATCTTGCCGGCGGAAGGATTTCAAAAGCGCTCTTATCGGGAATTAAAACCGATTGATCGGTATATCTCGGTCGAATCGCCGAGGGACAACTCCGATGCCAGAACGAAGACGGAAGATTCGCGGCTCTGATTAATCACGCACCGGGAGATACGGAAGAGGCAGTGGTTCTCAAAGAGAAAGACCTGGAGAGTATCGACAATTTTTCAATCGCCACCGATGGACGCGGATTTGAATCGTCTCGTAGAGTAAACCTGAAACCCGGCCTATCCGTTTAACGGAATATATCCGTTTATACGGGGAGGGAAGTCCGTAGACATCCGTGATTCTAATTAAATCGATAGCCTCGACTATTTCGATAAAAGTCGAGGCCTCGAACCGTGGAAGAAAATACGACATCGTTCAATGGCCTTTTAATTAACCTAGAAATTATTGTTAGGTTAGGTTTTGGGTATGAATTGATTTTGCAGTCTTAAGCGGCACATCGACGCGGTAAAGGGGCAGCGGGGGCTGGAAAGGAACACTTTCCCCTCGTCTAAGCTCCTCTTTAGAATTCGGGCTCCCCTTTGATTTTTTATGAACCTGGCGAACACATATGGCGGACTTCCCATTCACCGTTAAACGGGGTTGCGCGCCGGCATTCTGATAGCAATTTACGTCGCTTTCAGCACGTAGACCGCTATATCCATAACGCCGGCCTGCTTTTCTACGTGACATATTTTACCTAGAGATTTTACTTTCCCGGGGCGGAGGATCAGGTGTCAATCGCCACGAGTCGATAAATCCGATATATCGATAACTTTCGTTACCGTCCGCTCTCCCGTGTTATTTGTCATTTCACGCAATCACGTCCACGACTTCGATTAAATGATCTCCCTCATTTTAGGGAAATGTACATTTCGATGTATGGGCTTAGATTAGTGGAGAGTCGCTATCACAGAAGAACTGCACTTATCACCTACTTTAACGATAAGTACCGATCGAGTCATCAAATAAGCGAGGGGTACCGTTTCATTGGGTCGTTGGGCCGAGAAACAATTAACAGGAAGGATGCCGGGTACTTTTGTATTTTCCCTGCTTTTCCTCCAGCACGTTGGAGTCAATGGAAACTTCATTTAGTACTTGGCAATGTTTTAGAGAGAATTTATGACCATGTGAAGTCCGTCTAGGAGCTTCTCGAGCGCGGATGAGTTTCATTACGAGGCCGTCATTGATTTTCTATTTACACGGGCGATGCCACTTTTTATCATTTGTCTTCGTCGCGTATCGTCATGGGGATATCCCTCGAATGAGCCGATGAAGTATTTTGGCTTCTTGAGGAATTTTGCGAAATATGACCTACCTCGGATTACCAGATTGTAGTACGGATACAGTCACGTTCACGAATGGTTTGTTTGATTTCAATTTGCAAACGGGATTACACGTTGCGGGAACGAGCCGTGACTCACGACGTGGTAACAGGTTCATTCAACTAGTTTCACGGTGCCGGAGAAAAGAAATCCTGGTCGGCAAACTGTACTCGGGCGGCCTTCACGTCTCCATTCGTAACGCGGGCTCACCTTATCGGAAATCCTCCGATAAGGCGTCGAAACGGTGAAATCTCACCTTTTCCGTAACGGCGATGAGCCCACCGAAAAAAAAAAATTAAACTTACCGCTTTACGGTCGCTTGGCCAGATTTTATTACGATTTTCGAAACTCCGAGAAATCAGGCTAAGTTTATCCTCTCTATCGGCGGAGCTCGGCTGTGCCAATTGCGAACCGGAATTTCACGATTTATCGTTTATCTCGGCAATAGGGTTGTTTATATTATTTTGGAAAATGCCCTCGTTGGAGACGGTCCAGGAGTATGGAATGAATTTTTCTTGTCTTGTTTCATTTAAAGCCACTGTCGGGGCTTTCGAATTTTCCTCTTGAAACGTATCAATCAAACATCCGCCGTATTGGAGGGCGGATGGGTCGTCATAGTTACGATGTCCTTAACTGGAAGGACGGATCCTTCGAGGAGGATTTTATTTCCTAGGATTTAAGTACCGAGGTCGACCCTATTCCTACACCTCGAGGTGGAAGAACGTACCTTGATTTTTTATTCCCGGAATTTATTCATCACTTTAATAAGCAAACTGGTCATGGTGTGCCGTCGCGGTTCGGCGATCTTGCGAATCTTTTTTTTTTCTTTTTCTTGCCTTTCATACCGCTCAATCAAACAAGACTATTACGGGTTTTGTCCCCGTATCGAACCGTATCATTGATTAGCTTTCACTTGCTTGGCCGCTACGTTTAAAACTACGTTCACTTGAATTTTTCTGGACTCGTCCCTAGTAACGTTTTATTGTTAATTTAAAAAATTTTTTTGTAGGGGAATTAACAATATTTCTTTGGCTCAATGAATTTTATTTTTTACCGGGGTAGAAATTCAACTCGATCGCTTGCTCAATGTAACAATGTAATTAATGATATCAGACACCGCCTTGTCGTTCGACGTGACGTGTCATCCTCGAGGAGTGACATGTCCACCCTGTTGATAATCCGATAGCGCCGTCGATAGCGAAGTGTTAAGATTTGCCGTATTGATTCTTGTAGGCGTTTATCGGCACCTTGGAAAAGAAACGTCCACGATTGGCGCCGAAATTCGGGTAATCTGGAATCGATGGCACTTGTTCGTTTTGCGAATAGTACGAGGAATAAAGAGAAAATGAGGGAGACGGAAAACTCAGAATCCAGCTCACCTTGAGAGCCTTGAATGGCGTTTCAATGGATGACGTTAACGAGATGGCTCACGCAAGTGAAAGTTTATTGCTGGCAAGACGCGAACTTGAATTGTCTACTACGAGGTGTACTTCTTGCGAGGAATTGCGAAATAATCCCCGTAGATCTGGAGCAATTGCCCGGGACTGAAGGATTTACCTTAAAAGGAGGAGTGCTAGAAAAGACTCGTTATCGGTCCCTAGTTTGTAATCCTTTCAATCGCGCAATTATATTTTACCCTATAAGTTGCGGCTCTGAGAACAATGAGAATGTTACGTATCGTGGCCGTACGTTCCGATTGTAATTGTAAGAATTTATTTATCCTATAATATCGACTTCGACAAAGCGAAGGTATAAGTAATCCTCCTAAACGATCGAGCGAGATCGGAAGGCGTAATGAGAATAATCGCACGCGTAAAGGAACAATCGCGCAATTATATTTTTCCCGTTAAGTCGCGGCTCTGTCGACAATGTGTAGGATGTAACGTAGGTACAGAGACCACCGGTAAGTGTCCTCGATCCTGAAATTCAAGTCACGGCAATTCGATCGGTCGAACTAACACGGTTATCGCTTGTCTAAGGTCAGGGTCGTAAAGCCATTGTCGTTTTTATTTGCACTCACCGAGGTGAGAGTTACTTAAGGTAACGGAAATAACGAGCCGTTTAGATCCCACACCCGAACTTATAGTACTTCGGGGGTGGCCCTTTACTCCGGTAAATCGATAATTATGCAACCGAGGCATGCTCTGCCACGTGTAGGAAACGTAAAATCGGCCGAGATTGCGAAAGTGGTGTTTCGGTTTTTTCGGGAGCACCCTAAGAGAGAGAATGACCATCGACAACGCCGGATATGCCAATCCTCGTGAAATTGTCATTTCGGAGGATGGAGCCCTGTACGTGGAGTAATTGCGAAATTACGATAGGTCTTTAGTGGTTAAGGGGACTAGGGTGTACTTATTCTCATTAGCGGTCTCTGAAAAAAAAAAAATCTATCTCAATCTTGACGTCGGAGACAATAATTACGAGGAACGAACATGCCGAGATATCATTCATGCCTGACAGAGAAGGAAGTCGGGAAACACTGGGTCCACTTTTCTCGGAGGCGTGCGCGAAAGAGGGGAACGGCAGAAATTGCGACAATTTCCCTCGGTTCGGCTTCCTTGGAGGCACTCGGTGCACAACGGAAAGGATCTCCCGCGACGTGTCGAGAGGGTCTCTTAAACGCCAATGCGATTTCACGCTTCCGGCACGGAAGGCGATGAAACTCTCTGCTCGTTAACCGCAGTTCCGCCGGCAGCTGCAAAGTGCGCCGCCATCTTGCCGAACGAGCGTTTCTTCGATCCGACGTATCGAAGGAAGAAACAAAAGGGGGCGACGAAGAAGGCGGAATCGGAGACAAGACTCTAAATCCCTGACGAAATGTTCCAGCTAACTCGGGCGACGATTCGCTTTAATCGCGAGAGGTGTCGCGAATCGATCAGTCCCTGAATAAATTCCGGTCACGATCGATCGCTGGATAAACTTTAATTCTGGGATGAATTTTAATTCCAACGATTATTCAACGGTCGGTCTTTAATGTGGATATGTGTTGGTTATTTTTATTTTGGATTTGGATCTTGAAATAAAAATTTAGAAGTATTGATTCGAGGATCTTTAGAGTACGAGGTCGTGGGTGAGACGATTCCACCCGACCATGTAGGGCGAGAGGGGAGAGGGTTCACCCACGAGACTTTCTCGCCTCCTCGAAAATCCTCCCGAGATATCCCGTCGCGTTTTCTGGAATATCTTTAACGGTCGTTGAACAAACGTGGGTGCGCTTCGCTCGACCGAGATGGAAATAAGATCTAGCCGGGCGGAAATAACGCAAGTGGCCACGTGGGCGAAAAAGTCGCCAGCCTTGCTGGATCTCGCATTCCCGAGAGGAAATTGACGAAGGACTCGGGTTCCGTCCTAGACGAGTCTCCGCTCTCTGGGCAGAACTCCTGCAGCAAGAGAGTCTGCCTGTCGATAAATTGTCGTTTCACATCTTTCCTTTTTTTTTTTCTTCATCTTAATACCACTGGAAAAGTTCCTAATCGACCGATATTTGCGTTTCAGGTGTACCACTGGCAAAGTCAAAATGTCAAGGTCTCGGGGGTGGACGACATGGTCCTGCTCCCGAAAGTCACCGAGGACGCCATTATGGAGAACCTCAAGAAGCGGTACATGGACGACTACATCTTTGTATCCTTTCGGCCCAACGTTTGCTCCAATAGTTGAGACAATATGGATAACGTTGAGTCAAAATGGGCGGCGGATCCTCTTATCGAGTCAAAGGAAGAGGGAGCGTTTTGTATTATGGCTCATGGTGACTAACGCGCAAATCGTCGTTCTTTACGCGTGATCGTTAACGGAAATAAACTCGAGTGTCCAGTCAAACTATCAGTGGCACCGAAGTATTTCTTTTTTGTAACGATCCTTTAATGCAATTCGCTGCCGACTTTTGTATAAGGGAGATTTACGTAAGTACTTTTTATGGCATCGCATTGCCCGGTAAATTCAAAAGGGATTACATCGTGTGAATACGTGCTCGACTGGCCGTCTTGTAACCCGCTTATAAAAAGGCTTGCAGTACCTAAACGTATCGTTAATCGAGTTTGAAATTGGGCCGATCTTCTAGAGGCCGAGCCCAGCGGAAGGCTCGGCTACGGCCGCAATTAGGGCACCTAATAACCCATACACAAATTCCATTTATGCTCCGATAAGTCGCCGGCACGAGCCATCGAATCGATACGTCTTTTCTCGGATGATGGTAAATGGATTGAATGAGGCATTTTCCTTAACCCGAATCAGACATGCATCGGTCCAGTCCTCGTATCGATCAACCCGTTCAAGCCGATGCCGTATTTTGGCGACAAGGAGACCGAGATATACCAAGGAGCGGTAGGTCGTCCCTTCCGATTTCGTTAATCCGTTAATAAATATAATTTCCACTAACGATTCACGAAACATTATCCAGGCACCGTACGAGAATCCTCCTCACGTTTACGGATTAGCCGACGAGATGTACAGGAATATGCTGATCGACAATGAGAGTCAGTGCGTCATCATCAGGTGATTATTCATAATAATTCCTATGTGGCGTTATCGTCCCGTGAGATACTTGGATTTAATTTTTTCTCCTTCATTCCAGCGGAGAATCTGGAGCTGGGAAGACCGTGGCAGCAAAGTACATAATGTCCTATGTGGCTAAAGTAAGCGGAGGTGGTGATAGAGTGCAACGCGTGAAGGACGTCATCTTGGAATCAAATCCACTTCTGGAAGCTTTCGGGAACGCCAAGACCGTTAGGAATAATAACAGCAGTAGATTTGTACGTAGATGTATAAGTACACCGTATCTTTTAAGGCCAGCAATGCTAGAATTGCGTCACGTCAGTTTGTACGAATAGCGTGGATCAAGTGACGCGAAGAGTTTATTACGCCCATGTAAAAGAATGAGAAAGCGGAGCTAATTTGCTTCTTATTAGAATACGTAGCTCGGATCCGCCCGGTTTCACTTCCCCTCTGGAACACGGCACCTTGGCGTGATATGCAAATAACTTTCCGCGATCTAGAGAGAGAAACAGCTTTTGTCCGGGTGTTCGTGAATGCCGTAGGAAAAATATATTTACGAGCTATAAACTTGATATGTATGAATGTTATCGTTTGCAGGGGAAGTACGTAGAGATGCAATTCGGTGCTGGAGGTCAACCTAACGGCGGTAAAATCTCGAATTTCCTGCTGGAGAAATCCCGAGTCACGTGCCACAATCCAGGAGAAAGAAATTTCCATATTTTTTATCAACTCACTACCGGCGCCAATCATCAAATGAAAAGTAGGTTTTGCAAACGGGCGGGATAGTTGAGAGCATAATTCATATTATTATAACCGTGTTAACGGCAGAAGTACATCGTAATATCTTAATAATTGTACTCTAGCGAGCGAATCGTAGTTCGCAAATTGATGAGCCCTAATTTTAGCACGTCCTGTCATATCGAGTTACCCACCTTAACTTGTAACATCTGCTTCACGGCTTCAATTTTCTATATTTTGGATTTTAATTTTTTTTTTTACGTGCTCTAAAGTATGTCTCGATGTACTTCTCTTTTTTTTCTCTCTCTTTAATGTGTGAAACCACGCTGACCCACTTTACTTTTTTCCAGCTGAATTCGGGTTAACAGACCTTGAGTATTATAATTATCTAAGTTATGGAGGTAATCACAAAGTGGATGGTACCAATGATGCGAGGGACTTTCAGGAGACTTTAAAAGGTCAGTGAATAATTGAATAATTGCGCGTATTATCCTCTGAAGCGGCATCCATAGTGAGGAAACGTAGCGTTCCTTTATTACTCCAATTACCTAAGGTTTTCCATTTTATGTTTGCAGCGTTGAGTGTTATGGGAATGCAAGATAGTGATGTAACCGATATCTTTAAACTGGTGGCTGGGGTACTGCATATTGGAAATATTCAATTCTCCGAAAACGGGAATTATTCTCAAGTCGCAGATAAACAGCGTAAGTAGTCAAGATATTAATTTTAATATAAGGGACTTCTCAAAAATGTTGAATAATGCTTTAATTTTTTTTCTATTCCAGTTCTGGACTTTCCCGCGTATCTTTTGGAAATATCAGCAGAGCAATTGTCGCATAAACTGACATCACGGGAATTTGAATCGAAATGGGGCAGTCAATCGGAAAGCGTGGATGTGACATTAAATGTGGAACAAGCCCTTTATACTCGCGATGCGTTAGCGAAAGACATTTATGCCAGACTTTTCGACTATCTCGTGAAAGTAAGTCCCAGTATAGAATTAATTGACGAGGTCAACTATCGTAGACGTTTGTAATAAAATTATCTGTACACGTAAGATCACCTTTAACGCTATTTATTTCGTGCAGAGAATTAATGCCGCCATGGAAACAAATGCAGATGGTTTTAACATCGGTATTCTGGACATATACGGATTTGAAATTTTCGAAAGGAACGGCTTTGAACAATTTTGCATAAATTTCGTGAACGAGAAGTTGCAACAAATTTTCATCGAACTTACCTTGAAAGCAGAGCAGGTAAGTTTTTCACATTCTTGCCCGGATTTATTTAATTTGACAATGCTAATTTATACTAGAGATTGAAAATGCGCTGATCGAGTGAATCCTATTAATAGACGAAAGTATAATCTATAAGAATTTAATCTAAGTATCATCGGTACGAATGAATTTCGATTTGAACGATGTGGAAAGAAACCTTAATTGGATTACGAAACTACTAGAGAAAAGGAAGAGTTATACATTGGCGAAAATTAATGACATGAAGATAGTATGAAAAATAGTCCCTGTATCATTAATGTAATTTATCTACAATGCATGATATCATAATGACCCCTTATAACGTGAACATTGCCTCGGACGTGTAGTCACGCATTTCGAATATCTATTACTATGGTACAGCCATATATTAATTTGTATAAATAATTAAGGACTCATCAACGCATTCCTTAGATTCGCTCTACGGTATTGTAAGTCTTAAAAACTAATGTACTTCTTGAAAAGCCAATCACAGCTACGACTATAATTAGGGGAGTAAGTTTTCAAGTCATTTATCCATTGTTGCGGTGCAACCATCGATTCGTCCGGCTTGGATCATCGCCAAATGAACCGTTCTTATTAATTAAATTATAAAAACCCCGCAAATTCCGCCGCAGTTCTAGTCGATAGCATCATCGAGGAGGAATACATTAATCGATATCAAAAGAAAATCTATCCGCGGTTCAACGAATCGACCCATCCGCAGATTCGGTTGAAACATATTTGTACAATTCTTTAGGACTTCGCGTTCACTTCACCTTCGTGTCTTCTGTCTCCTAGGAGAATCACTCTTCGGGGAATCTGTACCCTGGCAAAATGTCGGTCCTGTGGGAGGCGTACTTCTGCACGGGCGTCGTTTGGGCGAGCAAAGCCTGATTAGGATTCCTGCTTGGTGGTGCCGGTATCTGTTTCGGAAGTTCACTGGAAGTCACCATCGAACTCTCGGTGGTAGACTGGACCTCGGCGTCGTAGGAAGGAGCGAAATTCATCATTCTCGTAGAATATTCCTGGGTGCCGTAACTTTCCTCGTCCGGGAGGATGTCCCCACGGTCCGAGTAGAATTTCTTTGGACGGTAGCTCTTTGTTACCAACAATTTCTCCTTCTGGCGGTCGAGAAATTGGGCAGATCTCAGGAATCCATCTTCGGGACTGGCGGTCGAGTCTCTCTGGAAACTTCCGCCGCGGCTGCGCAAATTTACGTAGACTTTGGGCTTACCTGTCTTCAGATAGTAGAGCTTCTCGTCGAGATCCCGGATTCTCAGGGGACTCAGTAAAATACTTTTATCCTCCACGTCGGTGAACGCCGTCGTACGGAAATTTGTTCCCGGGCCGACGTTTCTTACTCCTAGAATAGAATTGGGCACGATTTCCGGATTGGGCCGTGACTCATTCCCTACTACGTCGTGCTTCAGGACCGCTTGCAGGAGACCCTGAAGATTCATGACATTAGGGTCCGTACCCTGAAGTTCAATTTCCAGGAGACTATAATTGTCGGTCTCGGGCTTCTCGACATTGGTGTTTTGCGAGTAGAAGGCCTTCTCGTTGTAGAACTTAGGCTCGATCGTTTTAAAATCTCCTGGAATGTGGTTGGGCGATGACGGTGGTCTTGGGAGCACAACGGCCGAGAGGCTGAGCTCCACCAGCGGGACGAACAACAATGGCCAGTTGCAGATTTTTCTCGTCATTCTGGAACAATGGACCAATTAAATTGAGACTTTTAGAAATAGTGCAATATTATACGCGGTTTCCTGAAATATTATGTGATTCGTAATATGTGGACGAGTATCGTTAAGCATCCTGTCCTTCAATTTACCATTCGGAGAACCTTCCTCGGTTAATGTTACTTAGAAGTGCAATTAACACACTTCGTACGGTCCAGCATTCCCAAGACTCGCATACACGGAAGGTGATATACATAATCGCGCGGAGGCGAAACAACGTGTTATTAAATGCGGTGAAAGTCAGCTCGTACTACGGGCCAGCGGGAGAAAAAAAAATGTTACAATTTCTCTTTTGTCCTTACATAATGGATCGTACATATGTACGGTGGCCAGTCGGGTCAATTTGGCAAGAAGTCTGCACGTGTCTTCGAAATGATCCTTTAACGAGACATTGAGCAATCGGCCTTTCGCGATTCCGCACGATCGTCCGCACTTTCTGGCCGCATAAAATCGGAGGCAACGATGCGTGCACTTTTTGACGGAAACAAATTATCGATTGTTGTATTTTGATCCAATCGTCGCTCGCGTGTATTACTTTGACATTCGCTAATCTGGTTTAGGCAACAATGACGCGTTAATTATACACAGAGAAATTATTTCCCGTTTTAGTTATCATCGGCGCAACCCATTCGAAAATTATCCGCGTGATCTTGAACCGCAGTGATGCCTACAATTATTGCGGCGATAACGGGAGAGATTAAACGGCACGCGATCCATTATATCGCTTTTATGACATACACAGCTGTGCTTAATGGTAGTATTGTAATTTATGCAGCGGAGGTTTGTCAGCGGTAACAACTGCGGTAAACCGTAATTCCCGGTTCCCGTCCCTCCTCGATTTTTATAAAATTAATAGTTCTAAAACAACGACTGATCGCTTCCTATTATGAGACAAAATCGAATCTCCTTATAGCCCAGCATGTTAGACATCGAATTAACCCGGGTACATGCGAATCTTTAATGACCTCAAAAAGCGAGTGTACGAAGATATTCTCAAATTACCAAATCGAGACCAGATTGCTCCGCGATTACCGCGAGTAGGAAACGTCCTCGTACGTCCCATCGTTAATTAATAAATAACGAGGGCACCAGCTATAATCATCCAGGGTTAAGAGCGACCTCGTCAGGGATGCATTGCACATCGACTAACTTACTAATCTTTTTTGTTTTTCCAGTGGAAAATATAGCGGACAAAAATTGAAGGAAATTGATATTCGAGCGTTAAAGGCGCCACGATTGAGCGAGGTTCGCTCGACGAGGGCCGCCCCGTTGGGTGGAGTCGTCTTGCAAAATCAGGAGAGAAAGACGAGGTCGGCGGTCCAGAGGTCCCGAAGTGTCATTAGATCCCGTGCAAAGCAATACCCTCGCCTTTGCCTCGATCCTTTGAACCCAAGGCGTCACGGCCACAGATTTTTTCATCGAGCGGGAAGTTCGATCGAACCTCGTTACCTCGGGCGAGTGGAACGCCCGGGCCTAGGGACTTTGAAATTTCTTTCTGCCAGTTTATATTCCCGCTCGTTAACCTGCGACCGGTTATTAGACGGAGGAACTTTTGTTTGCCGAGAAACATCGAGCGTTCGCCCTGCTAACGATCTCGGCGCTCCGATTCCCAGCCCGGAAGGGAACTCCTCGAGTCGAGCTCTCTCGTTACTCCGAGCACCACGTCGAACCCTTCGCCTCGTGGCTGCCTTTGGAAAACACTCTAATTCGTCCGATGACTCTCGTTAACCGGATATTCCCTGCTTGACCCGAATCCAGGAAACGCCTCGTGGTCGGCCAGACGAGACCGTATTAACCCTTTGCGATCGGCAAATTTCTCCGATGGGAGTACTCTGGTCGGAGCAAATTTATATGTACAAATTACAGAAAGCTGTTTCATGATCATTGACATCATGCCGCCAGCCTGGCGACTTCTAGGACGACTTGCGAATGCCGCCACTGTGGCGGCATCGACCCCAAAGGGTTAACACTCTGCCGACCCTGAGTCCAATTAATCCTTTCCACCCTTCTTGATCACCTCCCTCGCCGATTTCGAATTCCCCACCTGGCGATATTTCGCAGCTAGACGAAACCGTTTGCGTTATTTTTGCCAACTGGACACCAGTTGATCCAACCGCCCCTCGACCCTGAATTTGACGATTTAAAGGATAGTAAACCGAAATTGTTTGCACGACTCCTTCGTTAATGGCTAGCTTTGGAAATCACCGACTCCCCGAATGACTTTCCTTAACCAGATATTTGGTGCACCATGGAAATCCGGGAAACGGGCTTCACGGTTTGCCAAACATCCGAATTAACACTCCATCGATCGCTACCCTATTAATCCGCTTTTCGTCCGCGTTTATCAGTCAATCCTGAATTCGCCGCTGGGTGTGGAGCGTATGGGGAGGAAATCGAGTCCTATGAGGAAATCCAATCGGACCATCCGCGTTACTTTTCCAAGGGGAAAATTTCCCCATTTCCTGGGAAGAACCGACTCGGTCCGACATTAACCGGGGAATGTTATTTTAGGGGGCATATCCGTTTCTCCATAACGCTGCTATGTAGCTCGACTTATTACAAAACGATCGCGTGTCTCGTTCGCTGCAGCTTTTCACTTAATGCGTTCGATTTTTCCGGGGCAAGAAACGGCACTTCCGCGTATGGTCCCGCCCGGTTTCCGGTGTCGGCTCGTCGAGATAGAGAAAAGGTGATAATAGGTCTTGTTAATTCCGCTCTGGAACGACGACCCACGCGGCGACCATTAGTCGTCGAGTTCTTCCTCTGACCCGTTGAGGGAATAACGGAAGACCAGCTTTTTCACCGTCCATTTGACACCTGCCCGCCGTTGGGTGCGGTTTGCCCCGATACACCTATAGAGTTCTCCAGGTATGCGGTTTACCGCGGTAACTGGTTTTCTTAAAAAGTGCAAGTGCATTCGTTGCCCCGGTGAACGTTCACCGCTCGGTCTAACGAGAGCGCCAACGTGGACGCACGTGGCGATCGCGTCCATCGAGTAGGTCCTTGCCAAGTCGGATGGGATTGAAAAGTCATTTCCATAATTCATAAATGACGTGTCCTAGGAGACGCATCCTTCGAGAAGTGCACATTGGAGCGGGATTTTTTTATCTAGAGGTCGGGGAAACGCGAGATGTCTCTAAGTGGCAACTGGTACATCTTTATTCCTGGGGGTCATACTCTCGCATATATTCTTGCGAGGCGCGAAGTGGATAAACGGCACCTCGTTTTTGCCCGTAAACCAAACCCGTTTAGAGGTGATACGAAGTACCAATATGCTCGGGGTAACAGTACAGAGGAATACGGCGAGCGAGAAGAGATGCGAGGAAAACGTCGCCTATCAAGGCGGAACAATTCTTGCGGTGATAACAGTACCCGGTTGTTGGGATTCTCCCACGGGCACTTCCCGAAGGTTCCGAGTCTTCCCTCCCGTGGCTCGTTGCATCTCGACGCGTTACCGAAGAGGGGAATAAAATGGCCGATAAAATCGAAGCCCGGACGCGATCGACTCCCGCGGGCCATTTCGGTATATCCTGGAAATATGGATTTTTCCCCGGGTCGAGAGGCCCGCGAGTCGTTGTCGAGATTCCCATTGTCAACTCGTTGGCACTTTTCATATCAGAGGCCGAACCGCGCATCGTCGACGAGCCCGAAACGTTCCTCGCGAAATGCAAGTATGGCAAAATACGACTCTCTCGTCCAATTAGGAAATCCTGAGAGCGATCTCGGGATTTCAACGAAGACTTTCCAGGAGCATGGAACTTCCATCTCGTATCTGCGATCCGAGGCATTGTCATTTTTCGTATCAATTTTCCCTTCTCGCGCGGACTTAACGCGACTTTAAGCCATTCAAGGTAGTTAAGGATACCGTGGGAAGTTCTAAGGGAGAAACTTTTGCGACATCTCGGCCGATACTTTCCTTTTTGCCGTGTTTTCTCCTGGTACCGCGACATCACTGGAAGCGGACGAACGACCGACTCGACAAGAGTAAACGCGGATCCATAGAGGAGACCGTCGAGTTTCGGTTTCACGGTGGAGTCGCATCTTGGTAGGACGGACAGCGGAATTACGCCAAGTGCCGAGTCGAGTATTTATCGTGCCCGCGCGTAGCTTCCATTCGTTACGAGGTGTTTGCCCAAGCCCAAGAACCGCGAATCCGCAATTTACTTCCCCAGGATTCCCCTCTCGATTGAGTTTAACGAGGTAGATTGCACGCATTTTGAAAATTAGTCCTCGCCCCCCTTTGGGCGGTTCGACTCTTTGCACTCCTATGTCGAGGGTTACTCGAGATAGGTAATCGACATATCAATAATTGGGGGAATCGCCGATCGAAGGGACGTACGAAATCGAGTTTCGAGGCGGCCGTTAAGGCGGTTCCGGTGCCTGGAGGAACCGGTCGGCACTTCCGCCACGGTGGAGTGCCTCTTTCCCCGGCCGATTAGCCCTTTCCCCGTTATCGGCTGGCGAATTAATGTAATCGAGTAACCCCGAGGGCGTCGCCCCTCGACGGCCCGCCAGAGGAAAGCATCTCTCTTTTCCCGCGAAAGTCGGAAACCCGAATCGAAGTGCCTATTCCGCGGTCGCGAGGAAATAATGGGGGACCTCGCGGTTTACGGGGCGACTCTAGAGCTTAGTTTCCCAGGCTTTCGAGGGAGCGGCGAGCTCTTCTTCGGGAAAAACCGACGAGCCCTCGAAATCCGGGAGAAACCTGGGAACTCGAAACGGCCGAGCCGCGGAAACGGCGAGATCATTTCCTCGCTTTCCGGTACTACCGGTACTACCGGTACTAATTTTTTTTCTTTTTTTTTTTCCCCCTCAAATTGATGCTAATTCTGGAATTAATCTCGAGTCTTCCCCTGTCGCACTTCCTTGTCTCGCCACTACCTTTAGCTATTCCATGGTCGCGAACTCGCGTCCCTGCTCAACATTTGACAGTCGTATATGGAAACTATCGATTTCCCGGATGAA